GGGGGGGGGGGCGGCAAAATCACCTCTGATTGAGAACTATAGGCCTTGAAAAAAAGAATGTATTTTTTTTCTAATTCTCCCCCAAATGCCATATGGTGAATTAGTACCCCTGATGGAATTTACCATGGTCCTGGGAATATTCCTCCAGGCTAAGCAGATCTAGATGCCTTGGCAGCAATTCCCACACAATGTGAGGCTTTCAGTCCCTTCCTCCTATGTCTGTCCTTTGGACCCTAAATGGGTCTGCATATGTTCTCAGGAATTAGGCTTAGGACTAGACAGAAAATTCTAGGTGGCTGGCTGTGACTAAAAGCTCTCCCCTCCTGGCAGCAAACTTAAATGAGGATCCATCCAGGGCATCACCTTGGTGTTCCAATGGACAAATGAACATTGTCTCTTGGCCTCTATGCCTTCTCATCACACTTCTCATCACAATCTACAAACTGTTTTATCCAATTTTGCTTGGGAAATCATTAGTCATCCTTATGAAAATTCCTGTTGCTGTTCACTCTGAAACATGTTTACTTCTCACATGAGAAGTGGCTAAAGAAAATCTATAATTCTGAGAGTCTGCCCTTAATAGTTCAAGGTTTCTGTTCCGGCTTAATGTGTGACCCATAGCTATCTTGACATCATCAGACATAGAAACCTCTCATGCCTCTATTTCAGATGCTCTGGAGTATGAACGCCATCTCTTCAAAGTTCCTACATTCCACAAAGTGTATTTCATACATGTCCCTTAACGTATATTCCAACTCTGGCTTTTCCCACAAATCTGGTGCAAATCCATGTCCTGCCATTTCCTCATTACGCTGTACAGGCAGAAACTTCACTTTATCTTTGTGGATTTGCTTCCCTCCCCGCGCCCGCCAACTGGTTTCATTTCCTTACTTGCCTTCATTTGCTTATATTTCGGATTCTGAATATTTGGTGTGCTCAAGACTTAGTGGATACAGGATTTAGAAGAGGGGATTGCAAAAGTCACTTTAAAAAAACAAACAAACAAAAAACCCGCCTGGCCCGGCATGGCTCAGCGGTTGAGCATGGACCTAGGATCCAGGCGATCGGGGTTCGATTCCGGTCAGGACACGTGCCTGGGTTGTGGGCTCGATCATTTATGTTTCTATCTCTCACTCCCTCTCCTTTCCTCTCTCTGAAATCAATAAAGATATATTTTTAAAAAACCAAAAACATTACCACCGTTTCAGCCCAAGCTTAATGGAGAAATACGATGAGTGCCGAGGAATTTTCTTGGAAGAGACCTAGAATAAACTCGTGTCCGAAGTGTGGGGGTGGGGTGGGGGTGGCGTTCCCGGAGAGACGACCCAGGACTGGCGCTGGAAGGGGTTTGTTTAGAGACGAAAGCCCGTTGCTCCTCTGGCTCCTCTCCGCGCGGGGCTGAAAGGAGGATCCCTGCGCGATGCCCCGAGCCAGCGGCTGCGCGTCGCCCGCACTGAGGCGGGACACTCGGCACTGAGCACAGGGCAGGGCTCAAGTCTAGGCGTCACTGCTATAAACTGCAACGAACCCAGAGTCCTCGAGATTAAAGTTTTTAAGATCCGAGGTAAGGTTCAAAAGCCACCCTTCCTGAAGGAATAGCTCAAACTAAACATCCCTTTGAAAGTGTAACTTTGCATTCAGTCCATTATCCCCTCAAATAGCTTTTTCTCGGCCTCAAACATCGGCGGGCCTGAGAAAACTAAGACCTTTCTCGACCATAACCGGCAGGCTGCGGCCTCAGACCCGGCGGAAACAAAGCTCCACGCCGCGGGCCTGCCCACTCTCAGGCCGGGCGGCGGCCGGAAAGGACCAAACTTAAAATCGCAGCGGCGCGGGAGCGCGCAGGCTCCGTCCCACCTAAGCCTGTGTGACGCAGGCCTCCCTGCCGCAGAGCGTAATGGGAGGAGGGGCGGAGCGCGAAGACCTCGCGCCGTGTGAGGCCGAAATGGATTCTGCGGACGACTAGAGAGAGGGGCGCGCTCGGTACCCGTGGCAACTTGGGGTTACCTGTTTTCTGTGGAAACAGCATTGCCCCGCCGCGCGGAGGCCGCCCCAGCTAGCGTGAGTCCGCGTGAAGCGCACGGTGACGCCGTTCCTCAGCGCTCCAATGCGGTCCTGGCTGGAGGGCGGGGTTTTCAAATTTGAATTCACCTACTGTTGCGGAGGGTAGGGAACCCCCGGCTGCGGGCTGGGGCCGGCGAGGTCCGGAGGCGCGATTCCTGGGGCGCCTGGCCCCCGTCCGCACGGAGCGGAGCGGGGCCTGCCGCCGTTCCCCGCTTCACCCGAGGTATGGCCTCCCCTCATCCCCTCTCCTGCCGCCGAGCCGCCGGCGCTGCGAGGCCCGGCCCTTCAGCATTCTAGGCCCTCTCGAGCTTTTGGACGTTTCTGGCTTCGGCAGTGGTTTCATAAATACTGATTCATTCGGTGTGTGCATTTGTTGCGTGTCTAGTGCAGTTATCAAGAGTGGACCACTTTCGTTCAGATTCCTTTTGATGATGTGCGCTCTAGGTCTTTGTTCTAAAGTCACTAATAGGAAAAAACCTTTCGAATGATTACCAGGTAGGAAGAGTGTGTGCATCACTGCCTGGTTTTTCACCGTGGAACCCAGGATCCACAGGGCTATAGAGACAATTGATCCATCCAGCTTGTTTTCTTCTGATTAAATTAGATATTCTTTGCAAACATTTTCAGATGTAAAAATAATTTAGAAAATGGAAGGCCCCTTCATCCTTCTTTTCAAAGATAAACACTGTTTACAGTCTGGTACACTTCCATATTTTTCCCTGTGCTTACGCTGGGAGAGGGAACAGAAATGCAATTGTATGGTCTATTCTGCTGCCTTCCTTTTTTTTGTTTAATATATCCTAGTTACTTTCTAGTTATTACATATATATGTTGTCAATGTAAGAAACATTCAAACCTGTAGAGAATTTTTGTAAGTTTATTTGAACCAAACTGACAATTGATAGAAAGCAAAATCTCAATGGATTGAGAAAAATGCTCTGGGAAGTGGCAGTGCTGCACCCTGCTTTATACATTACAATCAAAAGAAGAAGTAGGTGGGATACATGAAATCCATTGGTGATAGATTAGGGAGGTGGGAGAAAGCAAAGCAGGAAAACCTTTGGGATTGGATAAAAGGTAAAATGATAGACACAGACCTCTTTTACATAGGTGGGTACAGGTTAACAGTCTACAATAAATTCAACAATAACTGACGATTTGTGGTCTCAGCTCTTGTGCATTCATTGGCTGTGCCCTGAGGGGTCTGGAAAAAGGGAAGTTAACCTGACATTCCTAAGGTGTGTTATATATGCCAGAAGGTGATAGACAGGCTCAACTTAATTTTGTTAGGAAGATTTTAGCCTAGGATATACCTGCCATAAACTGTTTTTAGTTAAAAGTTTTCATTTCAGACCAACATGGCCCCTTTTCATCCACAAGGTTTTTATTGACTACATAGAATTCAGTTTGTATGGATGTAGCAGAATTTCATTCCATATTGGACATTTAGATTGTTTCTAATTTTCTCTGCACTTCAGTAAACCCCTTATATAGTACCTCTTTAAAAACTTGGGCTTTGAAATCAGGTAGTCTTGGGTCCACTCCTAGTCATTGTCAGTGAAACCTTGGGCAGGTCATTTAACCACCCTGTGCCTTAGTTTCCTCATCTTCGAAATAGCTTTAAGCAGTTAATGAAAGCACAAGCATGCCATTTTAGAATTCACCTTCTCTTCCCCAGTCCAGGAAGAAGCTAATGATTTCTTATTTTTGATCTCTGTTGAGGCAAGTATGCTTGGCCTTCAGGGCACTCTGTTCTTTCCTTAACTTGAGGAACGCCAATTACTGAATCCCCATTGTCTAAGGTTTCTTTGTTTCATTAGAGTCTGAGCAGTTTAATTTTTCTTTGTTTTGTTCTTCCACCTAGAAGGAGAATGGGGCTTCAGATGTTTCTTGATGGCCTCTACCCAGTGGTGCTTTGTTTTTATTCTGTATCTATTCTGCAAAGCCTCTATGGTCAGAGGAAATCCTTGGTGATTTTTTCCCTTCATTATCCTTCCTTGTTCCATCAACCACAGTGAAACCACTGTCAACTATTGGCAACTCCTTTGGCTTCTGTTGAGTTGCTATTTGTCACATAATGGGAAAGAGGGACTCATAGAAGAACTGTCTTCCTGGGGGGAGTGGAATTTGAGGATCTTAAGTCTTGACTGCTCACCTCTCCATCCTACTACATGCTTGAATTGAGAGGGAGGAGGTTGGGCAACATCAAAGAGAAGTTATGGACTTGTCTTGGAGCCTTTCAATGTGACGGTAATTATCTGCCTTTAGGTGAAAACAGTTATGTATGTCTACTACACACTGGGCTTATTTTCAGTTCTGCTAGTTAATTTGCAGTTTATACTTCCTGTTGAGCATTTCATTCTGGTCTAAAGAATTGACATTGTGTAAACCTACACATACTTTGCCATTTTTCCATGCAATTGTCCCAGTTTATTCATTTTTGTTTTTGAGAGTTTAAAGTGAACAGCCAGTAAGTGTTGTAGCTCCCAGCACAGGATTCCTGTCACTAGCACATTGCCACATAATTATATGTGATAGTACATATTTGCTGAGTTAACCTTCTGTGGACGAATTCAATGGTTTTTGTGTCACAAGGCCAGGCTCCCTAGATACCTTTCTTTGTCAACTCTTGTTATTGAGAAATAGTTCCTTCTGTTTTTCTCTTCTAAACTGTTGGAAAAATAGTAGTTTTTATATGAATTTTTAACTTGCATATTTATTTTCACAGAAGTTAACCATAGATAAAGATGTGTTTGGTCTAGCGGCATTAGTATTTTCTGTGATGAGTTTTTTATGTTTACATGATGTCAAAAACTTATTGGAATAAATATAAATTCGGCAATAAGAGATGCTTTAAATCTAGACTGGTAAGCTCCTTGGGTTGTACTATTTACCAAGTAGTACAGAATACAATTATATGGCTTATCACCTAGAATCTTAATTTCTAGGTGTCAGATATGAAATGTGTACATAAGAAACAAGCTGAAACAAGTCTAAGACCATGTATGCTCAAGTACATGATTCCCTTGAAAAATTCTCCATAGTATTAAAAATTTTTTAAATTAGAATAGCCCAGCTGGGCGTGGCTCAGCGGTTGACCTAGGATCCAGGTGATCAGGGCTCGATTCCCTGTCAGGGCACATGCCTGGGTTGTGGGCTCGGTCCCTAGTTGGGGGCGTGCAGGAGGCAGCCGATCAATGACTCTCTCATCATTGATGTTTCTGTCTTTCTCTCTCCCTCTCCTTTCCTGTCTCTGAAATCAATAAAGATATATTTAAAAAAAAAAAAAAAAAAGAATGAATATAATTTACTTTTGATTTGAGGGTTTTTCGACTAAAACCTCATAATTGAAACATCCTGTAGCATAACAAAATCAGGACTGGGGATTTTTAACTAAAAAATTGAATAGCCTTTTCAGCTTTCGTTAGGATATATTATGATATCTGCTGCCTTAAAATTTAAGTATCTAAAGGGGAAAACCATATTTGTGAAACTTAATCTTTTCTAACCTAATATAATGCCATATGCAGATGTCATTTAATGCTTTTTGATGCTAATATTAGTTTGGAACCTTCAGGACTTGAAGTTCACGTAAATTTCAAAAACAGATATTCAAAATTCAGTTCTTAGAACTATTAAATAGATATTTTGGTGAGTGCTGCTTTTTTTCCCCTCACCCTAGAATATGTTTTTATTGATTGATTGATTGATTGATTGGTTGAGAGAGAGATGGATGGATAGACAGATATCAGTTGCCTCCTGTACATGCCCCAACCAGGTATCAAACCTACAACCTTTTGGTGTATGGGATGACACTCCAACCATATCTGATGTGTGAGCTATAGATTATCCAGTGTCATTATGAATCAATTAAACTTTTTAATTAGTATAAAGTTATTATGGAAAGCAAATAAACTTTACTTTTTCTACACCAAAGCATAATGAAGGTTGATTTCAATTGAATTACAGGTTCCTCTGGGCCCCTGTTGAAGATCTGTCCTGAAAATTGTGGTTAAGTAAATTTTCTGATAGAGGAAATTTGTTGCTTCTGTTTATCAAGATGATTACAACACCTTCAAAACATCCAGGAATTCACTTGTCCTCAGAGACATCTTCTCAGAGGAGAAATGTGCCTATTCATGCAGTTTTTTTTGACAGCATTCCTTCAGGCACACTTACCCCTGTAAAAGATTTGCTGAAATATCAGAACTCCTTTTTAAAATTGAATGACCATAAAAAAAATCAATTCTCAGAAATGACATTTTTTCAAGATAAAAATGTATTTCATTCTACCATGGTAGCAGAGCCTAGCACCTCTAACAGTCTTCTTAATATTGATATCAGTGCTATAAAGCCCAACAAGGATGGATTTAAAAATAAAGCAAACTATGAATCACCAGGAAAAGTATATCAAAGAATGAAAGAAAAGGTACTGCGTAATAAGCAAGAACAAGCATCAAGAAACAGTAATGTGTTGGAACCACCGAAAAGTGAAAGTAACAAAATTTTTGCCCATAATGGAGCTAAGAAAAGAGTATTGCAGCATCATACCTACCTCTGTGAAGAAAAGGAAAACAACAAATCATTTAGATCAGAAAACAGCTTATTAAGAGGTTAGTTACATTATGTGTTGGTTAAAAAGCTATAATGTGTCAGTTATTGTGTTCGGCACTGTTTTAGGTACTCAGGATACAGCAGTGAACAAAAGGGACAAAATTTCCTGTCTTCATGTAGCTAACTCACATTCAGGTGGTGGGGGTCAGATACAGTAGGTAATTTTTATGGTACCGTAGAAACGTTCTATGGAAAGAAATACATAGCAGAGTAAGGATGATAGGGAGAGTTAGAGCAGGTTGTAATTTTCAGTGGGGTGGTCAGGATATGCTTCAAGGAGAAGGTGAGCTGAAAAATTGAAGAAGGTGATAGATACAGAATGGGAAAGGGTGATCCAGACAGGTAACAGCTGGTACATATGCCCTGAAATTTCAGTGTTATTTCAGGAATGGGCCTCAAAAATTCAAAGACTAGCTTATGAGATTAATGTATCAGAGTGAGTGTACAGAGCTGGACGGTGGGGATAACTAGAGGGTCAGATAATGTAGGGCCTTATAGGTGAATGTAAGAATTTGGGCTTTTACTGTGAGCAAAATAGGGAGTCATTGAAGGTTTGGAGTAGAGAAATGACAAGACCTGGCTTACATTTTTAAAAAATCCTTCTGGCTGTTAATTTGAAATAGTTATTGCAGTAATCCAGGTGAGAGATGTTGTTGGCTTGGTCCAAGTACTAGTTGTGAACATAAGTGGTTGGATTCTGGGTATATTTTAAAGGAAAAGCCAATCACATTGACCCACAGAAGGGGTGTAGAATGTTAGAGGGATATAAAGGATGACTCCAAAGGGTGTGTTTTTTGTTGTCGTTTGGTTTGATTTTTATTACCCAAGCAATTGGAAGGATGGGGTAATTTAACTGAAATGGAGTTGACTGAAGGAGGAGTGGGATCAGGATCTCAGTTATTTTTTATCAGGTGAATTTTGATATATGTCTTTTAAAAATTGAGGTGTAGATATGAATTAGGCTGTTGAAAAAAATTAGTTGAAACTTAGGGGCATAATCCAGGTAAGAAAAACATATTTGGGAATTAATAGTACCTAAATGGTCTTTAAAGATACAAAATAAGATGAGATCATCAAGGAGTAAGTGTAGAAAGAGAAAACATTCAAGAATGAGTCCTGGGGCACCCCAAAATTTAGAAGTTAGAATAAAGTATAGAAAGTAGTGAAGGCCACTTAGAAGAAGCTAAGGAAGAAGGAAAACTAGGCTTGATACTCTGGAAGCCAAGAGAACAAAATGCTTTAAGGAAAGAGTCATTAGTTATGTCTAATGCTGCTCATCAGGTCCAGGAAGATGAAGGCTGAGATTTGACCATTGGGTTTTGGTGGACTGATAGAAACGGAAATGTGATGCAAGAGGGTTCAAGAGAGAACATGGAGAGAAATTGACAATGGTGAATATAGACAACTCTTTCTGAGAGGAGCTAAGAAATACGGGAAATATGGTTTAAAAAGATTTTCTTTTTAATGATTGGTGAAATAACATTTTAGTGTGCTGTTGGGAATAATCCAGTTAGGGAAGGAGAAACTTGACATTGGAAGTCTGATACCCTTGGGTAGCTGAGAGGGAATAAAATCTAAAAGAGGAGATTTGGCCTTAGCTAGGAACATAAACATCATCAAACAGGAAGGTGGGCAGTGTTGTATGACTTCAGAAATAATCTGAAATGGGAAGTAAAGTCGTCAGCTGTGAGTGAGTATAGGAAGCAGGTATTGAAATTTGAGGAGGTGGAGGTTTGAATAGTGGAGGGGAGTGGGAAATGAATGACCTAGGCTTAAATTTGATTTCCTGAACAACATTAAGGACGTACTTGAGATTTGTAGACATGAATTTAATTTGTGGACGTGAATTTAAATAAGACCAATCAGTATGGTTGTGAGTTTCCCTCTTGCCCTATTAGCTGCATAGGTGCTGTTGGGCAGTAGGCAAGGGGTTGGATTTTATCAGGACACCAGTTTTACCAAATAGGATGAAATGAGAGAAAGACATAATAGTTGGGGTTGTGTGTGCAAGGTAATAACCACAATTGGGCATGAAATTTAAGTTGGTTAGACAAGGAAAAGAGGACCCTGAAGGAGATGAGGAAGTGTGAAGAAGTCTTGTTGGGATGGTCAGTGGATTTGAGAGAGTGATCTGGAAAGATAGAAAGTGGTCAGAAATGGGACGCTTGAAATTGAGATTTTAGTGAGTTGAGTAATTAATAAAGATACTTTACATGTGTTATCTCATTTAACCCTTTCAGCAAACGCTATAGTAGATGCTCATTTAATAGACTAGGAAATGGGACTTATAAAGGGGTTTTATCTGCCCTTGTCTCACAGATAAGTGATAGGCTGAAAATTAAATACAGGTATCTATTAGAAAGGCCATGGTCTTAACTACTACACAGTAGATGGTGGGTGCATTGTTGTGTTTCAAAGACAGTGATATATTTTGACACAAAAAGCAGAGTTTTCTAGGGGAGTTTAGGCTGGAGGCAGAGGAGTACACAAAATAATCTGTTTCTCATACAGCCTGGGAGAAATGGGAGAAGAAGCAAATGAAATATGCACATTAAAGTACATTTTATATGTAAAGTGGAATTAGAGAGCGGAAGAAACAAGTAACTGACTGCTTTGAGAATCTGATGACTCTTTCCCCAGAAAAGACATATATACAAGCACAAATTTTGTGTGTAGTTTCAGAGATATTTTAGAGAGCCTCTGCATGGATGTTGGATTCTCAAATATATGTCCCAGTTTATATAGCATGTTATATTTGATCAAATTACCTGTTTGTCTTCACTGCATTGCCCTGCCATTTCTGTAGAATGAGTTAAAGAAAGAGAAATTTATCCTTTTGTAACATGTCATTATAATAAAATCTTTATATTATGATTTCTAAGGCCAAAGCAGCATACTTATTAATAAGCATAATCACTCCCAATTTGTTTCAAGTATAATATTTGAAATTAAACACATAAAATAATTTAGTTTAACAATCTAGGAGCTATCGCAGATTGTTAAACTACTCGAAGTTCTTATTGTTTAGTTGATAAGCCTACCAGATTTGTGCCTTTGAAGATCTGCTACAGAGCTGTCAAAGGAATATAAGTTATTATTGAGTCTCAGCATTTTGATTTTTAAAGNATAAAATGTAAGCACTACTCGAAGTTCTTATTGTTTAGTTGATAAGCCTACCAGATTTGTGCCTTTGAAGATCTGCTACAGAGCTGTCAAAGGAATATAAGTTATTATTGAGTCTCAGCATTTTGATTTTTAAAGTATAAGTTACACTTCTTCAACAGTTTGTTCACATTTTAGAAATTTTCAGCAGCAGAAGCAAAATTTTCAAAACTGGATGGCACTTCACATATAATCTTAACACACACACACACACACACACTTAATTTTATTCCAGATCTCTAGGCTTCTAAGTCCAATAGTATACCTTTGTCTAGAGCTGGCAAGTTGTAACATTGAGAAGTTTTAAAAAATTATTTCTCAGCATAATGTAGGTATAGAGAATGGGTTGAAGGCATGAGAAGATAATAAAGGGGAAAACTTATCTAACTCTCATATATTACAAAAGTATATATACTATATTGGTCTAATCATTACTGAACCTAAGTATTTAAAGATTTTAAAAAGGCATTTTTTTCCTTCTCAGTGGCTAATACATCTCTACTTCTTTCTTTAAAAGAAATTTCAACCTCAGTCCAAGAAGTTCCTCTAGAACCATCAAATAATATTTTACTCCCAGTCAAGCCAAAGATTCAACGTCAGCAGGCAAAGAAAGCTCCTCTGCACAATTTAACTTATGGTAAAGTGCTTTTGGTTTTGTTTTTTGGTTTGTTATTTGAATGTATTGTTAAATGTTCTAGATAATTATTTTCCCTGTGTAGGCAAATAAGCTCTGACTGTGGATGAAAGATTAAATCATAAAAGCCAGAAGCACTCAGAGAAAGCCTGGGCAGGAGGGTGGTATATTCCTAACCTGAAGACTTCTTTTTAATATGAAGTTTTAAATTGTCCTGTTTCTCTCTTTTAATTTCATATTATTTTTCTGAAAATTTTGTTTGGCTTTGTATTTTTTGCAGAGCTTCCAGTTCTCAACCAAGAACATGAAAATGTTTCAGCTGCAGGAGTCTCAAACAGAGCGTTAACTAGAGCACAGCTGGCTAAACAGATTCTTTCAAAGGGGAATACAGTTGCAACCACTAAGTTAAAAAAGGACACATTTATTTTAGAAGGCATTGATTCTGCCTATGAAAAATCCCGAAATACTACTACTGAGACTCTAAGTACTCACTGTGTTTATAAAAATGGCAGTCAATTAATGGTTTCGGATAATAAGGTAACCAAAGGGACTTCACAACAGGAAATTAAGGAAGAAAATGAAAAAACAATGCCCGGAGAAACTGACATCCCAGGTTCCATAAATGACACATGTAAAATTCTGCTTGCAACTCCAAGATTTCATGTAACAATACCTCAGAGATCAAAAAGATATACTTCAAAGCTTCTTCCTCCAAGTATATGTCAAACTACTACAGATGGAGTTAAAAATAACAAGGTAGGAAAGCCTTTAAGGCAGATGTGTATTTCTGTTTTTATCCCCATTCTCCAAGAGCTTGACCTCTTAAGCTGTCTCATTATTACTGTTGAATGTAGAGGCAGTGGGTTGAAGGTAAGAAGGCCCAGGTGTTAATTATTACCTTGCTCTATTATTAGTTGTATAACCTTCAACAATTTACTTATTCCCTTTGATGATGAACACTGATTTTATTCCTGTTTTTATTTTTATTTTTCCTGATTCTTGGGGTACTATTAATACAACAAGTAAGAGAAAGGAATTGTGTATAGCATCTAAAGATCTGAGAATTTTTTCTGTTGTAAGGTAACATAGTATTCAATAAAAGACTTCAGACCATCAAACTATGTTACATTAAGACATTCGCTGAAGAAACTGGAACAACAAGTTCAAGGAGAAAGATACGAGGTTAAGTTTGTAGTTGTTAAAGGTTTGTCCGTTAATTTTTAAAAGGATGATGGTAGTGTTTTCCATACAGAAGCCAGGGTCTCAATTTCTACCCAGCAGCTCCTTAAAATAGTAAGTTGTGTCATCCTCTGTTCAAAATTCTCCAGTAACTTATCTCAAGAGAAAACACTTAAGTCTTTACCATGGTTTACAGAACTGTACATAATTCAGTTTCTTGAGATATCCAGCTTCATCACTTAGAGCTCAACAAATATTTGCCAAATGAATATTTTCACATTTTATATAAGCAGTATAGTACAGGGCTCTAGAGCCAGAATTCCACTTTTGAAACCCACCTGTGCCACTTACTAGCTGTGTGTGACATGGTCAAGTTATTTATATTATTTAACTAGACTTTACAGAGTTTCTTTATCTAGAAAATAGTACCTGCCTCCTACTGTTATGAGGATAACCTGAGTCAATGCATCTAAGGTGCTTGGAACACTATCTAGTGTTAACTTTTATTTTGAATACCATCTGACTTATTCTTCAATGTATGTATTTCAGGTAGTTCCAAGTGTGGAAGTAGGAAAAAAAGGAACTTTATTGCCTCTTCCCCAAATCCTACCTCTAATTTTTTTTTTTCCATCCTCACCCAAGAATATTTTTTCCATTGCTTTTCAGAGAGAATGGGAGGGGGACAGAGAGAGATAGAAACATTGATGTGAGAGAGACACATTGATTGGTTGCCTCCTGCTCTTGTGCCAACCGGGATCAGGGATTGAGCCTGCAACTGAGGTATGTGCCCTTGGCCGGAATCAAACCCGGGACCATTCAGTCTGCAAGCTGATGCTCTAACCACTGAGGGAAACCGGTTAGGGCTTATGAGTTTTTTCTTTTAATATAAATTGATTTTGTAATGCTTATGCTACCAGTAATGCAGAAAATATGTACTTTATTTTATGTTTGATTAGGTAGTCCAGCTACAGGAATGGATGATTAAAATCATCAACAATAACACTGCTATATGTGTAGAAGGGAAATTGATGTAAGTATAACATTTGAATATTCTTTTAATAAAATAAGATACTGTGTACAAGAGCTTACAAGGAGAAGCATGAGAAATAGTATCTTCCTACAAAACAAAACAAAATTAACGGTTGAAAACTTAAGGCAAAAAAAGGTAAAATGACTATACATACTGATTGTAACCAGCTTTCTTGTTTTTGCCTCTTAGGTTATTTTTAAAATAGTGACAGCTCAAATTTTTATACACAGTGCTTTTTTTCCATAGGTTTTAATAAGTTGACTGGTATTTGCTGCTTAATTATAAATGGTTAGTTAATATTTACTACATGCATTTCAGTTCAGATTCTCACAACTAAATTGCGACAACCAGATATAAATTACTGATCCAGACAAGGAATCAAAATTAATTTAAAACTTTTGCCATACAGCTATATATTAAGTAACCATTGGCACTTTCTGGTTCTCCCTAAAGTGAAAGTTTTATCAGGTAAGGGCTTTAATTAATTCTGCTAATCTATTGGCACCATTTCCTGTTCTTCAAAACCAATACCTTAGTGGTAAAAAGAACTGTAAAAAAAACGTCATGAAAACAGTACAGGATATCACTGTTCAAGGTACTTACTTGGAAATTTATAAGTTGAGTATATAAACTCTGTCTCATCCACTCCATTTCTGCCTGCCTTTTACCCATTTTTTGAATAACCAAGAGGCAGCATAGGTTGGAATCTTATGCCTTTGTTGGAATCTTATAGCTGTTTCCTGACTGTGTGACTTGGGCAAGTTATGTATTCTCTTTCAGTCTCATTTTTTTCATCTGTACAGTGGTGGTAATATTACTACCTTTTTGGGTTATTTTGAGGATTAAATGAGTTATATTTTTAAAACAAGAGGAGAACTTTAAAGTGCTATTTAAGTGTTCGTTAAATAAAATTAATAAAGCAAAAATACAGAGGATGAGAAGTAATCTTGTATTAAGGTATAATGTATGAATTTAGTCTCATTTGACCAAATGAAAGGAACTTAACTTTCTTACTATACTTAGATTTAGTATGTTTATTATTAGTTATCTAGTGAATTGGAGAATGGTCAAAATTTTTCTATTACATCTTCATATTTCATTCTATTTTATATGTATTCTTCATTTAAGGAAATGTGAAGAGGAGATTTATGGGTAAATAATTTGATATTGCAATTTGCTTTTTCCCTGCAACAACTTTTTGGTACTTTCCGAAGAGAAGGATAAAAACATTCGCTGTATAGTGAGGGTTGGAAACCCGCAAGATTAGATGGGTCCAAACTGTGTAATTGCATGAAAGCTAACACAGTGTAGGTGTTCAGAAGAGGGACGGGGAAATCACTCTTTGTAAGCTTACCATCAGTTAGGATGGAATTGCGAGCGTTGTCAACGCCCGCTGTTCAGACATTCCCAGCTTCCTTGCTAATGATATATTTTATACTAGGAGTATGGTTTGGTCACAGCACAGTTTCTTGGCACATACTCTTAGGGTCACATTAGCCAAACAGTTGAGCTCTGCAACGTTTGGCCCTCATATGTTTTATAATTAGATTAACAATATTGTTAATGTAGCTGGAATGCAAATTTATTGCTATCTATTATAAATTGATATACTTATCTATGTACATTGTGACTACTGGTAAAATGAATATTTTGGCCTTAACTAAGCTATTTTTTTCCTCCTAGAGACATCACTAACATATATTGGCACAGTAATGCAATTGTAGAACGGATTGAACACAACAAACTTAGGACATTATCAGGCAACATTTATATATTAAGAGGAATGATAGACCGGATTTCCATGAAAGAAGCAGGTAATGACTCATAAAATTAATTGATAAGTTATTTTAATAGGTGAAGCAGTTAACCATATTTCTAATAGTTATATACTTTTTTAACTTTTAATTAGGTGTTTTAAAATTGTGAATCAATCAAAACAGAATTGACCACATTATATAAAACTATTTAACAGTTTAAATAAGTCCAGTGATTGATTGATTGATTGATTGATTGATTGATTGATTTTAATTCAAGTAAAGTGTTTCTTATTTCGGAAGAATTGCTTTATAAGAAAATAATTTAACTCCCTAGGTCCTCTCTTTGTTGAACCTTCCCAGCACAACCCCAATCTTGGTATAATCTAATTTTGTGCCTATGACTTGCACATAGCTAATGTGACTGAAGAAAAACACATCTGAGCAGTCTATTTTAAATTTATAATTACTAGCAACAGGTTGTGGTCCCTTAGTGCTGCTTGGCATCCTACAACATTTCTCTAATCCATTCATTCTCCCATCCTCCTTAATGACTACTTCATATTTTTACATACCTCCTCCCTCCCTCTCTCAGATGGGGAGATGGGGTGAGGGAGAGGGGGTATGACCTGAGCAATTGGAAGACTCAGAAGAGAACGTATTCTCACATGTGCTCACCTGCTTGCATCTGGGCCTGCTTTTATATGGATGAACGGTCCATGTTTCTGTCTTTGTCAGCCTCTGCATTTGTACTCTAGCTCACATTTTCCCTTTTACTCAAAGATTTCACTGCAATAATTCTCCCTTCTGTCAAAAATAATCCCTTTTTTTTCCTTTTTCTTTTTTAAACATATCTTTATTGATTTCAGAGATTGGAAGGGAGAGGGAGAAAGAGAGATAGAAACATCAATTATGGGAGAGTCATTGATTGGCTGCCTGCTGCACACCCCCCACTGGGGATGGAGCCCGAAACCCAAGCAGGCATGTATCCTAACTGGGAATCGAACCGCGATCTTCTAGATCATAGGTCGATGCTCAACCACTGCGCCATGACAGCCAGGCCCACTTTTCTTTTTTCAGAGAACAGTCCTTTTAACCACACTTCTTTTAACCACTGTTGCTCTCAATTATAGCAAAACAACTCAGAAGATTTGTTATATCTAGTTACTCTTGAGTTTTTTCCCATTTTTTTCTTGAATTCTCTTTTATTATGCTTTAATCCCCAATACTTCACTGAAACATCCCTTATCAAAGTCATCAGTGGCTCCCACATTGCTAAATCCAGTATAAACTTGACACAGTTAATCTTACCTACCTCCTTGAAACACTTTTAACTTGGCTTCTGGAATACCATATTCCAGTTTTCATGCTGTTTCACTCCCTGTTGTTCCTTAGTTTTTTGCTCATTTTTCTTTTTCTTCTTTGCCTCTTAATGAGCAAAGACTCTAGGACACTTTCTACATTCAGTGCTGTGCTGATTTCTTTTAGGCTTTAAATCTTTTTTCTTTTTTTTTTTTAAATATATCTTTATTGATTTCAGAGAGAGGAAAGGAGAGGGAGAGAGAGAGATAGAAACATCAATGATGAGAGAGTCATTGATCAGCTGCAGCCCGCAACCCGGGCATGTGCCCTGACCGGGAATCGAACCCTGATCGCCTGGATCCTAGGTCAACGCTTAACCGCTGAGCCAAGCCCGGCCGGGCTAGGCTTTAAATCTTATCTATATGGTGACAAGTGCCAAATTTATATCTAACCAAAAATACTCTCCTAGCCACTCATTTTCCATCTGCCCATTTGACATCTCCCTTAGGATATCTACAGGCATCTCAGACTTAATACAGTTATCACTTAATGATGGATTTACGTTCTGAGAAATATATTAGGTGGTTTCATCATGTGAATATTATAAAGTGCACTTACACAAACCTAAATAGTGTAGCCTACTACACACCTAGGCTGTAAAGCATAGCCTATTGCTCCTAGGCTACAAACCTATACAGCATGTTACTCCACTGAATACTAGAGGCAGTTGTAATGCAATGGTATGTACTTGTGTATCTAAACATATAGAAAAGGTACAGTAAAAATATGGTATAAAAGATTTTTTTAAATGGTTACTTGTGTAGGTCACGTACCATGTGTAGAACTTATAGGACTGTAATTGCTCTGGGTTAGTCAGTGAGTGAATGTGAAGCTGGGACATTACAGTACACTACTATAAACTTTATAAACACTGTACAGTGAGGCTACACTAACTTTATAATAAAAAGATATTTTTCTTCAATAATAAATTAACCATAGCTTATTGTAGCTTCAACTCTATAAACTTTTTAATTTTTTTAACTTTCAACTCAAAACATAAACACATTATACAGCTGTTTTAAAATCTTTATATCCTTATTTTTTAGCTGTAATGCATTGCACTGTGACATCATGACACTATGATGTCATTAAGTGATACAAGTGTTTTGCCATCACAACAATTACGAAGTCACTAGGAAATACAAATTTTTCAAATCCATTATGATCTAATGGGACCACCTTCATATATGCAGCCCATCGTTGACCGAAACATCCTTATGCAGTACATAACTGTATATCTAAAACCTGATCTCCCTTAAATCTGCTTAGTCTACAGTCTTCCCCCTCTTTCCATGGTTCTAGGCTAGCCAAAATCCTTGGAGACATCCTTAAATCCTCCATTTCTCTCACACACACATCTCTGTGTCAGTACATCTTATTGGCATTATCTCCATAATATATCCAGAACCTAGGCCTCTGCTGACTGTCATGGTCCAGACCCCCTCTTGTTCTGTTTGAATCTTTGCAGTAACCTCTTAACTGGTCTCATTGTTTCTCCCCTTATACTTCCACAGACTCTTCTCAAAATAGCAGCTGTTACAGTCCTGCTCAAGTCAATTCCTGTGGCTCCTCTGGTCATAACGTTTCCATAGCTTACCCTCTCATCCAAAGTAAAAGACTAGGTCTGTAAAATTACTCCAGTGCCTTATAATCTACTGTGCTCCCCCACTGCCTCTGTTATCCATCTGAGTAGCCTCCTAATACTAGCCTCTCCTCACTCCACTTTATGCTGATCTCTTCTACAAAAGCAGCCTTTCGTTTTGTTCTGTACTTCAAGTCCTTCAAAGCTTTGCTGTGTGGCTTGCTTCAGGTCCTTCAAAGCTTTACTCAAAGCTTTACTGCTATTTCAGTAAAAACATCTCTGACTATTCTTTTTTTTAAATGCTGTCTGCACAAGCACACTGATATCCCTATTCCCCCTCAACTGCATAATTTTTCTCCATAGCATCAGTGTCCATCTAACAAGATATTTTACTTACTGGTTTAATTTCAGTTTCACACTAGAAGGCAAGTTTCATGAAGTATGGGTTTTGGTTGTTTCGTTAATTGCTGAATCCTCAGTATCTGCAACAGTGTCTGCCTGGCACATAGTAAATAAATAATAAGTATATGTGATTTTGAATGATTTAATGAATCAATGACATCTCTTTAAAATTCTAGGACCTTAGATAATTTTGTTTATTTATCGTTAAATAGGATATCCATATTATCTCATAAGGAAGTTTATGTTTGGCTTTCCAGAAAATTGGAAAGAGCACATTGATAATTTTCTAGAACAATTAAGGTAAAGTACTTTTTATATTTTAAAAAAACATCTTTATTGAGGCAGAATTTACATTTGATAAAATGCACCCATTTTACGTATACAGTTTGGTGAGCTTTTAAAAATGTATACTCATGTAACCAGTATGAAGTGGTTTTAATTTCTTTTTTATAGAAAATAAAACCTTGGACATTTCACAGAGTTATCTTTACTCTGCCCATTAAGAGTTATGTAGCTGTTAAATACAAGTCTGAAGTTCTTTGGTCCTTTTTCTTCCATTCATTCCCTCTGTAGTTGAGTGTGTTGGCACTGGAGAAAACAAAGAAGAATTTGATTAATTCTTGCCCTTAAGGAACTCATAGGAGATAGAGTGATGTAAGTTAGTCACAATACAATGTAAACATAGCGGGCTGGCAATTTTTTCTATAAAGGGCCAGATAGTATTTTTATGGGCATACTCCCTCTATCGCAACCACTCAACTCTTTATAGAGGAAATGCAACCATAGTCAGTACTTTAATGAATGTGGCTATGTTCAGTAAACTTTATTTACAAAGATAAACAGCTGATAGGCTTTGTTTTGTATTTTCTTTTAATATCAGCTTAAGTAGGAAATATAAAAGCATAGAGCAGGAAACACTTAAGAGGTTTTATTTGAATCTTTTGACTTAACAAATTATACTTGAGTTTTTTGTGGGAAAAGGGGGTAGAAGCCATGAAGGTTTAAATAATGTAAGATTAAAGGTAATCTTTACTATGGTGAAGAAAGCTTTGGCTGAGGGAGGTGTTTTTTTCTGTTTTTTTGGGGTATAGCATTCGTGTTAAAGGTTAGGTTAGGGGTTGGGTTTAAAATTAGGGATAGCTTTAGGATTAGGTATAGGGTTAAAAGTTAAAGTTACGTTTAAGATTAGGATTAGTCTTTGGTTTAGGGTTAGGTTTAAAAATTAGGGGTAGGGCTAAGATTAGCTTTAAGGTTAGGTGTAATATTTGGAGTTCGGGTTATGGTTAAGTTTAGAATTAGGGTTAGGTTTAGAATTAGAGTAAGGTTTATGGGTAGGGTAAGGGTTAGGATTAGGTTTAAAATTAGGAACAGTGTTAGGATTAGAGTTATGGTTAGGGCTGACATGTTATATTTAGGGTTGAGATTAGGTCATAGGAGAGTTTCATTTATTTGCGGGTGTAGTTTTGTTTCACATTTTTGAAAACCAGCATTAGAGGGAAAATGCTGTATTTTTTAGGGCTTGTGAAAAGAAAAAGAAAGAGGCCAGACAAAAACAGAAAAGTGGAAGATTTGTGCCTGACATAGGAAAGTCAATGGAAAATGATGCAGGAGTAAACCAGACAGATGGCCTCCAAAGAACCAGCAGCATTTATGACCTTGATTGTAATCATTTGGGTATGTTTGCTCTTTTGTTCTCTATTGGAGTAGTGGTATATCCTCATATGAGCCCCACATTGTTTAATTGTTCACAGTGCATATAGTATTGAATTCTCATATGGTCCTAAAGTGTTTCAGTTTTCACTACTTGAGGAAAAACTGCAAAGCAGATAGCTAGCTCATAGTCAGCATTCAGCTTACTTCATTAAATGTTACCTTTTAATTTATCTGATAAATATATCAGTAAAAGATAACTTTCAGTTTCCTAGACCCAAGGTACTTAAGCTGCCAGCCTACCTCAAACCTGTATATTAAAAATGCCTAATTTGTACCAAATTTTATTCCTGTTAGTAGACAAAACCAGTTCGCTTTTATGGAGGAAGTGGCATGGTTTTTTGAATGGCCATTGCTATAAAGGTAGCTGGCAAAATTGTTGTGTCACCTCTTTGCAGAAACTAATTTGCCTCACATCCCAATCCTCCCCCACTCCTGCCCCAAAGAAGTATGACCATTAATTAACTTTCAGCCTTTTCTAGAAAATATAGATGAATAAAAGTTACTAGAATCTGTTGTATAATTTCTGTTGGTTCTGCCTTGAACTTGTAACAAAGAGCTTTACAGAACTGCAAAAGTTGAGGATTGCTTCTACCAAAAACATGGCACCATACTGAGTATAGGCTACTCCTTCACCCCACTGCACCCTATTTCCCTGTCTTCATGGTGCCTCACCCCCTTTGTAATTTTGCTTATCCTTTGTAGTACAGACAAAGAAGCGGATTAGATATGTAGATGACTGCTTGCTCAGAGCTAGCTAAAATTCACTCTTTATTGTTCCAGTTTCTTCTCAGCCTTTCCTCATTTTTTCAAGTCATCCTATCACCTGTAAATTTAAAATATGCTTTTTGTCATTGCTAGAACATCTTCAGTATTCTGGAGTCCTGGGGCTACAGGAACTACTACGTACTTTTTTACTCCTAAATTTAAAATTTCCAGCCGTGTATCTCACTTTTATCATTTATTAATCTTCTTTAGTCTTAGATCTTAACATCCCTCTACCCCATCCTTTCTTTCTCTTAGTGCAGTGTTTTTAAATTGTGAATGTTACGGGTAAAGTGTTTGAAGATACAAATGTAGAACGCTAAAGTTTGGTAAACTATTTTACATGCTACCTGTATCCATAGGAAAATCATTCAACAAATATTTTTAAAGCACCTTTTGTGAACCTTTATCTGTGTTAGCTGTTAGCAACTTAGAGATAAATAAGATGAGATGATGCCTCCCCTTTGGGAAGCTCAGGCTAGGGGCAGATATTACTGGATTCTGTTTTGAATGTATCATTTTTCTAGTGTGATTTATTAGGTCTTTGTTTTGTGCCACTGTTAAGACATTATGTGTCCTCGTATTACATAAGTTATTTTGAGTGGTGGTGGTTGATGCTGTTGTTTTTATTATTATCATTACACTTTTCATGGGAAAACCACTGAAATAAAACCACATCTAACATTAAACAACTAAAGTTATGCAAAGGTGCCAACCAATGAAAACTTAAGATGATGTGATTGTGTGTATTTTAGTGATTTACCTAAAATGTGGTTTTGCATATTTAGTGCTATAATCTATATATCATAGTATTGTTATTAAAGTACTTTATGTCTGTTATTATACTTAACAAAAATATAAATGATCTATTATAGTAGCCTCATTCACTGTACTGTAATAATCTCAGAGTAAGGACCATCTGTTATGTTTCGTTTTTTGTTTTTTGTTTTTGTTTTGTTTTTCAAAAATATATATCTTTATTGATTTCAGAGAGAGGAAGGGAGAGGAAGAGATAGTTGAAACATCAGTGATCAAGCCCACAACTTGGGCATGTGCCCTGACCGGGAATCGAACTATAATCTCCTGGATCCTAGGTCAATGCTCAACCACTGAGCCACACCCGGCTGGGCTATTACATATCTTTAAGTACAGCTTATAGAATAATAATAAAAATGTTATAGTTTTTCTGAGTCCTTTTTAACTTATCTAGAATTTTAGCTCAATAACTATTAGGCCTATATTGTATACTATATAATTTGGTTTTGCTTAAAATTTTAATTAGCATGGATTTAGTTGTACATTGGTGTACATAAACTAATTGAAACATAAGAATTCAATATACATGAAGAAATATAAGGGAAATAGAGTTATTAGCTTCCTGTTTAGTTGATACAAGAGTTAGGATGAACAGGAACTTGTATTTACAAACTGGCTTAACATTTCTGTTTGCCTTTAGATGTGGCAAAGGAGACCCAAAACAGATAGTAAGGAATAATATGGCTTTCCATTTTTTTCCTTTTTTTTTTTTTTTTTTAGAGAATAAAAGCAATTTGAACAAAACATGGCCCAGTGCAGAGTGATATTCTGTCCAACTAAAATTGCTTTATATCATAATCAAATTTAACAAATATTTGTGACATTGGATTAGACACTTTTTCAAAGTGAATTCTTAATGTGGAAGGGCAGCTTGTCTTTTATATAATCATTTATCGAAATCTCCATCTTTGTACTCATAGAACTAAAGAATAGTAAACATAGTAGGTTGCCAGGAGCTACAGAAATAGACATCTGCCAGAGTAATCCTCAAAATAAACCACCATTAAGGCTCCCAGATGACCACATAAAGAATACTGTTCAAAATGGAGGAGGCTGTGACTTACCTACTCAGGTAAGCTTTCCCTGTGCCCTGTACGGGGGTGGCGTGATACTGCTGAAAAGGTTCAGGGCCAAATCAGAAATCATGAGTTCTGGTTGTTAAATATGGCTTTTTATTAGTTTTGGCCCTGTAGATAAATGTCTTGATATTTATTTTCCCAGTGTCTCATTGGAAAAATGTAGGCAACAATAACAAAACATTCAGTTCTTAGAGTAAGGCTTAAATAAAGAGTGTGTGTGTGTGTATTAAATCAGTAAAGGAAGTGAGAATGTGGATACCCAGGTGGTGCTTGTTGAGCTCTGAATGCTTCTGCTAATGAAATTTGTAGAACTATAAATACCTAGAAATTTGTATACTTTATTCATACTGTGAAAATTTTTGTGGTCATATTTATAGGTAGTACTTGTTATAATAAAAACTTATCTTTTGATTTTGAAGGAATTGATTGGAAAAAAGGAACATAAAAAGTTATCTTCAAAGAAACTCAAAAATTGTGAAAGAAGAACAAATGAAAAGCTAATTAAAAGTCAGAAGCAAGGTAACATCCTTATTACGTTATTTTATAATAAGTAGAAAGCTACTATTTGAAATTTTTTAATATAATAAAAGTGATTTCATAAATTTTCAAATCTAAAATGGTAGACCAACTGTTTTAATGGTTATTAAATATTCGATGGTGTTTTGGGTTTTTTTGGTTTTTTTTAACAGATGATTTACAAAATAAAAGAATTCATTACTTTAAATACCAGATTTACTTCTAGGTTTGCCTCCTTTAATCTAGGTGGCTTTAATAATTTTAAATCACAAAATATACATTATTTTAAATATGCTTCTAGTAATATTTAAAGACACAATCCTTTTATAAAATTGTTCATAAGCCATAATTTAATTTTGTGTAAGTGTGGATTTTCAGAGTGATTTCATTGAAATCCTGGATTCCAGAATGTATAGAACTTTTTCTCTATGCATTAGGAAGTTTAAAGTTCCATGCTGAGTTAAATCTATCAGCTTAATGGCAATTTTTCTATTTAGTTCTTCTTATAAATGAAAAGTGAAAGTGGAGGACATTTATAAGTGTGCAAAAAAGTAGACTGGAGAGCAATACTACTACTACCAACTTTATATGACTTAGGTAAAAGAATCCAGAATAGGTTGAATCTTTATTTAGATTATTTAGTGAAATTAATAAAAAATGTTTTGCTCAAAATTAGAAAGTTTAAAATTTTTAAATTGCCAGTTGAACATTTGATTCATATTATTATGAGGAATTAGAAAACATCTTACTCATAATGTGAAAAGATAGCTAATTCCATTGAGAAGTCTTGTGGAAACTTTCTTGATTTTTATTAGTGCTACTTCATGAATTATAATTTAGAAGCTTCTTTTCTTTTTGTTATTTATCTTTTAAATGTCACATAATATGTGTAGGTTGTTGCCAGTATTGTTTGTGTGATAATTTACAGTTTGTGTCTATAATTACAACTGGATAATTTAAAGTTAGAAACTAAATTAGTTTGGCTTCTGGTTTCTTAAGTTTCAGAGGATTTCTCTTATTTAATTTGCTTTCTTTAACTAGTGGCACAGTATAGTAAAGGCTCTCCAGTTCCATTCTGGTTGTTTTCCCACGATGATTCATAGAGTTTTTGGGTATTCAGCAAAAGCGAGTCTTGATGGCTGCCGTCAGGGGTGAGAATGAGGCCATGCAAGTGGAGCTCCATGTTCTCCGAATTCTCTCCTTAACAAACCCAGCTTCTGTTTCATATATTACATACCTAATAAGGTTTTAGCAACCCAGCAAATACTTATTTAGCATCTACTGTATATGTGAAAGACTCTGAACTCCAGCCAAAAACAAATTTTAAAAATAAGACTAAGTTATTAAGTGGCTTCTTCAGTCTAGTTGAAAGATAAGACAAGTATAATTATATGCAGGGCATATTATCAAACATGGCATTGTTTTAAAATGTTCTGGAAATTTGAAAGCGCTTTCATTCAGTTGAGGAAATCAGGACAAAGTTTGTGGCCTAGGTAGGTTAGAGTATAAAACTGAAGCAGGTAGTGATTTGGTTTGTAAATGAGTGAAGGAAACTTTCCAAGCAGAGTGAAGGTTCAGGATTAAGAAAATGTGAGAAATGGTGGCCTCACAAACAGAGACTGGTTCAGGTATGAGTGTAGTGAGAGGTTAGAACGTACTGAAGGCCAGGTAGGGGAGCTTATATGCACACTTAGTAGACTGTGAGAAGTCATAGACAAGTTGGTATAAAAAAAAAAACAGTATGTTTACAATTGAAGGGTCAGTGATCTAAACAGACCGGTGCTTCAGGAAGATTAATATGACAGTAGTGTGGACAGTGGAGTTTGTTGGGGGGAAGACAGTGTATTTTGTTTGTGAAAATAGTTTTATATTTTGTTTGTAGCTAATTTGATATTTTGATCTTTGGTTTTATCTTATGAAATTAAAGAGCAAACCGAAGAATCGAAGGTATCCATTGATATTATCATCTCAGGAAAATCACCTTTCTCAGACAAAGAAAGAAAATGTATGGCTGCTAATCAGAAGGAAGTTTATATTGTACTAACACCGCTTAAATCTAAAAATGTGATAGAGCAAAAATGCATGAAGTATAATGTGTCCTCTGGTACCATTAAAGCAGTAACAGATTTTATAGTGCCAAAGCATCAAAAAGAAAGTGAATCAGACATAAATGAAACTACATGTCCAATCAGTAAGCCCAGAAAGACTTTGAAAAATGCATTTGAGTGTGATGTGAGTAATAAAAGTGAAAACAAGGAAGACTGCATTGAACGTGATATACTCACTGTCAACCAGAAAATAAAAATACCTGGTTTGAAAAAGAAACAGTCAGTCACCTCGGGGTTTAAGAAAAATACAAGGTTGTTATCAAAATTGAAGAAAATTGAAAAAAATCAAGTAACACATCAAAGTTTGTCTGTTGACGAAAGTGAAACCAAAAAGATTAGAACAAAAGCTGGAGATGTTAAGAAAACCACAGAAAGAAATACCAAAGAAACAGTAGTTCACCAGAGAAAAAGCGGAAGGAATTCCACAAGGGAAATCTCAGTAATTTCTGAATCTGAAACTGAAGAAAGTGAAACTGAATTTCATATTAAAAAAAAGAAAGCTAGATGTTCTGCTAAAAATAATTCTGAGAAATCTGATATTAGAAATGAGTTTCCAGTTATTGACAAAATGGGATCTGATAAGACAAAGAAGCATTCCTTAGAATGTTTACCTGATTTAATTCAGGAGGATGAATGGAATGAGAAGGAATTACAGAAGCTTCACTGGTAAGTAGATTTGACTCTGAAATATCTACAGTGGCCACAAAATAGTTGAAGAAAACTCCAATGAGGGACTCATTTAATGACTTCTAGTCATTAAAATGGAATATGTCATCCGAAAGCACATGGAGAGAAATTACAATTTATACAGAGAATGGAGGGAAAATATAAATAACTGCCAACTAGATGGTATTTTGTGGCTGTCTATACAGTATACATATGAGAAAAATAAAAGAGAGCTTTTCTTGATTCACATTTAATATTGCAAACACATCCTCTCCCCCTGCCTACCCATCTACCAAAGAAAGGTAACTATGTGAGGGGATGGATGCATTGATTGTGGTGATCATTTCACAGTGTATATGTATATCAAATGATCATGTGTAGACTTTAAATATGTGTAACTTATCAGTTATTCCTCAATAAAGCTGGGAAATATATTTCAACACAGACAAATGCTCTCTCACAGCTTCACATTTTAAGAAATACTTTATAATTAAATTACCATTATAAAACCTTCAAATTTATATAGATTATTTAATTGTGTTTCTCCCCACCCCCCAATTTATAGAAAAGAAAATAGTCTCAGATATTAAGTGATTTTTCCAAAGATTCATTGTTACTGCAGCTTAATAAGACCTGGATTTGGCTACATAGACTTGACAAGCAGCATCAGTAGTCTACTAGTATTAGAAGCCAGATCATAGTTGAGCAGTGAAGAGCGAATGGGATAATAAAGACAGTTTAGGTGCACAACAAAGGAGTTTGGCAGTGATGGGGAATAGAAAAGCGTACGTAATAGAAGAGAGTGTGAAGGGAAGACGTGTGGTTGCTTGTTTGATTTGTAAAGGACTCATGCCAGAGTATGGTGGTTTGCTGATGGAAATAAGCTAATAGAAAGGAAGGAAGTATGATTGATAGAAGAGAGAAGGATGACATGGAAACATACTGCTTTCAGTGTTCCACTCCCTTGTATACTCCTGAACCGTGTAACATTTGGAATTCATTCTTGAAACTCTTCTTACAGCATCTCTGCACCATATTCTTCCTTTTTCAGTTGCCTAAATGTACCTTCTCTTTCTTGAGGCATAGAAGGTAATCTTCATTCTTATTCTTCAGAGATTTTGGTTTGGCCACTTTCTTGCTTCTCAGTGATCTTTTCCTCCTAGATTTCTAACTTCCTTCTATGTACAGGGACTTCCAAATCTTTATTTTTGGTCCTGAATGCTTATATTTAGGTTTGTATTTTCCTTTGCCTGCTGGAAATCTCTACGTAAGTCTCACCTATATCTCTATATCAAAAATCAGACTTATTTCTCCTACCTGTACACTGCCTGACATTCCTATTTCTGAAAATATAATTCTTTCAGTCAACTAAGTTTAAACTCTTTGTCATTATTAATTTTTCAAAACTTTAATTAGTTCCCAAGGAGCTATAGATCTTTCTCACAGGGTCATTTTTCATCTGCACCCTTTTTCTTGAAACTACTCTTTTTCAGATTTTTAATGCCTTTTGCCTGAACTATGGAAGTAGCTTTATATTTGTATTTTGTTCTTTTCATCTGTGTAACCTTTTATACATCTCCAGATTAGTCTTAATGTATAGTTGTGATTCTGACAGATCAAAAACCTTCATTGCATTATTACTAATCTTCAAATTGTATAGATTTTTCTGCCTTGCATTGACAGCATATAATATATTGACCTCAATTATTCTTTTCAGCTGTATCCCCCATCATTTCCTTATAATAAAGGTTCTCAACCTTTGCTGTATATTTAGATCATCTAAAGAGATTTTTTAATGCTTGAACTGCAGTTCCCAGTAAGATGGAGTAAGCCCACTCCACTCTTGCTTCTCTGCCGCTATAAAACCAAGACAGAATGCATACAGCAGCTTTTTATTGACTCAGGTAAATAGTAGCAGGTCACTTGGGGAAGACAAAAATTTAAGTACTACCAAACTGGCAGTGAATTTCCAGTTTTTCACTTGATATCACCCAAGCTAAACTCAAGGCTGCCTAACACCTGGATGTGGGCACTGGGGTACGACAGGGTTAAGAGAAGAAAGGGGACTACTAATGCTCAGAAATAGTAGGGGAAATGCCCCAGTTCTCTTTCTTTCTTTTCTTTTTTTAATACATTTTTATTGATTTCAGAGGGAAAGGGAGAGAGAGAGAGAGAGAGAAACATCATTGATGAGAGTCAATGATCAGCTGCCTCCTGCACGCCCCCCTACTGGAAATCGAGCCCACAATTTGGATATGGTGCCCTGACTGGGAATCAAACCATGACCTCTTTGGTTCATGAGTCGACACCAGCCAGGCCAGTTCTCTTTCTTTTTTTCCTTTCTTTTATACCCCAGTTCCATGCAGTCCTGCAGGGATGAAAATCACAGCAGCAGTTGGGGCCCACACATACCTAAAACTCTGAAAGTGGGGAACCTTCCTCTCCAGTAAGAGAAGTAGAGCTCTCAAGAGGGTGGGAAAAATCGTGTGTTTTTCTCATTCTGTCCTCATCTTGGCACTGGAGAAAGATGCAATTGTAAGAAGTTTACAGCAAAGCTAGGTAACTAAAGCCCCCATCTTTCTCCCAGAGAAACAAAAGCAGAAACCCTAAGAAACCCAAAGTTGCAGAGAGGGAGAAGATAACCTTTTAAAGCTGTTTTTGAACTTTTGGGCTCACCCCTGAGAAATCTAGAGCTGCTATATCAGTACCTATGAAAGATTTCAGTAAGGAAAATTATGAGGAATAAAGAAGTACTTTACAAAATTATCAAGGATATAAAACAACTCAATGATACATCAACTGTTTAATAGACATTTATGGAACAGTCCACCCAGTAATGGGGCAGGGGGCTAATTCCAAGGGTGGGTAGAGCATCAAGATAGGACATCATATTTACTGGGTCATAAATATTAAACTTAAAATAACTGAAGTCATACAAAGGGTGTTCTCTTACCATAATTGAATTAAATAACAAATCAATGAAAGATAACAGGAAATTTTCCAAGTGGTTGAAATTTAACACACTGTAAAAGTCCACAGGTCAAAGAGGAAGTTTCAAGGGAACGTATTCTGCACTGAACAAAAATGAAAATACATCAAAATCTGCAGTGTAAGCCCAGAAGTTCATAACTTTATGGGATAGTTTTACTGAGCTCATCTCTTCTGATTTCTGTGGTACTTTCTGCATAAATTAATTGTTGCACATTCTTGAATGAATGGACTACTAAGTAGTAAAACAGAAGAATTACTGTTCCCTATAACAACTTGAACGAATTTCAAAGGTATTATGCTGAGTGAAAAGAGCCTGCTCTAAAGGCTACGTGTTATATGCTTCCATTTACTGTATATGAAATCCTGGAAGAGACAAACCAAAAAGAAAATAGATCAGGGGTTGGCAGTTGTTACAGTGGTGGGTGACAGCAAAACGGTAGGGATTTTTTTCAGAACTCTGACCTGCAGCCCCATTCCTTTTGAAATTTACCAAACTATAACTATGAACTGTTTTCATTCCTTAACCACATATCTTGTTTCCTCATCTTCATTTCTTGGCCAATATAGTTGCCTCATTTTCACCTGTTATATTTTTTATCCATCAAATTTTATCTCACATCACCTCCTCCTTGTAACTTTTACATGTCATCATCTGTTTCTACCACAAACTCAGATATAATGCCTCTTTCTGAAAAATGCAAAGTATTGCCACCCTAGACCTACTAAATTGAAATCTTCAGGGGTAAAGTCTGACTCTGTTTATTTTACTCGTTTGCTTACTTGCTTGTATTTTTGCTATAAGCTCAACTGATTCTTTTTTTGAGAGAGAAACAGTTGATCATGATTGATCGGCTGCCTCCTGCACATGCCCTAATGGAAGGTAAAACCCTCAACCTGGGTATGTGCCCTGACTGGGAATGGAACCCGCCACGTTTTGGTGTACAGGATGACACTCCAACCAATTGAGCCACACTGGCCAGGGCATTCCTCAAGTGACTCTTAGTTGCAGCCCGCTGCTTTGTTTGCCACATCATGCTGATAAACTAGGAGGATAGACAGATATTTGGCAAAAATAACTAATCACTGTAAGAAAATTATGAGTGTGTATTAGAGAAATCTGATGGTGCAGATACTTGAACTGAGATCTAAAGGATAAATGAATTATTTAAGCCCAAGATTTATGATAAATATATTTTAAGTAGGACAGTATGTAAAAGTAGAAAGGAAGAGCATATTTAGAAATACTGAAAGGCCAAAATGACTGGAGTACAGAAAGTGAGAGAACAGTACAGGATGAGACTAGACAGACAGACAAGGAACAATGTAGGTTGTATTAAGTATTTTGGTTTTTATGATAAGAATAATGAAGTGAGGTTTAAGTAGGACTGGAGTGACATGACTAAATCTGCCTTTTAAAATTATCTTGGAGGAGACGTTAATTACAAACTAGTTTCTTATTAAATGTATTAAGTATTTTCATGACAAAAGAGCCCTTTCAGGCATTTCTAGACTTGAAAATTACCTGTGTACACAAATAGGGAATCTTGAGCTCCTAAATCTTTTTAGTGATTAATTATGCAAAAGAGTAGATCATTAACAGTTTTTAATACCCATGGTATTCTTTTCTGCATGCAGTGAATGGTATTTTGTAGTCAGCTGGTACCTGTTCACAAGAGCTGATTTCTTAAAATTTCAGGAATCCTACAAATTGTCATTTAAAAGTAAATAAATTTAGCCCTAGCCTGTGTGGCTCAGTGGTTAAGTGTTGGCCCACCTACCAAAGAGTCGAGGGTTCTATTCCCGATCAAGGGCACATACCTGGGTTGCAGATTCGATCCTCAGCCCCATTCGGGGCATGTGCAGGAAGCAACCAATTGATGTGTCTCTCATCTCACTCTCTCTAAAAATGGTAAAACTATCCTTAAGTGAGGATTAACAGCAACAAAATTAAATTTATTAAAAACAGTAATACTCTAAACTCATTACTTCCTAGTTATTTCAGTACATTTTATTATGTATACCCTTAAGGTTCTTCACATCTGTTATACCTGTATGGTGAAGATTCTTTGTAGTCATGTGCCATGGCACATTTCTTATTCCTCATTCAGTGACATCATGTTGGTAGGTTGAAATCAGCCACATTAGGGTTATTTACAATATGAAAATTTGCCAGCTCTGAAAAAAAGGACTTTTTAACCCCAGACAGCTGGTTGTTAAAAAATTTATCAGTACAACACTGCATAATATAAAATTTGTTCAGGGGGAGTGGTGGTGTGGTAATATGTGTACCAGGTTCTAAATAATAATTTACAAATGACCTTTTAGAATGTAACTCATTCGTTAAATTGGAGAACTACCTTATATTGACTTAGTTTTTTTTCTATTTCAATTTTCATTTCCCTTAAGTATTATATCTAAAATATTCTGTTCTATAAAATGTAATGCTATACTGAAAGCAAGCATAACACTTTTTAGTAATTTAAAACCTGGAATGTATACAAACTAAGAGCTCATCTTCCAATATATTTAACACCAGTAATATTTGAGCAACAGTGTAGAAAAGTTAGTCATGCTGGAACCTCCCAAAAGATCACATCATTGACTAGTTGGACTTGAGAAGAAATGTCTTAAGACCGGGAATGATTTAAAAGATCATTCAGATTAAAAAGATTAAACAAAATAGAATGTATCTACTAAATATGTTAAATTACATCTTCATATTTTAAGCAGTAGAATAAGTTATTGAGCGTAGGGAGTAGTATCTTCTTTCCAAATAGTTATCTAGAATGATTTTGGTAAAATTCCTTTAGTTCATTAAGTCTTGTTGATTTAGTAGTACAAATTCAGGTTGTTTTTCTTTATTTGAATTTCTTATTCTTTAACTGGTTTTGATCTTCCATAGTGCTTTTACATCTTTTCCCAAGCACAAACCTGGTTTCTGGTCAGATGTAGCTATGGCTGTAGGTTCTCGATCTGCTGAAGAATGCCAGAGGAAATACATGGAAGATCCCCAAGGAAATGGATCCCAGAAACATGTTGCTAAGAAAAAGCCAGTCAATCCCAAAGGCCAAAAAAATGGTAACCTTTATAGTAAATATTTTTTTCCTAGTTATCAGTATCAATTTCTAATCACTCACTAGATATATTTTATATTTATCCATGTGTCTTACAGACATTTTCTTACAATTTTAATGCTAGAAAGAACTCTAAAGATCATTTGTTACTCTTTAATCTTACCTAGTTAATTCCATCAGCATTAGCCTCAGCAGCCTTGTGCTTTGAGTTTGTCCTTGGAAATCTGCAGTTGGATCCACAAATTTCAATATCTGGATTATTGTTCTAAGGGTCTAATTTAATTTCCGGTCACTTGGGTAGGGTACCCTAGTAATTCATAAGAAAACTCAGAATAAATTTCATTTTCATGGCCCCCAGGAGCAGAGAAGTCCTATTCTAAACTTTGGGGAATGTCCAGTATCCCTGTCCTAATTAAATGAGGTTTATATTTTAGAAAAATCAATAAATTAGTTATCGGTAAAAGGAGAGTGGAAGGTAACCTTCCTCACAAAATAGAGGCTGAATTTACTTAATATGAATACACAGTTTAGATTTTGTAAAGTTTGTTAACTTTAGAACAGTTACTCTAAATGACCAAATTCTTACCAAAATATTTTTCTGACTCTTAGGCAAGAGAGGTGATACAGATAAGCAGCAAACTATTAAGATAACTGCCAAAGTGGGAACTCTTAAGAGGAAGCAGCAGATGAGGGATTTCCTGGAACAGCTGCCAAAAGATGATCATGATGACTTTTTCAGCACAACACCTTCGCAGAAACGGAGAGTCCTGGTAAGAGTCTTGAATGCATGAAATCACTGTTTTCTTCATATTTTTATCTTCATTTTTATACATGGTTAGTGTTCGTCCCTAATATTTAGGATGAGGATTGATAGTCTCCACAGACATGACTCAGGTGTAGTACAGGAAGCATTCTGCCAATACATGCCATTCTCATTAGTGTCCAGAGTCTACCCTTCAGTGGGGTTCAAAGGGAATGTTTGTATAGAACCAAATAGAAAACCCAGAAACAGGCCAAATGTATATATTTCACATTTCATATGCAATGACGCAAACTTTTTTAAGTGATAAAAGATTATTACCTACTTACTGTATAGTAAATTACCTACTGTATAGTAAAGTCAGTGACAGCACAAGATTGACAGATTTGAATGTTTAAAAGAATTTTTATAGTATGAAAAATCATATAACTAAAAAACTTCATGATTAGGATAAAATATTTGCAACAAATAAACAATGCCAATAATATTTATGGTATAAAGAGCTCATTTAAATAATGTTGCTAGAATATAAAGTATCAAGATCACAGAAAAAAGTGGGCAAGAAAATTTCAAAAGGCTGAATGAACTGGTCATTTTACTGTGATCAAAGGAAAACAAAATAAGTTATATGTAAGTATACCTTCTAAATTATAGAATCATTTTTAAAATAAGATAAAATATCCACTAACAAAAAGCAATGGAGATGTTGATACAGTCATACATCAGTGGATGCAGAGTTAAATCATACCATTTGGAAAGTATTATGGCAACATATGAGAACCATAAAGATTAATTCTACTCATAGGAGTCTATCCTAAAAAATTGAAAAGAAGCCACAAATCTTTACAAAGATATTCATTGCATGTTTATCTTTATATTGCAAAAAAACCTAGAATCCATATATCCACTAAGAATGTTCTCCATAAACATAGTGAAGTACAGTACAAATATTAAGTGCAAATTTGAGACTGTTTCTAGAACCTAAATATAAATGTTAAGAATATTAAGATGAAAGTAATGCTAAGATAGATGGATCTACACAGCTGGACTATTAAGTGTAAAAGTTGAGTTTTTTTATAAGGGTACTTTTTTCATCTCATTTTTTAATACTGTCAAGTCGTCTCCACTTTTTAAAGGCTACACAGTGATTTAATAATTTAGTAACATCATTATCTGGGCCCCCTTTTGCCTACACAGATTATAAAGGGAAGTATTTTAAGGGAGCCATCTTAGGCTTACTGTGTTCTCTGTATAACAACATGGTCCTTTAGCGGTTGTACCCATTGTATTATTCCACCATCATTTCAGTTAAAGATAATGAAATAGAGAAAGCAGTGAAGTAGTTCACTTTCTGTAGCATAAGTTTGCTTTCTCTGAGGTTTTAATATAAAGGTAAATAAAACCTTAAGAACTGAATTGTTTACTGGACACTTATACACATAAAAGTTTAATACTGCTGCCTGGCCAGCGTGGTTCAGTGGTTGAATGTCGACCTATGATCCAGGAGATTGAGGTTTGATTCCCGGTCATGTGCCCGGGCTGTGGGCTCTACCCCCAGTGGGGGGCATGTGGGAGGGAGCCAGTCAGTGACTCTCATCATTGATGTTTCTATCTCTCCCTCTCCCTTCCTCTCTCTGAAATCAGTAAAGACATATTTTTTAAAAAAAATTTAATATTGCTTGAGTTCATATTAAGTACCAAGCATAATAGTAAATGAATTACAGTTTTGTTTTGTCTACACAGAGGTCAGCAAACGATGGCCCATGGGCCAAATCTATCATACCACCTTTTTTGTAAGCACAATTTTATTGGAAAACAGACATAACCAGTGTTCACACATTGGCTGTAGCTGCCTCCAAGCTACAACAGCAGAGTCACGTAGTTGGGTCAGAGAATATATGGACCACAGAGGCAAAATATTTACTATCTGACTCTTTACAGAAAACATTTGCTGACACCTGGTCTATTACAACTTTTAGAAACAGATGTCATTGTCTCATTTTACACAACAGAAACTGAGTTTTTTAGAGGACAAGGCTCTCTTCTCTGCCTACTAATATTTTTCATTATCTCAGAAAATTATAAGGCAGAAAAAACATAGCCCTTCAAAAACATGTGATAATGAATTTTATTATTAGAGGTGCCTGCTGATAATGAATATTTGCATTCTAGTTGCCGAATTTCCAGTTCGATCAAGAAGATGATGATATGCTGCCAAATATGGACAGAAATCCAACAACTCCATCCTCAGTTATCTTTCCATTGGCAAAAACTCCTCAGTGTCAGCATGTGAGTCCTGGAATGCTAGCCTCTATAAATAGGTAAATATTTATGCATGTGATACTGTCATTCTCTGCATCAGCATTTAATATTTCATGAGTTGAGGAGTAAATGTCAGTAATGAGAATAGTCATTATTTTTAAAAAATCAAGAATAGTTCCTAGAAGTCAAGAATGGACAGTTTCAACAAGCAAAGGTGTTGTTATTCAATAATGTTGGGACACAGCTCACACTTTACCTTAGGATAAATTCCAAATGGATCAAAGTTTTACATGTAAAAAATTAAACTATGAAGTATACCTAAAGTAACCTTGTAGAATTATTTTACAGTTTTAGATTAGTGAAGGTCTGACTATGATGCAAAACACAGAAGCCACTAACAAAAAGAATATAATGCACTATATTAAAAAAAAGTTTCATCTGGTACCAACCAACCATAAACAATCAAAAGACAACAAATAACAATTGTTGGAGAAGATACAGAGAAAAAGGAACCCTCGTACACTGCTGGTGGGAACATAAATTAGTATAGCTATTATGGAAAACAGTGTGGACCTTCCTCAAAAAACTAAGAATAGAGCTACCATATGACCCATCAATTCCTCTTCCTGGTATCTACCTGAAAAATTGAAAATACTTACTTGTAAAGATATAAGTACCCCTATATTCACTGCAGCGTTATTCGTGGTAGCCAGGACATGGAAACAACCCAAGTATCCTTTGCTGGATGAATTGGATAAAGAAGATGTGGTATATATATACAGTGGAATACTACTCTGTATAAGATGAAATACTGCCATTTGTGTCAACATAGATGGATCTTTTTATTTTTTTTATTTTTTAAATATATCTTTATTGATTTCAGAGAGAGGAAAGGAGAGGGAGAGAGAGAGAGAGAGAGAAACATCAATGATGAGAGAGTCATTGATCGAGCCCAAAACCCAGGCATGTGCCCTGACCAGGAATCGAACCCCAATCACCTGGATTCTAGGTTGATGCTCAACCACTGAGCCACGCCCAGCTGGGCTGGATGGATCTTTTTTAAAAAATATTTTTAGAGGAAGGGAGAGGGAGAGAGAAACATTGGTGTGAGAGCAGAACATTGATCAGCTGCCTCCTACACGACCCCCACTGGGGATCCAGCCTGCAACCTGGGCATGTGCCCTGACCAGGAATCAAACCAGCATCCTTTTGGTGCACAGGACGGCGCCCAACAAACTGAGCCACACCAGCCAGGGCTCCATGGGTGGATCTTGACTATCATGCTCATTGAAATAAGTCAGATGGAAAAGGACAAAGAATCATGATTTCACTCATCTGTGGGATATAAAATAGAAAGCAACAAATGAATGAACAAAACAAAGACTCAAGGACACAGACAACATTATGGTGGTTACTAGAGTGGGTGGGAGGGTCAAATAGATGGTGATGGGAGGAGACTAAACTTTGGGTGGTGAGCACACTGCAGTATACAGATGATGTATTATAATGACCACTTGAAACCTTTATAATCCTATTAACCAATATCATCCCAATATATTTAATATTTTAAAAAGACAAATGACAGTTTGAGAAAAGAATATGTGGAACTCATCCCGGAAAAAGGCTAATTTCCCTAATATAGCAGTCCTGCAGATTAGGAAAGCCATTCTTGTGAATTACTAGCAAGAAGGTAAATTAGTTCAATCTCTTCAGGCAGCAGTGTTATCAGTATATATCAAAGTTATAAATGCGCATGCTCTTTAACCTAGCAATCCTACTTCTAGAATTGTGAATGTTCAGTTTATTCCTTGCAGTATTTATAATGGCAAAATACTGGAAGCATCTCAAATGTCCATCAATAAGGACTAATCAAGCCCTAGCCAGAGTGGCTCAGCAGTTAGTGTCGGCCCCTAAACCGAAGGGTTGAGGATTCAATTCCAGTCAAAGGCATGTACCTGGGTTACAGGTTCAGTTCCCGGCTACAGTCAGTACATGAGATGTCAAGTAACTTCTGATACATTATATAGCTATAGAAATGAATGGGAAGTTCTTTATGTACTATTATGGTAAAATGTCCACAATATAATATGTAAAAAATGTTATATACATTGAATTATGTTGCCATTTATATATAGGTTTGATATACATGAGTATGTATATGTATATACTTTTACATAATTGCTTTATTTCATTAAGTATCTCTGGAAGGATACATGAGAGACTGAAAACATTGATGATCCCTAGGGAGAGGAACTGAGATACCTTGGGAGACTTTGAATTTTGAACTATGTGAATATAGGAACTATCTGAAATATAAATAAAATTTATTTTTCTAGACTGAGGACTGCAAAAAAAAAAGTCATTGGTATTTTGATGGGGATTGCATTAAATCTTTATATTGCTTTGGGTAATATGCAAGAGTACGGTACACATTATATCTTAATACAGTCACACATTTACAAATTTCTACGTCATACCTTTTTTTTAAAAAATGTCTTTATTGATTTCAGAGAGAGGAGGGGGGTGAGAGAAACATCAATGATGAGAGTCATTGATTGGCTGTTTCCTGCAGGCCCCCTACTGGGGATGGAGCTCACAACCCGGGTGTGTACCCTGACTGGAAATTGAACCTCGATCTCCTCATAGGTCTATGCTCAACCCCCAAGCCCTGCCTGCCAGGCTCTACACATCATACCTTTAAGGTTGCTCATGGGCGTTTCCCCGCTGCCGGGGTCAAGGGTCAGGGTTCCGGGTTCCGGTCCCTGGGCCGAGGGAACAGTGGGCGGGGGAGGCTCCAGCACCAGACTTGAGAAGCTAGGAGTAGCCACCTAAAGGCCCCAGAGCCAGCGAAGACCGAGCCAGCAGCATTGCCTTGGCCCTCCATGGCGGCCGTCAAGGACATCGATGAGGACCATGATACCTCCACTGAGAATGCAAACGAGTCCAACCAGGACCCTCAGTTTGAGCCTATAGTTTCTCTTCCTGAGCAAGAAATTAAAACGCTGGAAGATGAAGAGCTTTTCAAAATGCAGGCAAAGTTGTTTCGATTTGCTTCAGAGAACAATCTCCCACAATGGAAGGAACGAGGCACCGGCGACGTGAAGCTCCTGAAGCATAAGGAAAAAGGGACCATCCGCCTCCTCGTGAGGAGGGCTAAGACCTGGAAAATATGCACCAACCACTATATCATGCCAATGACGGAGCTGAGGCCACACGCAGGCAGTGACAGTGCCTGGGTCTAGAACACCCACGCTGACTTCACTGACCAGCTCCAGAAGCCTGAGCTGCTGGCCATTCGCTTCCAATGCTGAAAATGCACAGAAACTCAACACAAATTTTGAAGAATGCAGGAAAGAGATCGAAGAGAGAGAAAAGAAAGGAGGATTGGGCAAAAACAATAATGCCAAGAAAGTGGCTGAAAAGCTAGAAGCTCTTTTGGTGAAGGACAGCAAGGAGTCCATAGACGAGGAGACCACAGAGAAAGCTGAGGAGAAGCAGTAAGTCCTCTGCCCTTGTTTTCTGTTCCTTCCTTTCTTTTCCTTTTTTAAAATTTTGCCCTGTGCCGCCTTTTTGATTTTTTATTTGGCTCTGTTTTTACAAGGGACTTCATATATATAAAGAACTGAATTTAAAAAAAAAAAAAAAAGGTTGCTCCCAAATAGTCATAAAGGAATGGATAATCAATCATATAGGATCTTGGAGCCAAGAGGAAGAATTAGAATTGGTGCTCAGCTAGTATTTACTGTCAAAAAACAACACACACAAAAAACTAGAAATTGTAGGGGGAAATGAGAATAACCATTCTGTTTAGCTGCAGTTTTCATCTATAAATTGAGGAAAGCATATTTGCTAGGAATGAGAAGATTAAGAGATAAGATATATCTCAAGGGGCGGGGGTTCAGCCAGGAAGAGATCAACCAAAGAACTCATATACATAACCAACGCACACAGACAGTTGTATGGTGAAGGCCTGGGGTGGGGCAGGGGGTGGGAGAAGGGGCGTACAGGTTGGGGGGAATTGGGGACATTTGTAATGCTGTCAATAAAATTTAAATAAATAAAAATTATAACGAGAAAGAGAGAAAGATAAGATAAAGCCCTGGCCAGTTTCACTCAGTGGTTAGTGTCAGGCCGTGCACCAAAGGGTTGCAGATTCGATTCCCTGTTCAAAGGCACGTACTTGGGTTGCAGGTTCAATCCCTAGTCCCAGTTGGGGCACTTGCAGAAGGCAAGCCAATTAATGTGTCTCTCTCTCGTTGATGTTCCTCTCTCCCTCCCTTCCCTCCTTCCTTCCTTCCTTTCTCTTTCTCCCTCCCCTCCCCCTTCCACACTCAAAAAATCAGTGGAAAAAATATCTTCGGGTGAGGATTAACCAAAAAAAAAGAGAGAAGGTAAAAAGAAATGAGAACAAAACTTCATATATGTGCACTGAGTTGAAGACTCAACACAGTTGGATGCTACAAATTAAGGGTTTTCATCACCTTAAATTTATCAACTTCAAGATTCAATCTGGATTAGGGAAGGAAGTGACCAGGAGAAAAGAGTGAAAGGTGTAACAAAGGGAATCTAGGGATAAGAAGTCTCAGTGAGTTTTGAAAAAGAGGCAGCAGCAAGATAGATTGGAAAGAGCACAAATGGGACAATGAAGAAGCAAAACCGTAATTTACTAGAATGTTCTTATTTGGTATTTCCATTTCCTTTAAATGTTTGAAGTTTTTTTTCCATCTCTCGGCATACCATTGTCTTCTTAAAAACATTAGAGAAAACGCACTTTTTAAAGACTGAAACACAAATTAATTTTGTCAATTGTTGTTCAACCTGTGGATAAAAGGTCTGATAGTTAATGTTGACTTGTAATTATTTTGTCTTCAAACAGGAATGATTGTGATAAATATGTTTTTCATATGCAAAAAAAACATAAAAATAAAGGTGGCATTGTCTGGGGCAATATCAAGAAAAAAACAGTAAGTATTTTTGTTCTTTGCATTGGATTTAGTAAATGCATACATATTGAACATATGGCAAATTGTGTAAGTTTTAAGCTATGTAAGAGACCTTACTTAGGTGCTTAAAGCCTAATACAAGTAAATGAGGCTGTGAATGAGGTAAGTACATAAGTGCCATAAATTACAGGTGGCAGTTGATAGACTAAAGCATTTGAGGAAAGTGAGAATGGTAAAAATTTTCATTTGAAGAGTCAGGTAGGGTGGGAAAAGTACTTACAGGTCAGGGAAGGACATTTCAGGCAAGACACAAAAGCGTGTCTGTTCAATGATTGGGGAATAATCTAGATTGAGTTATGATTGTCAATATAATAAGAAATTGCATCAAATCCCATGCATCTTCTTAATGTTTTTCAGATTCAGCTACTTAATTTATATATATAGATCAAGATTTAAAATGTAATTACAGAAAAAATTTTAACTCTAAGTTGCCTTAATAGTGATCTATATCCCTTTGATAAAAAATTGGGAGAATCCTTTATCCTCTTGAATTAATTTTTAAATTTTTAGTTTGATTTTAATTTGGATAATTTATATCCAGATAAATGTACAAGTATTCTGGAAAACTCATTCACCTCAAATTTCCTCAAAGTAAATAGCTAATTTTAGAGAATGATAGTTTATGGAGGTAGTAGAATGGGAAATGACTGCCTTATCCCCTGAAGGTATATTCCTTCTGACCAAATTATGGCCATCTCCTCCTCCCTTACCCATGTTGAAATTTATATTGTACACTTGCTAGAGTAAAATTTCTCTCAGAGAGTCTCTAAACTTTGGGATTACTTAATCACATCCATTCTTTGTGGGCTTCACTAGTCCATAGGAAATGATACCTCTGGTGACCTTGGTTGAAAATTAGCCTGGAGACTAAATTCTTCAAAAGAAATCTCTACTCCATAATTGAAAATGTAGGCAGACTCCCCCTTGGTGTTTCTCAGAGTCCCCTTTTCCAGTCCCACATTCCTTATGAAAATTAAATTTTGGTTTGTTGTAAAGGACCAGGAATCACCTTAACATGGTGAGAAAGACTTGCCTTCTAGTCCCTGTTTTGCCAGTAAGGAGTTGGGTTGCCTTGACAAGTGTTTGTCAAACTTTAATGTGCATGAGAGTCACCTAGGGATCTTGTTAAATCCTAGATTCTGATCCAGTAGATTTGAGATTCTTTCTGCATTTCTAACAACCCCCAATCCAGGTGATGCCCCTGCTACTTATCCATGGATCATACTGAGTAGTAGCAAGACCCTAGTCCATTGTTCTCTGCAAAATGAGAAAAAGTTCATATGGATATATGTATAAGGACCCTTCCTCTTAAAAATTTATTTCTCTGTACTTCTGACATGTCAACTACTTTTCTTTTTCTTAAAATATATCTGTATTGATTTCAGAGAGAGGAAGGGAGAGGGGGAGAGAGAATTGAAACATCAATAATGAGAGGGTCATCATTGATCGGCTGCCCCTGGAATGCCCTCAACTGGGGCTCGAGCCTGCAACCGGGCATGTGCCCTGACTGGGAATCGAACCGTGATCTCTTGGATCCTAGGTCGATGCTCAACCGCTGAGCCATGCCCTGCCAGGTGGACTTTTGTTTTCCTTAATGGATTATCATTTGAGCCACCAAATTATATCATTATGCTTTAGCCCCCTTTTTTCATAGACTAATATTTTGTATCCAATGTGTGAGGATAGAAAGAGCAAAGGATTTATATAGTGTTAAAAGTTTGGATGTCAAGGTCTGTCTCCCTATACCAGCTTTATGTTGAAGCATGACCTGGGGGTCATAATGATATGGTTCCTCTCACCAAATGATTTTGAGAGCTAAAAGATGTAATAGTGTTTTGACTCATTTCACACAAAAAATTTATTTACATCACAATCTATCAACACAATTTTGTATCTCAAAAGTTTCTTTCAAAAATACTTGCCTTACCATAGTGGTTATACTGTCATGTTTCCTTTTCTGTTTCTTTTTATTTTTTAAAGATAACCAGCTATGGCCAGTAGTTTAAAAAGCACTCATGTATGTAAGCATGCATTACACATTTAAAGCTTACAATATAAATTACCATTGTAGACAAGATTTTAAAGTACAGAGAATTTTTAAATTTTGCTAATATAATGTCATGGCATAAGTACTTAGATTTTGGCAACTTTTAGAGGCCCATAGACTATCCTTTAACTGCTGTTGCATTAGTTTGTAATGTGGAAAACAACACTGAATAAATCGTGGTTCTTGCCCCAGATAAATTCATCTTAAAGAGAATTAGACATTTTATGGATAATTATAATGTGATTAGGTATTGTTATAAGGACTCTGCTCTGGGGATAAAGCATGCTTAATGTTGTCTAGGTTTAAGGCAGGCTTCACAGGAGGTACCATTTTGCTATTAATATGAACTCTTCTTGTAGGTTGAAAGTGATTTTCCAACTCCAACAAGAAGAAAAACCCCATTTAACAAAGGTAATACACTTATATCTTTCTTTATTAGCTCAGTCTCTTTATTAACATGATACTAAAATTAACTGCTCTCAAGTGGGCAGACCTACCATTCTTTGAAATTACTTTTAGAAATGTATTAATCTTTTTTATTAAACTCTTCTTAGGAGAAAACTCTAATATTGGAAAACTTTTCATTGATGCTATGGAGTCTTTGGATGAAGAAGAGAAAGATTATTATTTTTCAAGCTCTGATTCTGCATAGTAAAAGTGAGAATATTTCCAGTATTTTTATCAAGAAGCAGACAGTTATTCATACCTTCATTTGGAGTATATATTTTCTTTATAATGTAGCATCTTTTGAAATTGTGGACTCCTTTTCAAAGGTTTATATGTTTGTATTCAAAGTTAAAGATCCTTCTATGGAATATTCCTCATTGCTGCAGCTTACTAAAAATATAAGGAAAAATGTTTTGCTTGCTGTATAGATATTTCTAAAATTCTGTTTTTGCCATGTTTCATAAGCATCTGTTTAAGAAAATCATGTTCCAAACTGGACTTTTTAAATTTTTGAAGAAAATGTTGCTATCCTTAAAGGAGGAGGTTAGGGAGAATAAAAGATAGATTGTACTGATAGCTAATGAGTTCATGAAAACTTGAAGTTAGCATTCTTTTCACCTCTTGGTATATAAGCCAGAGTTGATATGATGTTTAAATTACATGTTTTAACTATGCTTTTTCTCCTCCTGATTGTTTTTCTTAAAACTTGTGATTGTCATACCTTTCGAACAAATGTAAATTTTAATTTATTGCTTTTTCAGTATTTTATTAGGTAGAGTCCGAGAACAGATTTTGTTGCATTCTTAAGCCTTATTTACATATGCAGACATAGCTTAAATTTGGCCCTAAGTATTTAAAAGACTGGAAGAGACCATAAGGACTCAAGTTAGTATGTCGTAGTAAACATTGTTTTCCTTTCAGACAGCTCTTTTAGGGGGGTAGAAAAACTTCTTTTCGCTTATTCTGCCATTATGTTTTAAAATTTGACATAGACTATTCCCCTTTAGTTACAGTACATGTTCACCTACCTTTCTCTCCAGTTAGGTTGTTCAAATAAAATTAGTTTGCTTTTATAATATTTGTGTTTTTGTTTTTTTCCCCCCAGAACTTGTAGTAAAAGGTACATTTTCTTGTGTCTTAAGAATTGTCAATAATAATCAGCAGATATATAATAAAGGATTTTTAGAAACACAGGATCTAAAAAATAGTGCAGTTAGATCATTCTCCTTTAAACTGCCATGCTTTTTTCTGCCACAAAGACTTGACAGATAGATGTAGGGTGGAACAAATGAAGGTTTATCTTAGAGTGGCTCTAAAAAACAGAGTTGTAGAACTTAAGTTGCCAATATTCAGTATATTGCCATGCTGCTTGATGTTAACAGATGATGTTTTAGGAGTTAGAAGCTACTTAAATTGCTTAATGGGAAACAAAAAGATAATTTTGAAATAGCACAGATGGGCGCAAACCAAAGTGTGACTCCCTACCCCCAACCATATTCCCTGTGTCCTATCAGAACTACTCGTCCTTCCTAGTCCATTGTATCTGCCTGCCAAGTTCAGAGTTAGTCCCATTTCTTTCCATCGGGCCATAAAGTAAGCTAGTAGGGTTTAAGGTAACCTCCAAAGAAGACTTGAAAGTGAAAAGAAAGACTTTAAGGGCTCAAAGAAAATAGTAAGATGGACTGATAATCAATAGGGTTGATAGTTAAGTGCTACCAGCTAGAGCTATTGCAGCTTAAATATAGACAGAGCTCTCTATACAGCAAGCATAAACAAATGAAATCCTTTAGTTACATCCCTCACACCATGTTAATTTATGAAATATTTTGTCTGACAGGCGGACATAGAATGCGGGTACATTAGTGTCCGCGTGGGAGGTGCTTCCAGGTGGTGGTCAGCCCAGGTCAGTGTGAGGTTGCTGAGGAACTGCATGCTTCCCACATACAGCTGGGGCAGAACACACCAGACGTCCCAGCTACGCGCACTGCTGATCAGGAGCAGAAGGGCAGAACAAACTGGAACCAGGAAGACCCCCTTCCTTCTATTGATAAAACTTGATTGTGCTCACTATAGAGAGAAATGCTCAAAAAGTCCAGTCCATTACAGCTGAGCAAGATACTGAAGGGTAAATTGAGCCTGAGAGACAATAGATTGGTAACTGTTATCAGCCAGTAACTTACAGACCTTCTGTTCTCACTGGCTTTGACAATTATTGAACAGAAATATGACATCAGTTACTTTCAGAAGAATTGAGAATTTATAGTATCCCAAAAGAGCTAAATTCACAATTATAGTAACTTTTGAGCAGAAGAAAACTGTATCTAGTTCCTGTGATCTGGTTCTAGATTTCCATAAATCACTTATTTCTGTGCCTCACTTATCTGGTAAGAAAGGAAAGAAAAGCAATTTGAAGTCTATGGTAAGAAAAGCACTCTTCTGTGAGGGATCAAAAACCCACCTGCAACAAGAAAAAGGCAACCATAGACAAAGGGCTGTAAATGGGGAGAAATGTCCACACAATTAAAGGCTGCTTTAGCACTGGACTGACTAGAAGGAAGGGCCTCAGCTGTTGCAGATAAAAACATAGATCCACCTTAAAACATGAATAGCATCACAAAAACAATAATGGGTCGCAACAGAAGTCCACATTCAGAAGCTCATATATGAAAAATTTTCCAAGTCCAAGCCACTTCTTTGAATATGATATTTCAACAAAAAAGTAGCATAAGTTACAGTTTATACTAACAGGATTTGACTACTTGATTGGGTCACTTTTGGTAAAATAAACATACAGTACTCATTTACACTTTATAATTTCCTAGTTACTGGTGCATTTATCTCACAATACACCCACACCTTATCCAATATGTATGTAGTCTCAGGACATTTAAAATATTCTAGATATTATAGGAAAAATTTTGGCAGCAGTCAGATGCATCAACCTATTATGCTAACATGACGATAGTACAAAAATCTTTGGGAAAATTCCAAAATATATCTCAAACTCTAGCTTTTACTTTCTCAATAGCACCTTCAATAAACTTTTATTATTCAATAAAAATACAGTTTCATAGTCCAGTTAATCAAATGGTCATTACTGAGCATCAGATTTTTAAAAATACATAACCCATATAAAAAAAATAGACACAACATAAAATAATAGATATGGAAATGTTCTCTTATTTACTTATTTTAAACTGATAATCACAAAACATAGCAATGATTACTGAAGTGCATTTAGTGTTGTGAGAGTTCTTTGATAACCGCACCTTGAGCAGTCTGATTGTGCATCAGATTTCAGTCTTAGTTAAGACCATTTGGTAACATTTGCATGTCAAATACATAGTGAATATATCTATAGATCTCCTCAGCCTTTTGATGAGTTACTTGTGCATACATGGAGATTTCTTGAGGTGAACTGAAAAATAAATTAGACCAAGAAAAATATTACACAGCTGCTCTGTCTGTGGAGTAGCTCCTCCCTGTCTTACTGCTTCACTGATAAACTCACTTTCACTTTAAACTCTTAAAAAAAAAAATTACACTAGAACTTTTGACTTATAAAGTTTATCTTGCTTAAAGAACACTAAACATAAAAGCCTTTAAGAAACTCTCTTCCTAAGCATTCTACATCCAGTTAATGTCTTTAGCATTAGTTTAAATAAAACAAGTTTATTTCCTATATTTAATATCATATAACAATAATGGGCCTTTAGTTCAATAAACCTATTTCCTAAAATCTTCCTTTTAAAACAATGTAATAATCAAAAACTAACAAATGTTCAACTTGAACATTTTGCTAGGTATAGGACTAACTATCCCAGAATTAATAGAATGCAACATTCAATGTAAATGCCCCCTGCCTAGTTCCCTATAGAGCTCTAACCTCAGACAATGCCTGTCTTTTTCCCCCGTTAATGTTCTCAGCTTTCACGCAGTGATTGTTACATGTTGGCAAGCAAAAAGTCTACTGAATGAAATATTCTAACAGCCTATATCTTTTAAAAAATACATTAAAATTTCTAGGAAATACTTCTAAGAATCATTTAAAAGTAGCCATTTAAAAATATTAAAACAGACATACCTGTTAGTCATCTTTTTAACAGATGAAAACTGATGACACATATTTAATGCAGTTATATAACTTACATTGGGAATACTTAGATAAAAGTGAAGTGCTTCACATTTATTACTGTTCATTGTTGGAACCTGAATACCAACATTCTTTCTTTGTTCCACTAAAGACAGTTCCTTTAGCAAATCTGCAGTTTCTTCTTGGCAGGAACTGAAAAGAATTCGAATTCCAGCACCAATTAAGGTAGTCAGCAGGTTGTCATAGCTCTTTGTTCTCCTAAACATCCTGGATGTGTCTCCTAAATGTTTCATATTTAGGAAAATGTAAACATTAGTAATTTACATTAACTAGAATCATCATACTGTATATTATTAAAATCCCAAGATCTACACCATTAAAAAAACTACTGCCATATTATTTATGATGAGAAATTCTACAGCTAAAGACTTAAAGTGATGGCCAAAGATCTGGGATAAAATATTGAAACGTCTTTATGAGTGTCTTGAATTGGAAGAGCTTATATTCCTAGATAATTCATTCCTAAAGGCCAAAAGCACATTACTCCCCTCTAATAAAATTCTTCATGATGCTAGCACTGATGATGATTTCATTAATTCTGGTTTAACTGATATAAAAATATATATTTATTCCAAAAGTAACTCAATACTCTGCACACCCATTTTAATGTTATCTTTAACTCTTGCATATTAATTTAGATCCCTGCCTTTCCCATTTGTTCTCTTTTCATAGAGATACCAGAACTCAGTTCAGTGCATCTTGCATCTTGATTCCATATCCCATGATCCTTTCACTATTCCCAGTGAAATTCCCCAAATGAAGCTCCAGTCCTGCATTTCCAAATGTATGCTAGGTATCCATTTCTGTGACCCATTGAGAACTCAATTTTGCTCCTCAAATCTACGGCTTCTCTTATGTTTATAATATCAATAAACAGCACCACTACCTAACTGTCCAGTAACCAAGAAATTGGTCAATTTAAGAGTAATCCCACCAACTCCTGCTAACCCTGCTTCCTAAACCTGAATCCTTTTTCCCCACCACTTCCTTATTTAAGGCCCTCATACTTTCTGGGGCTCCTGAAAAAGATTTATGATTGGTTCACTTGCTTACAATTTATTACCCTTCAATTCTCTTAAGCTGCATTTAAACATAATGACTATTGAAAAACATCATGTAAATATGAAATGACATTCATGAAAAAGATGATATAAGAGCTTCCCCCATCTTGACAATAGAAGAATGAATTAACAGTCAAGTTCCTTTACAGACTTATAAACAAAAACATTTAAAAATGCAAACCTGTTTTTTCTCTGTCCTTTTCCACAATCACACATATTCTTTCAAACATGCTCTGTAGGTACTGGATCTGGTCAATGAACTTGTTTTTATTAATATTATTTAACATCTCAGATTGATACCTCCTTTCCACCACCATGCGGTTACTTACAATGTAATCACAACCATTAAGAGGACAAACCTCTACTTGAAAGCCATGAATTGCTCTTAGGGAAGAAATTACTTCTGAACCAGAAGTGATTTCACGACTATCTACAAGAATACAAGTTCTCTGGCCCTCCTGTGGGAGTCTGAGAGAAGCATGTGTGGCAGCCCAACGTGGTCTTGAGTTAGAACTGTAAGCTATTGAAGTGCTAGAATCTTCTAGAGCACCACCAGCCTGAAAAAGTAGAAAACACTGATCACAATCAGGTTAAATATATATTAGCACCATAAACCTGAAGTTGATTTCTTTATTGACACTCTTTCTTCCTTCAACATGACCAAAGTGACACACCTAGCAGGATGGCTACAATTTAAAAAGGGGGTGGAGGGGACAGGGGAAATAAGTGTTGATGAGAATGTGAAGAAACTGGAACATACATTGCTGGTGGGAATGTAAAATGGTATAGCCTCTATGGGAAACAATTTGGTGATTCCTCCAAAAGGTAAACACAGAATTACCATATGACCTAGTAATTCCACTCCTAGGTGGAATCACTTTCCAAAAGTAGTGAAAATGGATTCATATACTTGTACACCAATGTTTGTTAATTTTGGAAAATTCTCAGCCACTGCCTGTTCAAATATCTCTTACTGTTTGCTCTTCTTAATTCCAATTACATGTATCTTAGCCCATTGACACAGTCTCACAGCTTCTGGATGCTCCATTTATTTTGTCACTCTTTGTTTCAGGTTGGATAATTTCTATTATCCTTGCTTTAAATTTGTTGGTCCTTTCCATGTCTGTACTGAGTCTACTGATGGGCCTATTGAAGACAATCTTCATCTCTCTTACCATGTTTTCCATTTCTAGAAACTTCTACTTTGTTGTTCTTTATATCTTCCATTTCTCAGATCATATTCCCTGTCTATTCATGCATTTTTGTTTTTTTCCTCTACAGCCTTTAACATATAAATCCTGTCCATTTTAAATTCCCTGTCTGATTCTGATAGGTCATATCGGAGTTTGGTTCTTCAGAATGTGTTTTTTTCTTCCTTTTATGTACTTTGTAACTTTTGGTTGAAAGCCAAACATCTTGTGGACAGCAGTAATTGAGGCAAATAGTATTTATACCTAGAAACAGGTATGCCTTTCTTTTGCTAGGTCTTAGTGTGTGGGGTTGAGTAAATCTAGTCAAAAATTGAGTTTGGGCCCTAGCCCATTTGGCTCAGTAGTTAGAGCGTTGGCCTGCAGACTAAAGGGTCCTGGGTTCAATTCTGGCTAAGGGCACATACTTTGATTACAGGCTCAATCCCCAGTTGGGGAGAGTGCAGGAGGCAACAATATCAATGTGTCTCTCTCACATCGATGTTTCTCTTTCTCTCTTCCACTTTCTCTGAGAAGCAATGGAGAAAATATCTTCAGGTGAGGATTTAAAAAAAAAAAAGATTGAGTTTGGCCAGCCAGTGTTGCTCAGTGGTTGAGCATTGACCCATGAACCTGGAGGTCATATTTCATGGTATATGCCCCAGAGTTTCGGGCTCAGTCCCCACTGTGGGGCTTCCAGGAGGCAGCCGAGTGATGATTCTCTTTCATCATTGATGTTTCTCTCTCTCCTCCCTTCCTCTCTGAAATCAATAAAAACATATTTTTTTAAAAATTGAGTTGGGTTTGGGTTTACTCATTGTTATGATTACTCTTAAGTACAACCAGAGGCTTTAAACTTGGTAGTGTTACTTTGTAATTAGGGTGGGAGCTGGGTTGCCAGGTAATTTTTCTAAATGTTCTTTCAGCTTTAGGTCTTCTCTGTGAGCCTGAGCCTGAGCAAGCTTCTCTCCCCATACTGTTATTCCAGTCAGCAGACTGCTTGTTACTTAGTGCTTGCTAGCCTGGTTGGAGGGAGCACTAGGAGCATCATGTTGGGGGGAGGGGGGGCAGTATTTTCTATTGTCTTGGTTCAGCCTGTCTTGGGCAGGATTTGTGTCCTGGTCTCAGAGGTGGAACCTTCTCGGTGATCTTGCCCTGCCTCCTAGGGGCTGGAGATCGCTAATGTTCTGTGCCCAAGATGTTTTCCTGACCCTTTCTTGGGTGTAGAGAATTTTGTTGTCGTGCTGTTCCTCCATCTGTAGTCTTCGCCTAAGCCCTAAGGAGCTATAGGGTTTGCTGCTCTATCCCCAGTGGCTTAAAACTTAAAGCTTTTTGTTCCATAAGGGAGAATGAACCAGATGAGGTTTGGTGCCTTTTCCACAGTAACTGCTGATCACTTCCCCAAAGCCTGTAGCAGGAAAACAGTTTTCTCTGAATCTCAATCTCTCCTGTAAATACCTGATGAGTCTGTGAAGAAGAGTCCATGAGTGGTTGCAAATTCCTTCTGTCTGCAACTCCCAGGGATTCTAAACTCTCAGGCTAGTCCACTGCCTTTTGCAATTCATTACAGTTTTATCTGAATTCTTCTTACCAGATTGTACAGTGTCCAGTGACTCTCCCAAGTCTCATCAAGTCTCTCATTGAAGGCACTTGTCTCTCCTTAAATGTCAGACTAACTGGTTCCCCTGCAACCTCAGCTCCATAAAAATTGACTAGACCTATGATTTTATAGATTACCTGGATTTTGTTGTTGTTACACGGACGGGAACAATGATCTTTCCAGCTTCCTACATCCTACACTAGATGGAATTCCTAAATCACTCAGAAATAATCTTTAAAACACAAAAAGGAACAAATGTAATGAAGAAAGAAATGGCCACTAAAAAAAAAAAAAAGAATTCCAGAAATATGTACTTATCTTGGAATAGAAAATGGCTTTCTAAACATAACACTTAAGTCAGAAACTATAAAGAAAAAAATGGGGGAAAATGGGGACTGTATAAAAGTTACCTCTTCCTATAGCAAAAACTACTACAAACAAAAGAAAAAGGTAAATGACAGATGAGAATGCTGTTTGCAATATACATGACAAAGTACATGTTAAATTTTGACTAACCGTTTTTGACAGATACTTAGTCTGTGCTCCGTCTTCTCAAATTTACCTCAAATTCTTTCCCCTTCTAATTTCAAGTGAAAAGAATCATACTTTATGGAATTGTAGTATTAGATATAGAAGAAAATTTAAAACACATTTCTGTTAAAATCTGTGTATCTTTTTCACAATCCTCACAGTATTACTAGGCTATATCTGTTTTTTAGTTAAAACATGCCAAAGTAGAAATGTAGATAGTGCTTACTGGGCTTCCAAGTATTGTGCAATATTATGTTACCTACCTTGACCCTCAGGATTACATACTATTTCTATATACTACAGCTGAAGAAACAGGCTCAGAGAAATTAAGTACTTTCTTGATCTCCAATCTATTATAAAACTTAATCTAGTTAACTTTATCCTAATTATACCTTCAAGAAATAACTTTCGGCAATAAAAGCCTGAGGACAATTTAAAACTGGCCAATTTGAGAGCCATTGTGTGGACACTGGAGCATATTCCTAAGGCAGAATGGACTGAAACACCTGGAATAAAACAGAAGTCTAGGTCTAGGTCTCACTCCTAAATGACAAGGAAATAAATGAATATTTACAGTTAAGGGATTCCTATTACTATAACTTTAATCCCTTAAAACTACTTAACTATAACTCTCAAAAACTAAAAATGGTCTTAGGGGTTATTTAAGCAATAGCAAGATAGGGAGAAGCTGGAAACTGGATTCCTCAGCCATTCAGGAAGGAAGGAAATTAGGTGCTGCCCCTAAACTCCTCTACCCAATAGAGATGAGAGTTACATACCTGAAGCCTTCAGTAGGGGAAAGAAAGGTTCATCTGAGTGGAGGCCCTAGTTCTAAGCATGTAATTTTTGTTAATTTTACCTTACAGAAAGCTCATTTTCCTACAGCCTTTTTATAAAATTAGCAAGTTTCCATATAGAGTGTTATTAAGAAAGCTATTAACATATTTTAAAAATTACAACCTAAGCACTCATTTATGAATTATCCATAAAATTTAGTGGGCTGTTTTCTTACCTGAAGAATCTCAAGATTAGCTAATTTTTCTTTGACCTAGTTATTTGACACAAAACACACAAGAAAGCAGGCCAAAAAAAACCAAACTAAAAAAAACACCTTTTGGTAAACATGAAGGCTTTTTCCTCTACTTTGATCCATACCTTCAACTGAATTGGAAATTTTCTACAGTCTTTCTGTGAATCAACAGCAGTGACGGATGGTGAGATAGATTTAATTTTATTTCGGCTCTGAGGTTTAGAGTCCAAGACATCAGAAACTGTATCCTTTAAATTAAGTAGTGTCTCTTGTCTCTCCTTTGGCAATTGATTAACAGTTGGATTAGAATGGTCCTTGGACTGCAAGGAAGACCCAGAATGTGCTAAGTTCAAACAATGGTCCTGCTGTTTGCTCTTTTTAACAGTGCTTGAGTTAACCACAATATTGGATTCTCTTTTATCATTTACACTGTTTTCCTCCTCACTTGAATCATCCAGTAAAATAATTCTGGATAATTTCTTTTTTGAAAGTGCACAATTCTGTCCCATCTTCATTTTGTTTAGCTTTACTGCACGTCGGGTTTTATATTTTTTACTCCCATTTGCAAAAGAATCTTCAGTTATTAAATTAAAATCGACACACACTTCTTCACTTGATTGACTTTTGCAAGACTCCTCTTCATCAACACAAAAACTGTCTTCTAAATAGGTTTCGTCTTGCTCAGGAATCTACAATAAAAATATAAATAAGAAATTACAAATTTCTTTCATAAAAACAATATGTAGTTAACATTCTTTTAAGATATTTGTCAATATTTTATCTATTTCACTTACTTTGTTAATTGAGTCATTTGCTCAACTAACATATACTGAGTATATTAAAGTGGGGACTTTGGGGATAAAAAAATATAATTATTTACCCTCTAGAAATGAACAGTCTAGTGTAGGTAGCCAGAAAAATAAACAGTAACTTATAAGCAATGTGATGAGTGGTATATAATAAACACAGTGGAAGCACAGAGATATGAATGACCATATTACCAAGCTGTACATTGCAATTTATAGACAAATAAGACTAATATAAAAATGTTATCCATAAATGAAAAATAATTATAATTTTTAGAATTAACATTTTTATGGGGGGAAAAATTTTCAAAAGAAATATGACAACATATAAGAATTAAAAATTTAACTGGTAGCCCTAGCTGGTGTGGCTCAGTTGGTTAAGTGTCGACCCATGTACCGAAAGATCACCAGTTTAATTCCCAGTCGGGGCACATGCCCAGGTTGCAAGTTGATCTCCAGTCACAGTGTATGCAGGAGACAACCGATCAATGTTTCCCTCTCCCTCTCTCTAAAAAAAACAATAAAAACACGATTTTAAAAAAAATTTAGTAGATGAAGTTCTAGTCACTTCTTTAAACATTCTCCTAAGTAGAAAATAATTTAATGGTATATTCTAATTAGCTAAAATGAAAGACAACAATTTGAGCAAAATTAGGACTAAAAGGGATTTTGAGAATTCATTTAGTCCACCTTCCTGACTCAGAGAAGAAATTATCCCAATTATCTCTGATAGTCCAGTTTTAGAAACAAAATGGAGATTTCACTAATAGAAACATACTTGAACATCACCTTCAGGAAATTCTCTACTATATCTCTGGAGTTTATACCTGTGAGAAAATGTTTATGTTGTTATGTTTCTTATGGACCATTTTGTACCGACTGCTCATCAATGGACTGCGCACAGATTTCATGTAAATAGCTCTCATTTCAGAATCTGTGTAAAGATAATAAAAATTTCAAATAGCAAAATTATTTAAATGAAAATTAGAAAAGTATTTAATTTTGACCTATTCCAAATCCACATGATTCAAACCCTGTAAAATTATTTTACACAAAAGGTATTTAATATATAAAAAGATGTCTAAAAATTATTATTTAAAATGCAGAGTTAGAAGTTTTGCCTTTGAAATCAGACCATCTAGTTGGGTGATCATGGACAATTTAAGTGCTATACCTTAGCTATCTCTCCTCTCTGAAAATGAGGATTAGGATAGTGCCTTTTCATGAAAAATAAATGTATACAAAGACCTTAGGACTGACCTATAGAAAGTATTCAGTAAAACACAAAAAATCCAGCCTCCCCCGTCCAAAAAAATGTTCAAAAACATCAAAAGCCATGGACAACAGTTATGTATGTTTCATTGTTTTCAGTCAAGCAAACACTGAACACCACACAGGTTTTTATTTATGTCTATATTTTTAAGGTTATAATCAGAAAGCAACTTAATTTTTGTTTCCCATTTTCCTGTACATTTTGGGGTGATTAAATTAATTGGCACCCATTATTTTGAGGGATAACTGCTAATCTGAAGACTACAGTGCTTGGTACAAGTCATATAACTCTGAATACTATTTCCCTTATCTTCATTCATTCCATAGCTAGCTTCAACTATTAGATGTCCTTCCTCCTGACTCATGCTAAATCCCTACAAACTCAATGAGATCCTTACTTCCAGTTTACTGTTTAGGATTCAAAATCAAGGAACTTTCAAAGATTTTTTTTTTTAGATATTATGTATATACAGTAAAATTCATCCTCTTTAGGGTACAGTTTTGAGTCTTGACAAATTCATTGTTATGGCAACCACTAATCTATTTACTGTCCCTACAGTTTTACCTTTTCCGGAATGTTGTATAAATAAAAATATACAGTATGTAACCTTTTGAATCTGGCTTTTTTCACTAAGCATAATTCATGTGAGATTCATATGCCTCTCATTTTTTAAAGTTTTAGCAAAGAGTACTTAAGAAATGAAACATGAAAAAAAGATGTGAATTCTGAGGTTTAACTTAAAAACACTTTGAAATCCTACATATTTCAAACATAGTGTGTCTAAAATAGAGTTTCAGATCTCCCTACTCTTCATCCCAACAGCTCCACAGGCAGCCTCCCAAATCAGATAGCAACAACTAGGTCCCTCCTGTTGCTCAAGCCCACTGACTCCTCTTTTCCTCTCTAACCCATCAGAAAATCCTGTCAAGCCCTAGCCAGTTTGGCTCAGTGGTTAGAGCGTTGGCCCGTGGACTGAAGGGTCCTAGATTCGATTCTGGCCAAGGGCACGTACCTCGGTTGCAGGCTCAATCCCCAGCCCCAGTCAGCGTGCAAGCTGGAGGTAACCAATCGATGTGCTTCTCTCACACTGATGTTTCTACCTCTCTCCCCCCTGCCCTCTACTCTCTCTGAAAAGCAATGGAAAAAATATCCTCTGGTGAGGATTGAAAAATAATAAAAAAAATAAAAATAATCCTGCTACCTGTACCTAGAATCCAATCTTACCCACCCTCTCACTGCCACTACCTTGGTAGAAACAACTATCACTCCTTGAGTAGATTATATATAGCCTCTTAAATGGTCTCTTCTTCCACCTTTGCTCCCCTATAGGCCATTTTCCACACAGAAGCTACAGTGATACTACTACAATAAGTCAAATCATGAGCTGGCTACTCATCACCTCTCTGATCTCACTTTCTTCTACTACCCCTCTCCCTCACTCAGTTCCAGGCACAATGCCTTCCTTGAACATGCCAAGCACACTCCTGCCTCAGGACCTTTATACTGGTGGTTGTCTATGCATCAACTTTCTCCAACCAGATTATACTGTAAACCTTCAATAGCCACTTCTGTTAATAAGTACCAAGGGCATACTACTAAGAAACCTCATTCTGTAAATCATATTAGTATCAACAACATAGCACTGAAAACTTTGTCTTTAAGACCTTTTTCCTTTAAAGGCATGGGCCACACTGGCTGGGTAGCTCAGTTGGTTAGAGTGTCTTCTCAATATGCCAAAGTTGTGGGTTCAATCCCGGGTGAGGGCACATACAAGAATCAACCAATGAATGCATAAATAAGTGGAAGAACAAATCTATATTTATCTCTCTCATTCTCCCTCCTGCCCTCCCTCCTTTCCTCTCAAATCAATAAAAAAAGTGTTAAAAAAAAAAAAAAAGTCATGGATCTTGGGAAACTTTGCTGTCTCAAATCGTATCAGGGATTGCAAGAGCAGAATAAATGGCAAGATCTGTAAAATATCAAAACACTGAAAAGCCCAACAGAAGCTTTCCTATTTCAATTAGAGCCAATATGAATCCTCTTCTCTTAACGTATTATGCATAAGATTTGCTCCAGCATTTTTTAGAAAGAGTGTTGACCAAAAGTAGATCTCCCCTTCTCAGCAAATTTAATAAATTTAGCTTTGTGTCTCAGCTGGTTTTATAATCCACATTGCTAAATTCTTCATCTCCTTCTGGAGTTTGATGAAATGTCACCTCAATAAGGTCTAACCCTCAACACTTTATATAAAATTACAGCTTGTGCATTATTAATCCCTTTAACCCCTGCCACTCCAAATCCTTGTCTTACTCAATTTTTTAATTTCTCTTTAAATTTTTCATCTTATACTAAATAATTTAGTTATGTGTATTGTCTCCTTCCATTCAAATGTTAAAGGTAGAGATTTCTGTCCATTTTGTTCACTGATATAGCTTTCTCAAGAACCTTACATAGTACCAGGCACATAGTGGGCACTAAATACTTGTTAAATAAACATTTGACACTGGGTCAGCTAGGTTGTTCTGGAGAGAAACAATCAAATTAGCAAAAGCCTATAAATAACCAAGTCTAAAATAAAGCAAACATTTCAGAATTTGAATGAAAATGACCAAATATTTCACATGTACCAAATTTAATTCCATTTAAAATCAAGGTTCTTTGATAACTAAAATGCTTAACTACAACCACATTAAAAACATTGAAAATTCAAAGAAAAAGAAGCATCATTATATCATTTACCATTTATTGCCTGTGAAAGTTGAGTCTCATCATTTAAGAAGTCAAGTAATGAGGAATCTTTTTCATTTTCTGACTCATCGTTTTCATCTGATGAAACACATTCTGCATCTTCTTGGGAAAGGTCTGCTTGATCATCTAAAAACTTCCTAGCTACAAGCTAAGACAAATTAGAAAAGACAATACTGATGAGAAAATCATTTACTTTCCTTAAATAACTGGAAATAGTTCTGGAAAATGGATTTCATGCAAATGCTTTTTAAGACCAAAAAATGAAGACACAAAACTGCAAGAAGACTTGATAAAGTAGCATACCTACTTAAATAAGTACATGTCAGCATGGCAGCTTACTGAATGTTTTTCGTTTTTCTTTTCCTTTTATTTTTAATCCTCACCCAAGGAGTGAGGATATTTTTTCCATTGCTTTTAGAGAGTGAAGGAAGAGGGGAAGGAGAGAGAAACATCAAGGCACACATGGATTGGCTGCCTCCCACATGAGCCCCGACTAGAAATCAAACCTGCAACCCAGGTATGTGCCCTTGACTGGGAATCGAACCATCAACCCTCAGGTGCCAGGGCCAATGCTCTAACCAATGCTCTAGTCATGCTGGCCAGAGCTCTTTTTTTTTAAGTAAGCATAAAGTTTCCTGACTCTTCCAGCTATTTTAATTTTTGCCAGGAAAATACTGCACCACAAAAGGACTGATCAGAAAAAAAGGCACTGAGAATTCTTTTCCAAGGATTTAAATATTGGAGATAAGAAAAACAATACAATGATTGTAATAGCTCAGTTGGTTCGAGTGTCATCCTGATACGTGAAGGATGTGGGTTCAATCCCTGGTCAGGGCACATACAAGAATCAACCAATGAATGCATAAATAAGTGGAACAACAAATCAATGTCTGTCTTTCTAAAAAAATCAATTAGTAAAATAAAATTATTGAAAAAGCAGCAAATACTCTAAAACTCAGATTTCCTTCAATTTGAATCTTAAATTGTCAATGCACTAGTTTCTTCATTTAGTTACTCAAAATAACACAACACTGCAAGATAGTTTCAAAACACAAAAAGAAACAAAAATACCACACCCTGAGATTTTAATTCCAAGTAAAAACATAAAATTGGGCCCTGGCTAGATTGCCTCAGTGGTTAGAGTGTCGGCCTGTGGACTGAAGGGTCCTGGGTTCGATTAGGGCCAAGGGCACATACCTCGGTTGCAGGTTCAATCCCTGACCTTCGTCAGGGAACATGCAAGAGGCAACTAATCAATGTGTTTCTCTCACATCGATATTTCTCTCTTTCACTCTCCCTTCCACTCTCTCTGAAAAGCAATGGAAAATATCCTCGGGTGAGGATTAAAAAAAAAAAAAAGTAAAATTGGGGTAAAAATATTTTTGAATTTTGGAATTTTTTTCTATCAATTATAGAGCCCAGCTGGGCATGGCTCAGCGGTTGAGCATCGACCTAGGATCCAGGAGATCACAGTTTGATTCCCGGTCAGGGCACATGCCCGGGTTTCGGGCTGGATCCCCAGTCAGGGGTGAGCAGGAGGCAGCCGATCAATGATGACTCTCATCATTGATGTCTCTCTCTCCCTTCTCTCTGAAATCAATAAAAACATATTTTTTTTAAAAAAATTATAGTGAGAAATCTATTTCTATGTAAAATCTAATGTTCTTTAAATACATATATAGTATACATACATATATATACACATATATATATAAAAATAACAAACTAAAAAAAAGTTTACCTTCAGGTGATTCTGTCTCTTTCGGACTTTGGTGCTTCTTTTGGTATTCCTGTTACAACTCTTAAAGTCTTCTAGTTGTGGGTGTTCAGAAGAATCCTCGCTCTCATCACTAGATGATAATTCCAACTATAATAATTCAATAAAATTCTTGCATAAGAAAATATAATTTGATTATTGTATCTAAATATCCTAATCTCCAGGGTTGTTGCTTTTAGTTTCAGGTTTTTAAAAGCTGACCTAACATTTTCTTGTTAGAAAAATAAAATGCTCTCACAACTCAGGGCCCTGTAACAAATACATAATATTTAAGAATTGAGTTTCCCACTCGGTCGCGGCTACCTTCTCCACCCGCCCCTCCTCGCCTCTCCTCTCCTGGCCGAAGCCCGGGGGATCAGAGCGAGACGCCGGGACCATGTCCATGCTAACGGCCCTCGACTACCACAACCCTGCCAGTTTCAACTGCAAAGATGAAAGAGAGTTTAGAAACATTATTGTTTGGCTTGAAGACCAGAAAATCAGACACTACAAGATTGAAGACAGAGGTAATTTAAGAAACATCCACAGCAGTGACTGGCCCAAGTTCTTTGAAAAGTATCTCACAGATGTTAGCTGTCCTTTCAAGATTCAAGATTGATGAGAAGCAATTAACTGGCTTCTTGGTTTAGCTGTTAGACTTGAATATGGAGATAGTGCTGAAAAATATAAGGACTCAGTATTTGATAATACAAAACATACTGACAGTGCAGCTAAAAATGCAGAGCCATTGATCAATTTGGGTGTTAATAATCCTAATGTTAAGGCTAGTATAATGGCTCTGGCTAAATTTTTTCAGATTCATTGTCATGACGACTACCTGGTGATGCTTAAGACAATTTGCATTTTGGTCCAGGAGTACCTGACACAGGATGCAGTTGCTAAAGCAAAAGAGGGATTGCCTGTTGCTTTAGACAAGCATAATCTTGGTTTTGACACAGGAGATGCAGTTCTTAATAAAGCTGCTCAAATTCTGTCATTGCTGCATATAAAAGAACTCAGAGAGCTATAGACAAAAATTAATGAAGCCATAGTAGTTGTTCAGGCAATTATTGCTGATCCAAAGACAGACCACACACTAGGGAAAGTTGGAAAATGAACATTTTAGGATTTCGGCCTCTCACCTACTTACTACAGTTATAAACCATGTATGCCCTGGTATGTGTTTTGAAATCAAACATCAGATTTTCAAGGGAAGAATCCCAGGAAATTGACTATGTTTTAGAGATTTACCATCATTGCTTTTCCTTTTATAAAGTTTGGGAAAGTGGGGGGGAAAAAAGAATTGATAATAAGTACAAAAATACTAAATTAGGTAATATATGTAATACTGTACTAGTATAGTATTCACTCAATTTAGCATTATATCAAATGTACTTGATGAAAACTTCTATTTTTAATTTAACTGTTTCCTTTAGAAGATCCTGAAAGCCTTCACAAAATATAATTAAGTCTGTAAATATAAGTATCAAAATCAGTCCAAGCATACAGGAGTCCTTGCAAACCAAAAAACTAATATAAGAAAAACAAATTTTGGACAGTCATACAACAAGATGGCAGCATAGGTAACTGCAGTACCCACCACCTCACACAACCACATCAAAATTAAAACTAAAATACAGAACAACCAACATTCAAAACCCCCTGAAATAAAACTGAACAGAAGTCCTATGACAAAGGAACAGAAGAAGCATTGAGACTGGTAGGAGGGGCAGAGATGTGGGTGGAATCCAGGCTGGATCCTGGAGATGCAGCCGCAGTCCCACACCCGGTGCTGTGGTTTAAAACCAGGAGGAATATCTCAGTGGTGGAGGTTTCCCAGAGGAGCAAGGGGGTCCCAGCCCCACAACAGGACCCCTAGCCCAGGGTTCCAGGGCCAGGAAGAGAAGTCCCCACAACTTCAGGCTGTGAAAACCAGCAGGGATTGTGACTGAGTGACATGGAGGCTGTGGGAGTCCCAGGCAGCTCCTCTTAAAGGGCCCACACACAAACTCACTCAGGCCTGCTCCCTCTGAGCTACAGCACTGGGGCTTGAAAGGAAACTGGGAAATTCAGGGAGGAACTAACTTGCCTGAAATTGGGGTGAGAGGTAGAGGGACAGCTTTCTCCCAGACAAAAGAGCTGGCAGAGGCCACTGCTCCTTTGGCGAGCCCTCCCCCCACAGAGCCAGCAGGCAGGTGCCATATTTGAATCTCCAGCACCTGACTCACACCTTAGGCCCCACCCTGGTGATTCCTAGAAATCCCGACCCCTGCACTTGCAAGCTCATCCAAGCCATTTCCAGTGGCTTTTCTATGCAAGTGGCCTCTCTAGCCTCAGGCTTAGGACTTTCCTAAAATCCCTCAAACAAGTTGCACCTGGCCTCAGCGTGTCCCATACGTCTTGGAAGTAATGGCAGCCTGCACTGGTTCATAGTTTGGCCTCTCCTGGACATCGCCAAGCCCAGCACAAGTAGCAGCCAAATACAGATTGCTGTGTAGCTCACACTGGGGGACCCTAGACACAGACAGAGGCTGACTTTGCACCTCCTGGACGGTGCAAAGAGACAGTGCACCTGGGCGTCAGACTGAACCATGCTGGATTACAACCCTAGCACATGCACGAATGACACACTCAAGGGGCGTACTAGGTACACCAAAACTCCACTAAAGTAAATCCTGCTCTGTAGAGGTGTCTCCAGCACAGCAGTTCTTTGGCTGCAGTTGCAGCTGGTCCTCACAGCCGATTGGCCTGTGGGTAAATTCCTCCTAGTGATGCCAACAGCAACCGAGGCTCAACTACAACAGGCACACAGCCCACACAGGGGAGCATCTAGAAGGCCAGTACAGGTGACTGTGGAGACTGAGCGAAACAAACACCAGGAAGCTGCCAAAATGTGGAGGCAAAGAAACATGTCACAAAGGGAAAAACAGAAGAAACCTGTAGAAGAGGAACTAAATGAAACAGAACCAAGCAAGCCACTAGATATAGAGTTCAGAATAATGGTTATAAGCATGCTCAAGGATCTTATTAAGAATATTAAAGAAACTAGTGATATTATTGATGACATAATAAAGTACCAATCAGAAATGAAGGCTACACAAACTGAAATGAAGAATAATTTACAGGGAATCAACAGTAGAGTAGAGGATGCTGAGAATCAAATCAGCAATTTTCAATATGAGGAAAGAAAAAACACCCAACCAGAAGAGTAAAAAGGAAAAATAATCCAGAATTATGAAGACAATGTACGGAGTCTCTGGGACAACCTCAAGTGGTCCAACATTCGCATTGTGGGCATGTCAGAGGGAGAAGAAAGTGAAAACCTATTTGAAAAAATAATGACAGGAAACTTCCCCTACCTGGGGAAAGAAATAGACTTACAAGTCCAGGAAGCACAGAGAGTCCCAAACAAGAGGAACCCAAAGAGGCCCAGAGCAAGACACATCATAATTAAAATGCCAAAGGTTAAAGACAAAGAGAGAATCTTAAAAACAGCAAGAGAAAAGCAATTAGTTACCTACAAGGGAGCACCTATACGACTGTCCGCTGATTTCTCAACAGAAACTTTGCAGGCCAGAAGGGAGTGGCAAGAAATATTCAAAGTGATGAAAAGCAAGAACCTACAACCAAGATTGCTCTACCCAGCAAAGCTATCATTTAGAACTGAAGGTCAGATAAAGAGCTTCACAGACAAGAAAAAGCTAAAGGAGTTCATCACCACCAACCAGAAATGTTGAAGGGTCCTCTTTAAGAGGAAGCTAGTGCACAAAAGAATCTGACAGACTAAATAGATCCAGAGACATTGAAGCATGCAACAGACGGTCATATTTCAGAGGGAAGAGGGAAGGGGTGGTGGAGGGTGAGAAGAGATTAACCAAAAAAGTTATATGCATATATGCATAACCCATGGACCCAGACAATAATGGAGTAAAGCCTGGGGAGTGGGTGGTAGTGAGGTAGATGTGGGATCAATGGGGGGGAAAAAATGGGATACCTGTAATACTTTCAACAATAAAGATAAATTTAAAATAAAATAAAATAAAATAAATAAAAAATAAAAAGTGAAAAAAAGAAAAACAATTTCTGACTAGGAGGCCTATCACTGTATCTTTGACAGAACAATATAAAACTGATCAAAAGACTCAAAAGTTTATCAATCAAATTTCAATTAATAGGAATAATTTTACTTTAAAATGGAATGATTACATTATCAATGTTTTAATTCATTTCTGATAAGTCAACCAGGCAGTCTAGTTAGAGAGATTCTCATTTTATATGAGTTTACAAAGTTAATATGGACTGACTGCATTTTTTATTAATATTGCACAAATTATCCTATATTTTATTAGGGAACTGAAATACAAGATTTCCTAATCTCATAATTTAGTCACCAGCTATAAATTGATGACAAATATCATTAGCCTTAAGACCTGCCTCCTACGCAAACTTCATATTCACAGTCACCAATGCCTGCCAGACACTGACACTTCACTCAAACATGTTCAACACTGAACTTACCTCTTTCTTGTCTTCTCTAGGTTTGTGATACATCTGCCAAGCAGCCCAAGCCAAAAACCAGTCATATTGGACTCCTTCCTTTCCTCTTTTCAAACCCACTCAGTAAGCAAATGAAAGAATGAGGCCTTCCAAAAACGGACCGATATTTTTCTCCAGTTTTACTTCCTGTCACTCTTTGTTTTAACAATCCAATTAAGAGATGCTGTTTCCCACTGTGTGTCATTCTTTAAGCTGTTCACTGGTTGACAATGCCTTCCCTTCTCCCTTCTCTTGCCTAAGGCCACATATGCTTTGAGATTTAATAAAGTTTTAACTTCAAGAAGCTTGCCAGAACTCCCAAAGTGTTGGCTAAGTGGTTATCTTTTCTTATCACTCAAAAGATTTACTTATCTTTCTTTCCTAACAGATTGTAAGTGACTTAAGCAGTTCCAGGGTATAATCAATGCAGTATCTCCAGCATCTTCCAGGGCAGATAAACAGTAGGTATTTAATGAACACCCGCTGAATTGCTGAGGTGTACTGACAAAAGTAGGATAGTTTTTAAAACAAATATAAAATTAAAATAGAAATTTCAATCAAATAGAATTTACTATCTATTTTTCTATTAACTATATACTTGTAAGATCAAATGTATCTACATTCACCTATACAGATACTATTTTTGTAATATGGATTCCAAAAGAATTTGAGTTACTATACATTACTATATATTATCTATACATTACTTATGTACTTACTTTCTTTGGAGGAACCCTGCGCTTTCTTACAGCATGAAGTGGGGAATCAACTTCACAACGTTTCTGATCCTAGATAAATAAAGTAAAAGGTAAAAAGTAAAAAGACATAAGGAGAAAGAAAAAGCCTTTGTATGATCACATTGCTGTGATTACTGACTCACCTCAGGGGATTCCAAAACATTTCCTTTTGCTTTTTTACTCTTTCTTTGGAAAATCTCATCACCTTCACTTTCATTGCTTGTTAACTGTTCATCTATAAAATTTATTTAAAAATAATTAATCTAGTCAATAGATTTAAGTTTATCCAACCACAACTATTTTATTGACGGTACAATAAGAACTGTTTCTGTCAATCTCAACACTTACTCTAAAAAAAATAGCTTTTCAGAAGTTTGGTCAAAAAAATCAGCATAAGCCCAAGCTGATTTGGTTTGGTGTTTAGAGCGTGGGCCCTCAGACTGAAGGGTCACAGGTTCAAGTCCAGCCAAGGGCACGTACCTTGGTTGTAGGCTCCATCCCCCACCCTGGCGAGTGTAGGAAGCAATCAATGACACATCGATGTTTCTCTCTCTCTCTCAATTCCACTCTCTCTAAAAAGCAATGGAAAAAATATCCTCAGGTGAGGATTAAAAAAAACAGAAACAAAAACAAATCAGCATGAGCCCTGGACAGTGTTGCTTAGTGGTTAGAGTGTCAGCCCTCAGACTGAAGGGTCTCAAGTTCAATTCCCAGTCAAGGGCATGTATCTAGGCGGCAGGTTCAATCCCCAGCTCCAGTCAGGGCATGTGAAGGAGGCAGCCAATCACTGTGTCTCTCTCACATCGATGTTTCTTTTTCTCTCCCCTCCCCCCCAGCCTCCTTCCCTGCCTTCCACTCTTCCTAAAAAAAATCAATGCGAAAAATATCCTCAGGTGAGGATTAACAACAACAAAAAATTAGCATAAGAGACAGAAAAATAAAACACTGCTAGTGAGAAAACTGAGACAACTTTTGCTGATAAACATATATTTGACTCAGGTTCAATTTTACAAATTAACTGAAAAGAAGCTAGAAGAGTATAAAACATAATTCTATTAGTCAATGATTCTAGAATTCATCTGTAAAATCTATGGTAGTATTCCTGCCCTTTGTGTCTTATTCTCTTTCTAACTGAACAAGTTAAAGCATGAAAATGCAGGCTATAAGACAATATATATAAAGACCTTTTATGTATGTATGTACATATGTATGTCATATATATGTATATATACATATGTTTTTGTGCACAGCATGAAATTAAACACTGGTAAGATATTCAGCAAAATGTTGTAACTAAAACAACACATCTGGGGGAATGAAAAGATTGCTAAAAACAAAACTTTCATGTATGAAATAAGATGCTTCAAATATTCAGGTACTTAAACAAAGCTTTAAGTCTTGCCCTTTCATAAAATTTTGATTGAAAATACTTTGTGTCTTTATGAAACCTTCTGTAAGAGCCTTATCATTGTTTCAAGATATAAATTCTTTGATATGTCTCCCTTTCAAGAGGTGAATCAGAATTCCTCTCCCCTTAACTGTCGAGCAGACTTAATCACTTGCTTCTAACAAAAGAATATAATGAAAATGAAGGTGTATCACTTCAGAGTCTAGGTCATAAAAGTCATTCCAGCCTCATCCTTGCTCTCTCTACATCTCACTCACTCTGGAGGAATATAGATGCTACATTGTAAGGACATAAGAAGAAACCCTATTGGAGAGGCCCCTGTGGCAAGAAATCAAGGCCTTCCACCAAGAACAGTGTGATCCTCCAAGCTTACTCAAGCCTTCAGATAACTCTAGCCCTGACCAACATTTTTTTTTTTTTTAATATATCTTTACTTATTTCAGAGAGAGGAAGGGAGAGAGACAGAAACATCAATGAAGAGGGGGTCATTGATTGGCAGCCTCCTGCACAGCCCCTACTGGGGACCGAGCCCGAAAGCAGGGCATGGTACCCTGACCTGGAATCGAACCTCAGCCTCCTAGATCCTAGGTCAATGCTCAACAGCTGAGCCACATCAGTTGGCCCTGACCAACGTCTTGATTGCCACTTCATGAAATATCCTGAGCCAAACCCCTTACTAAACCACTCTTGAATTTCTAGTCCACAGAAACGTCGTTTTAAGCCATTAAAGGGGGTGGGGGGTGTAATTTGTTATGCAGCAGTAGATAAATAATACAGGTTGTGGTACCTGGAAATAGTGAATTGCCATACCAAAAAACTAAACTATGGAGGGAGCTTTAGAACTAGATTGGGGGCTGAAGCTGAAAAAACTTCTGGGGAGAGTTTTAGTGAAAGCTTGAAGAGACTCACAGGAATTGTTTGTAGGAACAATTTCTGGGAAGATTAATGGCTATTGAGGAGGCTGTGGGTGAGAGGTTAAAGTAAGGAAAATCTTACTAGAAATTGGAGGAAAGAGAATCCTTTATGTAGTGCCAGAAAGTTTAGCAACCTTGCAGTAACACAGAAAGTAGAAAATGTGCCTAATGAATGAGGTGATCTAGCTAAGGAAATTTCTAGACAAAATGTTTAAGGTATCATCTGTGCTTCTTGCTGTTAAAGTAAATTGCAAGAGGGGAGAGATAAGCTCAAGAAAGGACTACTAAACAAAAAACAGCCTTGCTGGCTTTGAAAATTCCCAGCTTTTGAAGCTGGCAAGCAATATTAAACTAAGAAGTCTTCCAAGCAAAGATCTAATCTAGAGGACTGCCAGGAAAATATTGTTCGATGAAGCTGAGGGTATAATTGTAAATGCTTTAAGACCTAAGAAATATCAAGCATGGTGCCTCAGAGTAGCATTCAGTCAGATACAAGGCTCTCTCGATACTTTAGGATGTTTATCGCGGGTCTTCTCAAATAGGCCTTCTGAGAGGATTAAAGAACTCTCTCTATACACCTCAGCAGAAACCCAAGGTAGAGAAGAATTTAGCTCCAAAAGATTTGTGGGCAAGCTAGTGTCTAATGGAATGAACCCCAATGAGATTCACAAGAAACCCAAAAATTTACAAGAATTATATGGGAAGAAACACAGCCAGCTATAACTAAAAGGGGCAGAGACAGGACAAAATGAAAAGAGGGCTTTGGATTCCCACATTTTTACTAAAAGGTATGCTGCGAAAACTCCATAGGTGCTATCTGTTATGAAAAAGGATGCTACCAAGCATCCAGAGGGCAAAGTCAAGAACCATGGAGAATTATTCCCAGACTTTGAATCCTAATCAAGGAACTTCCAATCTCAGCTCTGCTGCATTTTAGAATTGCTATGGACTAGAGATTCCTGTGTGCCTCCAATTACCCCTCCCCCTCATTTTGAACAAGCCATCTTGAAAGTAGATTGTCCATGCCCAGTTAAGTCTTCAGATGACAGCAACCCCAGGTGATATCTTGATTATAACCTCCAGAGAAATCCTAAGCTAGAACAACCCAATTAAGAAACTCTTGAATTCCTAAACTACAGAAACTGTGAGATAAATGTTTATTTTAAGCCACTAAGTTTCTGGGACTAATTTGTTATACAGCAATAAAAAACTAACACAAATACACAGTATATTTCTCTTCACACTCTCTGACAATAAAATATATACCCAGACAAACCTGAATAAATCCTTTTTGCAAAAGAGCCACTCTATAATTGAACTAGATTTTTTTTTCATTACCTTCTAGAATTAAATGCAGGGCTCAGCTATAATAATCAACTAATTCCAGAAGGCTTTTCTTTTAACTACTTCAGTGACTTTTTTTTTTTAAATATATCTTTTTTGATTTCAGAGAGAGGAAAGGAGAGGGAGACAGAGAGAGAAATATCAATGATGAGAGTGAACATTGATCAGCTGCCTCCTGCACGCCCCCGACTGGGGATTGAGCCTGCAACCCAGGCATGTGCCCTGACCGAAAATCCAAGTGTGATCTCCTGTATCCTAGGTCGTTGCTCAACTGCTGAGCCACGCCCGGCCGGGCTTAGTGATGTTTTAATTAACTATTTTTGTATATACATAACATGACAAATGACCTTAAATCCTCTATTTCAGTTAGATGAAATAAAAAATATTAAGTACTCTAATAAATAATTCCCTAATATATATGTATTCATAATTATATTGCCCATGGTTAATAGTTAAGTACAATGCTAGAAAAAGTTTTGATACAAATATGACACAAACAAAAAAAGTGATTTCATCCAATAACAGACTTAATATAAAGGTGTTAAAGCAAATACTGAAGGCTCACAGGAAAAATACATGTAAAAATACATGTCACAGTATTTCCAAAACTATGTGGAATAGTCAATTTTCGAAAATTAAACATATGTCCACAACTTACTTTAAAAAAGATTTTATCTTAAATACAACATTCATGAATCATGCTCTCTGCTACTGAGAATAGCGTAAGAAAGACTGACAGAGGAAACTTTCATTTTATCCTACTACTATTCTTTTTCCACAGCCAGAAGGAGTAAAATCCATAAATGGCCTGCTATAATAATCTACCCATAAACTAGAGTTGAGTTATATAACAAGACTTACAGGATATTTAAAATCATTTTAATACCCAGCATATATCACTGTATTTTCTAGTTTTTGTGTAACTGTAGAATTAGATTACAGAAATGCAGAGATTCCCTAAGAGCTTTTGTAGTCTTGTCGCAGTCCTCCAAATACAGCTTTATTTATATTTTGCTATATAAACCCTCTACTTTATATTATCCCCCCAAAATCTTACTTTGATTCTTGTACTTTGCGCCCCACTATTTTATAACATCTAAATTCTCTATTATTTTCAACATATCCCATATTCCCAAGGAGCCAAAATGAAAATCTACATTTATAAATCTAAGCTAATCCAGTTCAAAATTTTGATATTTTTTTTGTATCTCCTAAGCATCCACTCTTATTATTCCTTTAGTAGTTATTTACATATTTTACTCTTATCTTTTCAAATGTGTATGCTACACAATTGTTTTACAATCAAAGGCTAGGGCCAAATCTTACACTTCTATATTTCACAGTGTAATACCTTTCCAATGGCATGCATGCCATAAGTAAAGGGTGCCCCCCAAAAATGTATACACACTTTAACAACTGATAGCTCAATTTTGAAAATGAAATGTATTTTAATAAACACTGTCTTTATAATTATTCAAAGTGTATGTATACATTTTTGGGAGACACCCTGTATATATGTAGGTAAAATAATCTTATAAATCTTATATATCAGTAAGCATCAACTTAAGAAATATATAATACATCAATTCTCTAATTCAATACACCATATACTGAGAAATTACATTTTGAAAAACTACAGAAGTTTATCTAGAGCAATTATTCTAGAAAGATGAAATCTTACCTCCAGCAGAATGACAGGATTGATGTAGGTTGATTTGTTCCCCATTTTTAGTCTTTTCTATAGAAAGTCCTGAATCATCAAAAGTTGAATTCAATGTGTCTTTGAAACTTTGTAGATTTACCTTTCCCTTATTAGAATCTAGCATCCTAGGCATTTCCTTTCTCTTTTTAGAGTTCAATGTGTTTGATTCAGAAAGTGGTGTACTCATAACTATTTCCCCTCCTGGCAAAGGAAACTGAGAATAACCAGGTGACATAAATTGTTTATTTTTTGCTATACTCAATGGGAAATGTGCAGAAGTTGGATTCTGAATATCTTCACTTGATGAGATAGTAATGATTCTACTCGTAGAACTATCAACATGATCTCTTGGTATTACTGCTAAATTTGAAACATAGTTTGCATCACTTATCTCCTTGACATCTAAACACCTTCCAGATAGATCATCTAAAATTTTATTCTTATTTGTATTTGATGTATGTTCTATTTCATCATCAGAATCTGGAATACAAAATCCTAAATCAAAGGTAACAGGAAATAAATCCTTAGAGTAGTCAAGAACATATTCGTCACTCTTCAGTTTTTCCTCATGTACTCCTGTCAAATCTTCATGAGATTTCCAACTGTTAGTATAATAGGCAATTTGATCTTGGGGTTGAGAATTATTGTCTAACAAAAGTTCATCAGAAATTAAGAACTGAGAAACCAGTGCCATTTTGTTTATACAAGTTTTGTCTGACACATGTAAAGATTTGCATTCCTTATTCGAGGGAGGAAGGGTCATATCATTAAATTCTGTATTAACATCTTCAAATAGTGGTAAACTCTCATCCTGATCAGTGAGCAATACTGGGAACCCACTGTTAACATCACAATTGTTTTCTTCAGCAAAATACTTTGGAGGGCCTATGTTTATTTCAGTATGATTGTTGCTTACTAAATTTTCATTTTTAACATTTTTACGTACTTTATCATCACAGTCACATAAGCCTGGCTCATCAAAAATCTTATCATTCATTGTACTATAAAGGCAACTTTTATCAGAAGGATGATTAATAAATTTAAGTGAATTTAATTCTAAATCCTGTCGAGAACTTACAGCTGAATGTGATATCAAACAGGTAGGTTTATTGTTTGGTAAATACTCTGTGTAGGGTAGGTAAAGCAAATTTTCAGGTGCAGAATCCTTAGTAATTTCATGTTCCAAATTTGAAAGTCCACTGAGAGGTGGTGGAGAATGAGATAAAAATCTCTCTACATTAACTAGTACCTCTTTTGTTAGTGAGTAACAATTATAAAATTGGTCATCAGTTCTAGCTATAACAAGCTCTTCCTCAAGTGGAAGAAATAAGCTATGTAAAACAGATTTCTCATCACTGAAACTGTTATAACCAGAATCTAAAAAATTTCCAGCAAATGAACTAGTAGATTTATTTGTAATCTGACATTCTGTTAATAATCCACATGACTGATTAACAACATTTTCATTGATAGCACATGTGGCAGCAACTTCATCTATATCTGATGCCCTTTTATCATTTAGGTCTACCTGAAAAATATTTTCAACTGTAGAACTGTCATCAGTATCTAAAAAATCCATAACAACATCATTATTTTCTTTTTTAGGCTGATCTTTTTTCAGTTTTTTAAAAGCTTTTCTCTTTAAAGAAACAATTTTAGGTTTGATACGAGTCTGTTTAAAAATTTCAGCACATTCTTCATCAGATTCTGTCACTGGGATTGAACTGCCTTCATTTATAGTCTTTGTAAATGAAGATTTCTTATTACTAGTAAAGGTGCCATTGGCAAGATTGTATTTGTTCCTGGGAGCACTAAATGTTGAGCTAACATCTTCCATTTTTAAATAAGATTTAATTTCCAATTCATAGCTGCATTCTCCCTATAAAGAAAGAAAATGAAAAAGTCACAAGAAAACAAAACAAAAAAGCCAATTCTAAGAGATGAGTTTTACTCTACGTAAAAATATTTTCCAAACAATATTACATTATTCAAATGCCAACCAGAGAAAGACAAAGATCACATGCTCTCATTTATTTGTGGAATGTAATGAACAAAATGAATTGACCAACAAAATAATACCCGAGACACAGAGGCATGGAACAAACTGACAAATCTCCGTGGGGGCGGGGGAGGGGAGTGACAACGACAAGAGATAAACCAAAGAACTTTCTTGCTTATATGCACAGCCCGTGGACACAGACAATAGGGTGGTGAAGGCCTGGAGGGGGCATGGATAGGGACTAGGCAGAGATGGAGAAAGGAGGGAAAATGGGGTACATCTGTAATACTGTCAACAATTAAAAATATATTAATAATTTTTTAAAGCCAATTCTAAAAAATGTTTTCCAAACAACATTACATTATTCAAATTATTTTCTTTTATACCTTAAAAAATTATTCTGATAAATCAAATAAAATTATAAATGACACTACTGTGAAATTGTCATAAATTTTCTTTAATATATATTTTTTTATTTTTAGAGAGAGGAAGGGAGAGGGAGAGAAGGAGAGAAAGAGAGAAAGATGGATGAGAGAGAAACATTGATAGGCCGCCTCCTGCACAGCCCCCACCAGATATGTGCCCTAACATGGAAATGGAACTAGCGACCACTTGGTGCATGGGTTGACATTCAAACACTGAGCCACACTGGCCGGGCATAAATTTCTTCAGTCAGTTAATATTTTTGTATCCCCAGTACTTAATACATGGAAGATCCATGATAACTATTTAGAAAGAACAAATTTAATAAATGCATAAAATAAGATTATAAACACTAAGTTTTTTACTTCTAACATTTAATAGAACAATTATTCTAATTTCCTAAAAATAGAGATTTAAGAAATTAATACATATAAATGTAAAGCGCACATTCATATGTTAAATTTACTCTTTTTGAAAGTAAACTAAGGACAGCTTTTAGAACATCTGAAATAATGATACTTGTATGTGTACTAGGCTGTAGGCTAGAATATACTATTTTTAACAAATTTTCCAACCAAGAATTCTTATAGTGAATTTCTAAGTCTTTCTTATCTCTAAGTTTAAAACTACAGTCCCCACCACTCCTGGCTCACCTTTCCCTCTTCCCCATGAATGCTACTTTAATCACGATTCCTCTACTACTTGGGGACTTAAGCAGTTAATTTTCCACTCTTTGAATAATAAATACAATAAATATTAATGTAAGAATGTCTGTCTCCCTGATAGTACATATGTTCCCCACTAACAGAATATTTTTTAAAAATATGTTTTTAGTGATTTTAGAGAGACAGGGAAGGAGAAGGAGAGAGAGAAAAATCAATCGGCTGCCTCCTGCACACCCCCTACTGGGGATTAAGCCCGAAACCAGGGATGGGACCATGTTCAACCAACTAAGCCACACCAGCCAGGGCTGACAGAATATTTTACCTGGCCTCTTCAATGATGTAGCCACAGGGCCAGGAACAGTTCATGGCATATACAGGACACTAAATACATATGTGTTAATTTGACGGCACAGGTTTTGCTGGGATTCACAACTAATTCCTGTATTTGCATGTATTCATGAACAATAACTAATAACAAAAAGAGCAGCTACAATCTACTGAGTACTTAATATGTGCCAGTTACTGTTCTAAGTGCCTTACACATATGAAGTCTTTTAATCCTACAGCAACCATATAAAGAAGGTATTATCATTATCTCCATTTTATAGATGAAACTGAGACATAGAGAGGTTACATAACTTACAGAAGCACAACTAGTAAGAGGCAGTGTTTGGATTCTAACCCAGGCATTTTGGATTTCACTCTCACACTAGGTTCATCATTCTGACTCTCTCAAGAATAATAATCAAGAAACTGCTCAAGGAATCAACAATTCTGTAAACTACCACCGGGATATAAGAGATACACTACATGACCTATGTGATAGACAACATTTCAATAAATCTCATTTAACAAGAATCTTAAATTACAAAGTTTATATAAATCATTAAATATATTAAAATTTGATTCAGGTCTATCAATATTTACAAATGATACTCCTCTAATTAACTCTATTTCTTCTACAGCAGAAAACTGGTTCCTTATTGAGATCACAAGGATATATAAAAAAACAAAATATTCTAGCTATCATTTCTTATAATAAATACCAGTTTCTTGTTTTAAAAATTGATTTTAGAGTGCAAGAAAGGGAGAGGGAAGGAGGGCGAGAGACAGAGGGAGGGAGAGAGGGAGGAAGGAAGGGAGAGGGAGAGAAACATCAACTGGTTGCCTTCTGACCAGGGACCGAACCAGCAATCTGAGCTTGTGCCCTGACCAACTGAGCCACATCGGCCAAGGCAATACTTGTTTCTAAAAATGACGACTTCAAATTAAGAGTAAAGATTAAGTATTGTAGTTTCACCATGAAACCAGCAAGAGAAAATTACAATAAAAACCTACCTCTTCATGTCTCATTCCTTCTATAATTTGCATAATGCTTATAAAATGATGGCATCGATCTGAGTGATCAACTTGATATGTAGGAAAAGGATGATCTTGCCATAGTCTCCATTCAGAGAGAGAGAGTTGACGAATTCCAATGGTTGGTTCTTGAGTCTTGATTAATGATTTTTAAAATAATAAAAATGATAAAAGCATTCAGATTTCACAAACTGATTTTTTAAAAACCATTTAATACACAGATAATCAGCCTAATATAAATAATTTGAACTTATTCTGATGCTTTCAACTAAAATCTCAGGGGGAAAAAAGAAAATTTCTTAAAGTATAAAGTTGACCTTTAAATACATTTTAAAAATAAGTCATATGAGTTACTAGTTAACCATATTTCCTGTTTATATAGTTCCATGTTGAGTAATATTTAAGAAAAGGTGTGGTTTCAAAAGTACTATTTATATCCTATAATCTAATAAGGAGGCATTCATATTATCTCAGTGATACTAATCCCAATCCTTCATGCCTGCTGCCATTCCTCTTTCCCTGTTAGTGAATAAAAAATAAAAATTCTGAATAGCCATATATTTAAAGCACTATAAATCTTCCAAAAGGAATCTTTCCTGAGGCTGTTCTTCCAGTTTTTTGGGTACAAAAGTAACCTTTGACAAATTATCTTGGCTTTCATTAAGTTCACCAGTAACTTGTTCTTAAAACAAAATAAATCATAACATCCAAATTAAAGTTTTACTATAATTTCAAAATGACAAATAAAAACCAGTTTGTACATAGATGCTCATGGCAGCATAATTTTATGTTAGCAATATACTGAAAAGATTCTAAAACACAACAGGGAAGTAGTCAAAATATGGTACACTGCAGGGTAACATAACAATCATGTAAATTTTGTCTATACAGAAATGTTCATATGGCATAAAGTAATAAAGAAAAGGCAGAACTTATGTAAATATATTATGGTCATGTAAAAATATATTCTATATATACAATAAAGAATATAAGAAATTAGAAGTTTTACAAACTCAGACTTTAATAATCTTTTTAAAACTGTTTACATTCTTAAATTTTTAAGGTGACATTCTGACTATGAAGATTCTCTTTACTGTATAATCACTATAAAGAACATCTGAAAACATGTTCCACTTACTGGTACATTTTCCTCATTTTGTAAAGACAGAAATTGAACTTGAGGCAATATTATTTCCTTAATTTCATCACTGTCTCTTAACCTATAAAGTCTGTTCCATAATTTAAATTCTTCATCGGATAAGAACCAATCTTTCTTTGAATCACTTTGTCTTATTCCTATAGGGTTGAAAAGTAATTGAAAAGAGGTTAAAAAAATCTGCTAGGCAAATACAAAATATATATCAACAGTCTATTCTTCATATAATCACTCTGGTTATCTCTTCCTGCTTCTACATATCTCCTACAATTCTCTGACCTCTTTGAAAGTATTAATGCTCCCTTCTGTCTAGGAGTCTAGGAGCTAATCTTTAGTAATCCATTCATTAACAGAACAGAGCCAGGTAGCTAGGCTCTCATTCCTGGCTTCTTTTGGACTCTCTCCATTTTGTTGTCTAAGTCCTGGCATGAAACAGTCAGATAATTTACAAATAAAAACTAGTATCATGATTCTATCATAACATTATTGGAAAGGTTATCTGAAGCTTGTGGGAGGACCCCAAAACAATAAAGGGTTTTTAGATGGTCTTAAATTGGGATTGTGGGGTGGAGTAAAGGGGGGTAGAAAAAATCTACTGCTTGCCCGGCTGGGCGTGGCTCAGCGGTTGAGCGTTGACCTGGGATCCAGGAGATCGGGGTTCGATTCCCGGTCAGGGCACATGCCCGGGTTGAGGGCTTGATCAATGACTCTCTCATCATTGATGTTTCTATCTCTCTCTCTCCCTCTCCTTTCCTCTCTCTGAAATCAATAAAAATATATTTAAAAAAATAAAAATTAAAAAAAGAAAAAAAAGATCTGCTTAAAAAAAAAAAAAAAATGACATAACATACTTAAAAAAAAAAAAAAACAGAGTAAATTAACCCTTTTTGGCTTCCATAATCTCTATAAAGGAAAATAATTGCAAGCTGGAAAGGATAAACAGTATAAAGCAGGAACTCTGGCCAAATACAGATGAGGGCAGAAAAAATCAGAAAGACTACTGAATTTAGGAAACAGGAAACCTCTTTCTTAGTTATTCCAAAATACTATAACAAGCTTTTATAAAATAAGGGGTTTGAACTAAGTGATCTCTCAGGTCCCTTTAGATCTAACAATCTGAACCTCTAAGACTTTTGAAATAGGAAGGTATTCAACTCTCCTAGTCACTTTAAATAAATTCAGTCCTCTAAGACCAGTTGAATTATATACTAATAAATAGAACAATACACTTATATAAATAATCTTGGCAAGATGAATCACTAACACTGGAAAAATGGTTAAAAAAAAAGGTACAGAAAAATGAACATGAGCTAATATCTCAATTTTTTAAAAAGGACAGGTATTGCCCTAGCCAGTTTTCTCAGTGCTTAGGGAGTCAGCTCTCGAACTGAAGGGTCCCAGTACGATTCCGGCCAGTGGCATGTACCTTGGTTGCAGGCCTGCCTGGCTGGGTTGGGGCATGTGCTAGAGGCAACCAATTGATGTGTCTCTCTCACATCAATGTTTCTCTCTTTCCCTTCCACTCTCTGAAAAGCAATGGAAAAAATATCCTCGTGTGAGGATTAAAAAAATAAAATAAGTAAATAAAAATGACAAGTATTAGAATTTTACTGACATATATAATTGTTTAACCATAAAGCTCTACTCCTTAAACCAATACATAATAAAAAAAATTAAAAACAAAAATGGCTGGGTAGCTCAGTTGGTTAGAGTGCCATCCCAATACATCACGGTTGTAGGTTTGATCCCCAGTCAGGGCACATACAAGAATCAACCAATGAATGCATAAATAAGTGGAACAACAAATCGATGTTTTTCTCTCTCTCCCTTCCTCTCTCTCTAATCAAGAAAAATAAAACTTTAAAATATTAGAAATTAAAAAACACTTTACTAACAAAATCTGCCATCCATTCCAAGTAGCATTTTAGAAACAATTATTAAACATATGGCTAATTAACATTTATAAAAATACAAGAATAATTTATTCCAACCTAATCAAGTTTTGATGCTATTATTAGTTTAATAAACTCAAGAGAATTCAAAATACATATCATCTTTTCATTTTAACCAAAAAGTTGGCAAAGTCTTGTAAAAGGACAGGTATATTCTTATTAAGTGGAATTGTATTAGTTTTAATAGGCATATCCAAAAAGCACTGATTAAGGGAAAGAACATTAACAAATTTAAGAGAGTCCAAAGCAGATGACTAGAAGGGAAAGGACTTGGAAACATCACGGTTTGAAAACCTTGAGAGGTACTATCTTCAAATTCATAAACAATTTCTACATAAGTAAACCAAGGATCATAACTGTTCTTTGCTATCTCGAAGACAAAACTAAATCAATGAGAAAAAGGTACAAAGACAGATTTTTCAACATGAAATGAACCCTCATTTTAAAAAAATACGATTTCCTTTAACATAGATTTGAATTCAAGATGAAGCTGGATATTCACTTAACAAGAATGTTGCATAAAGCATTCCTACTTTGACACATAAGTGGACCAGATGATCCCCAAGGTTTCTTCTAAATCTTAAAATACAATTACATGATTTTATGATTCCTTAAAAGCCTAAAGACTAAAATTCAAAAGAAACTTTTTAGTTTCTCACCTTTTCATAGTGCTAATATCTCAAGATATTTTCTTGATATCACCACTACCTCTGCAGTTTTAAGCTAGCAACACTCTCATTACTATGCTCCCTAGAACAAAAGTATGTTTCTTGCTGACTCAGTATCACCAATAACTTGGTTTAACTTCACAATTTAAAAAAAGGGGGGGGTTGGACTTTATCCTTTGCAGAAAGGGAAAGACTCATTCCCCCTCCCTTCTTTAGAGCAATTCCAGAGATACCTTACATTTGTAAATCCTTTCTTTAACCCTTTGGTGTGCATGCCAATCTTTATAAAGGCTAAACAAGCCTCTGGCCAGCTTTTCAACCAGAAATATTTTTCTTTTTTAAAATATTTTTATTGACTTTTTTTTTAGATAGAGAGGAAGGGAGAGAAACATCAATGCAAGAGCAAAACATCAATGGGCTGCCTCCTGCATGCCCCCTACTGGGAATCAAACCAACAACCTTCTGGTGACCAGGATGACGCCCAACCAACAGCCACACCAGCTAGAGCCAGAAATGCTTTTCTTAAGGGTCTAGGAGCTGTCTCTTTGAAATGTAAACATCAAGAAAGATGGTGTCCCTATCTCCCAGTTACCAGGGCAGTTTAGCTTAGGCACCTTTCTCTGAGCTGTCACTACCTGCTCATTAGAGAGTTAAGAGTTTTATTATTTCTTTGGATAAAGCCAACTAGCTAACACAATGGCTACCTCAATTACCAGGTGAATTTGGAATGAAGTATGAAAGAATGTATAGCAAATAGTGACCTCCTCTTATAAGAAGACATGCTACTGTTGACCTTGAGAATATGCATGCAAAGGATTGTAAGTGTTTCGGGGAATCAATAGGGTACAATTTCTTTCTGTCTTTCTATCAGTCTTAGTATTTGGCCTACAATGCATATTGTAATCTCATTTAATGTTTATTCGAAATAAAACTGTTTTCTTTCTTTTCAACACTGCAAAGAGGATTCTCTGGATTGGTAGGATATTTTGAATTTTCCCAGCACTAAGTTTCAATCACTCTGTACTGCCAATGCCTCTTTCCCTCTACCACATATCCTTTCCAAAGAGAACACCCTTAACATCCTAGAATGTATGTTGAATTTCTTAAAGAAGAAATATATCAATATGTGATTTGCTAACTAACAACAGGAAAAATATGCATGTTTAAAATGCAAAATTTTTTATTTACCACTCCTACTGGAAAAAATAGATGACTTTCGCTGCAAGTTCCGAGAAGGCTTCTCTGGTTCATAGACACCATGTGTGATGAACATTTTATGTAATTCTGGATTGATTCCATCAGGAACCATTCGTGGACTTGCTTGATAAAAATGAAGGACCTGCCTGTTACCTGAAATAGCTTTATAAATACTTCTTTTGTTGGACTGACTTTGATTATAAGTCTGTAAAAAGAAATAAACATCAAATTACATTATTTCTACAACAATCAGCCATAACAAGCAATTATTATGTTAGTTTGGGTTTATTCTAAACAGTAAATTAAACTCTAATCCACTTAAATGCTCAGAGAATAGAATATCTGTTGTCTTGAATTTGAAGCCTGTTCAAATAACTCTTGATGAAAATCATATCAAAATCTATTATAAACCCTACTTTAGTAACTAAATTGCACAAAGAGAATCTTTTATTTAGTATCTTGCTCTTTCTGAGTAAGGCTAATATTTATATATAAAGTATATGTTGCTTTTTTTAAATATGATTCCTTATTTCAGCTTCTTCATCTCTCTACACTTCAGTTTTCTTTACTGTATACAAGAAAAGCATCACTCCCCTTAAATAAGATAATGCTTCTGAAGCACTTAGAACACAGCACAGAGTAGGTGCTTATTAAATGTGGGCCATTATGACTATTTACAGATAAGAAAACTAATACCAGAATAGAGAAGTTAAGTGATTTGCCTAAGGTAATACAATTAGCTAAAATCCAATTCCACTCAGTGATAATACAAAAACTGTACAAGCTGCCAAACATATCATTTATTGGGATCATTTAAGAAACTAAATTTTACACGAGAATATGCTGTAGTCATATGAAAAATATTGGGAAAAAGTTCACTATTCAGGATGATTTTTTTTAAAATCACTATAGGATTTTTATTTATCAACATTAAATTCTGAATTTTAAACAGATTCTTAGGCTGCGCTCATATCCATCGGTTCATTCAACTTTAACACTTGTCTCATCCTCAGTAGCTTTTCCAGAACTACTACCTTCACCAGAAAGCTCCATGAATTTTATGAAATCAAACTTGGGCTTTTTAAGCATTTTTACTCTTTTAATGAAGACATCATGGAGCAGATAAACAGATTGGCAAGCCTTTTCTGTCTTTTCCAGTGCTATTTGGAATCAGTTTATTGATCACTTCTTTCAAGTCATTTGTCTGCACCTCTCGGGTCATGATTTCCATCTTCTTCCAGATTTGGCCAACCTGTTAATGCTGAGCATAAGAGGTCTTCCGAATCTGATTGTTGCTTTTTATTTATTTATTTATTTATTTATTTATTTATTTATTTATTTATTTATTTTTAGTAAAATGAACACAGAAAAGACAAAGCAAATAACCATTGGTAGTCCTGACATCAACATGAGCTTCAGTCATGGTCTGCCATTTTTTGACCATGGAGCATTTTTTAACATTTTGTTACATATAAGATCCATGTCATGGAAATTAGTCAGCATTTTTTTGCCCTGAACATCCTCAGTAATTAGCTTGAATTTTCTAAATGCAGCTTCATCATTCTGCAAACCAGCTAGGCTCACTTCAAAAACATGAACCTTGAGACCATCAGATGAAATTTTGGCTCCTTGACTTCTGATGACTAGTGTATTTCCAATATTTTTTCTTTTCTTTTCTCCTCTCCTCCTCCTTTCTTTTCAATATATTTTTATTGATTTCAGAGAGAAGGGAGAGGGAGAGAGAGAAATATCAATGATGAGAGAGTCATGGATAGGCTGCCTCCTGCACACCCCCTGCTGGGATCAAGCCCACAACCTGGGCATGTGCCCTGACAGGAATCAAAGCATGATCTCCTGGATCAGAGGTCAATGCATAACCACTGAGCCACGCCAGCCAGGCTCCAATATTTCTTAAATTGAGCATAGCTGGTACTTTCATATCACACCAATCTTTCTTAGGAAATGGATCAACCACTTTCTTCTTGGCTCCCTTTTTGCTGCCTTTCGTTAAGTACTTGTTCTTTCTGACTGCTACAGTGCTGCTCGGAGAGCCAAAAGGACTCAGGATGGTTTTTAAAGGTTATATAAACATTTTAAATCAATTTTTAAAAACTAACATAATTAATGAAAAAGTCTTTAATGTGAAACTATATATCTAGCCACAGAAATAGTCCCACTGAATTACAAAAGTTAATCTTTTAGTGTAACAAACACAAAATAATATTATGTACAACATCGTATTAAGGAAGGCCTGTCACCCAGGATTGTAGCAAAGTACAAATGTAACTCAAGTCCCTTATCACTTAGAATAGGAACCTGCAAAGTTCTCCAAAAAGAGCCAGACAGTGAATATTTTAGGCTTTACAGGCCACATGCTATCTCTGGTGCATATTCTTGTTGGTTGGTTGATTGGTTTAGGGAACTCTTTAAGATATAAAACCATTCTCAACTCATTGTAGTTACTAAGATAAACATAAAAAGTAGGCCTTAGAAGGGCAGGAAATAGTAAAGCAAAGTAATACACATTGATTTTTGCATCTAGGTGTCCAAATTAATACTAAAGTACAAATGTTTCTTTATATGGATAAAATTTTTAAAACTGAATCCAATTGAAAATTCTCTTAATGAGAAAGAATAGCCAGAATCTATACAAAGGCGGGCGGGGGAGGGTGGAATCAACCAACTACTTACTTACATGTTGTTTGGACTTTGAATCTTAACAGACTGATATCTGTATTTAGGCTGTATTTCTTGAATTTCAATTACAAATCATGTTTCTAAAAATCTACTTACACGTTCTTCTCGTCCCTCCGAAAGGATAACAACAATCCTGCCTTGACGTTTACGACCAGTCCTACCCATTCGCTGTATAAGACGGATTGGGCTCTTCTGAGCATCAAAACATATTATAAGATCAACTTCTCCTATATCCAAACCTTCTTCACCAACACAAGTAGAAACCAATGTATTGTAACCACCACTACGAAACTGTTTCACTACCTAAAATAAAAATGATTTTAAAATAATTAAATGCAAACATAAAAGAGTTGTAAATCAAAGCAAACTTTTCCCACTGGCCTCAAAATGGTGAAATCAGATTAAAAATTAGCATCCAGGATACTACCAAATAAGAAAAGAAGTGACAAAATGACATTATAAGCCAGAAGAAATCATGGTAAAATGCAAAGGGCAGTCTTCATTTCTTTGCTTTAATAATGGTTACGATTCCAAAAGGGTTTGCTAACAATTTACACATGAATGGGAAACTCCAGATATTATTTTTAGTATCACTAAAAGGAGTAAATGTTCCAGAGTAATTACTGCTATTTATCATACCATAGACCTAAATTGTTGTTAAGTGTATCTAAAGTAAAAATGTTTTATTACTCCTAGAATTTGTGGATGAAAAAGGAGTGCTGTAAAAATCTAACCAAAAGTAATTTCACAGGGTGATCTTATCATAAATTCCTAACTGGGCAGGTCAAGGTAGGTAGTCTCACCCCAGGTCTATAACTTCTTTAGTAACAGGTTTAGCTTTGCCTTAAGCAAGCCCTGTCCACTGCTTTCATGCATCTAGTTTAACACACCTTTGAAATGCCTCCTGACCTCTCAAGAGAGCACATAATCTTAACTATCCTGTAATCCAATCCCCAGCCTTGCTTTCTCCCACCTTCATTTAATCTTCCTAAATTGTTCCCTTCTTAATTCCAAATGTAGAAAAGAAACTGCAAAACTGTCATTTTCCAAAGTACTTGAAATCATCCTGGCGCTGTCATCAATTGGGCTCAAATAAATAAACTCTTAAATTTTTTTCTACAGGTTTGGACTTTCTCATGCCAACAAATTCATACCTTACCTTTTATACTGTCATTCCAGTGAGAGGTAGCAGAATATGCCACCCCAAAATATGACTGTAAGAGTTGTCAAATTATTTTTTACATCTCTTGAATAGTTTTCTCTAATATAACTAGTTAAAAGATTAATAGAGAATGTCAAACAACTTTCTTTTTAGTTAACACATATAAACTTATTTATATCCCTATGATTGATATTAATTTTGGAGTTTGAAAAATAAATATGAATCAGAAGTTAATTAATCAGAGAAAGGAATAGTGATTAATTAAATAACTGCCACCAGGATTTATAATCTACTGATCCTACCCTTCACCCTACCTTAAATTCTACTCCCTTGCTCCTCTCTCACTCCATATTCCTCTGACTAAACTCCAACACTAGATATATCCCACCTCCCATAGTTTGAGCCTATACCCATGCAGTTGAATGTGGCTGGAGGAAAACATCAACCATGCTAACTGATTTCACACTAACTCAATCTCTCACCTTGAATGGGCCCCTGGTATTATCTGAAAATCATTTCATGTTTCCTTAATCCAATCACTCTCCCCATTCCCCTGAATAACTGCTTCCTACTCTCTCCTCTCATCAAACTTCCAACATTTCCTCCCCATCTTTACTCTCAGCTGATGACATGGCAAAAGCTGATCAAAGATCTTCCAACAAGGTATCACTGCTACATCTACCCACCCACCTATATCTGTGCCTGTAGAGTCTACCTTCACCCCACTGTTTTGGATAAACTACCCGTGTTCTTAACTGAGGTCCATCCCTATATTTTTGTACTAGATCCTGTCCCTTTCCCTCATCTACTCAAAGATCATTCCAGCAATGCTCTTCTCTCTGCTTTATCAATTTTTCCTTCTCAACTGATCATACCTATCAGCATACAAGCACACTGTTATATATCCCAACATAGAACAACTGAAAACCACTGCCACCTTTGTTCTCCTTTATAGCAAAAATCCTTGAGATTTGTATAGTTGTTATCTCTAGCTCTACTCAGTGCTGGCTTATCTCTACCATTCCACTAAAACCGTTCTTTTCAAGCTCATTTGCCTTCTCATCTCTTAATCCAATGGTCAATTCCCAGTTGTTATCATTTTATATGACTCTCAGCAGCATCTACACATTAATTCTCCCCCTCCTCATTTGGTCCCAGGATACCACATTCTCCTGGTGGTCTTCCTATTTCATTAGCCATTTATTCTGGTTCCCTAGGGAATCATAATCATTGCTATCGTTCATAGCAAGAAGTACCCCATGGCTCAGTCTTTGGACATCTTCTCTATCTCCATTCAGTCATCCAGTCTAATTTATATGATGATGATTCCCAAGCCTTGAACCCATGAAACAAGATGTATATATTCAATTGTTTATTCAGCATCAAGTAGCTGATATTTACACACTGCTTCTCAATAGTTCATGAACTGTATATTACTGGTTTCAGTTCACAAACTGTTTATTACTAACCATTAAGAAGTACAAAAATTACGAGTAAGGGTTTAGAAGCTTGACAAAGTACTTCTGTTTGTTAACTCTAATAATAAAAAATTTGAACATAAACTTTCTCAGTCATTTTACTTTACAAATACTTCATGTTTATTGCAATGTTCAAAATATCTGTCTGTGACACATTGGGAGGAAACTGATCCTCCATCAGTTTTGATAGTCTGAAAATCACGAATCTCGTAGTCATGCCAAAGTTAACTTGTCCAAAACCGAGCTTCTGATATTCTCTCCAAAACCTGCTTGTCCTGTAGTCTTACCTACAGTTAACAGCAGCTCTTTTTAGTTGCTCAGGCCAAAAGACCTTGGAATCAGTCCTCACACTCCTTTATCTCACACCTCACTCTAACTTATCAATAAATCCTGTCAGCTTGACCTTCAAAATATATCCAGAACCCAACCATTTCTCAAAACCTTTCCTGCTACCACCCTTGTATAAGCCACCATCATCTTTGGCTTGAATTATTGTAATAAGTCTTCCAACCTGTCTTCCTGTTTCCACTTTGTCCCTTATAGTTTACTCGTAAGACAGCAATCAGTGTGATTATTTTAAAATATAAATCACGCCATGACCCTTCTCTGCTCAACAGTCTCCAAGGGCTTCTTCCCATCTCACTGAGTAAAACCCAGTGTCAAAAAGATGGAAATTACCTAGAAGGCCCTAAAGCTTCTGGCCCTCTACTTCCTCTCTGACTTCAGAGCCTATTTCTAAATAAATAAATAATTACAACTATTTGCATAAAAGCTTATTTCAGAATAAAAGTGCCATTATGAAAACAAGTATAGGAGTAATAAAAAGGGTAGTTATTCTGGCATATGTAAAAATATTACTGACATAAGTGAACAAAGGACAAATTCAATAATATCAATAAGGTTTTTTATGGTATCTGACAAACTCAAGAAATAACAACATTGGATAATAATGAAATTGGCCAGAGACCAGGTTAGGTACTATAGGTATTGATTTTAAAATGCTTGACCCCCTAAGCAAAAATCCATTTTATTTTTCATTCACATACAAATGTTAAGATTAGTAATAATCACCCACTAGATATCTGAACCCTTTAAAGTACTTTACAATCAAACTTGAGACAGGGAAAGGAATTATATTCAGATTCAGGAAAAGTTAGCAGCCACCAGATCCAGACAGCTTAAACAGACTCTTCTGAATACACTGAGGAATCTATAAAAGCTATTTAGAGAATAGGATTCCTCACCTACTAATGTTGACAGAATCAAGAGAGGATCTATCAAAATGAATTAGACATTGCCCGGCCAGCGTGCCTCAGTGGTTGAGCATCAACCCATGAACCAGTAGATCACAGTTCAATTCCTGCCAGGGCATATGCCTGGGTTGTAGCACTGGGACAAGCAGGAGGCAGCCGACCAATGACTCTCTCATCACTGATGTTTCTATCCCTCTCTCCCTCTCTCTTCCTCCTTCTGAAATCAATAAAAACATATTAAAAAAATGAATTAGACATTAAAGACATACCTAATTGTCAGTGAGTAGACCTATAGCTAATCTGCAAAAACCTGTATATAGTTTATAAAGGCCAATAGTCTAAAATTTTCCCAAAAAGACATATCACAGTACTTAGAAGATTTACAACCTCTTATGCAGAGCATATGGTAGGATTTTTAAATAACAGAAATAAAGAGATAACTGTTTGGAATAAATAACTAAAATGACTTAAGATAAATAAGTAAAGCATTTATTGAAGGCTCTACAGTACAATTTCATTTAATGCTTACAACAACACTGAAATATGTTTACATATAAAGAAAACCGAGGCACGGGAATTAAGAAAATATAAGTGGAAGAGCCAGGTTCCATCCACAGCCTTTCTGAACGATTACACTTTAGATTACTTAAAAAAAAGTTTCAAAACCACAAACACACTTTTTTTTGCCTTTCAAAATATGTCTACTTTATTTACATTTTACTATAAAATTGTCTCTTAAGAAGTAGATAATTGACCGGTGAGTTAAAAAAGCATTAAGTGAGAAGCTAAACAATTTTATTTTTATTTTCATCAACTCCAAAAATAATTACCTCCAGTTGCTCCTTCTGGGTAAAACCCTTCATGCTTTTCCCTGAGGCATGGCCAACAAAAGTCATTGCTCTAATAACTGGCTGATGCCGTAAAAGCATTTCTGCAATTTCTTGAACACTATCTCGAAATGAAGAGAAGATCATAACTCTGGTCTTGTCACATTTCTTCTCAGATGTGTTTTGAGCTATACAACAAAAAATATTTAATTACGACTTTTTTAAAAGCACAAAGATAAGAACTAGTTCAAACGACAAGCCTGAAATTATATACAAATGATTGACAATTCTTTGAAAAAAATAAGACATCTTAAAGCTTTGCTGGTTTTCCTACTTTACCTAATAATTTTAATAACCTTGGCTCCTAATCTCTCATTAGCTGACATAAAATATAACCTTAAACAAATCAAATAAAAATAATCCGAATCACTTTTGACCAGTCCTTCATTTCATCCATGATGCCTGTTAGTCCCCTTTACCTTCTACATCAGAAGTATAGAACTACAGATTTCCCACTGATTTTGTAAATCTTCCCTTTCCTTTCTGTTCACTAAAGGCCCTGTCCTAAACCAGGCCCTGACATTCTGTCCCCAAATCTACGATGTTTTAAATTCTCCGGAACTGCAGAATATACCCTACAGTTAATCATAAAGTTCCTCTCAATATCTCTGCGCTTAGGAGATAGTAGAACACATGAAAAAGAGCACGATCGCCCAACCAGCACAGCTGAATGGTTGAGCATTGACCTAGGACCCAGGAGATCATGGTTCATTCCTGGTCAGGGCATATGCCTGGGTTGCAAGCTCAGTCCCCAGTCGGGGGCATGCAGGAGGCAGCCGGTCAATGACAACTCTCTCATCACTGATGTTTCTCTCTCTCTCCCTCTCCCTTCCTCTCTCTCTGAAATCAATAAAGATATATTTTTTTAAAAGAAAGAAAGAAAAAGAGCACGATCTTTGAAGCTGGGCCACTTCCCCTCTAGGTGATGTGTGACCACAGTACTTATTTAATCTCCTTAAGCTTTAGTTTCTTCAAATACCTACAATGGACTGAGGTGATGATTAAATAAACTAGTAAATATAAACTGTGTAGGCTTGCACATAGCAACTGGTTAATAACTGCAAGTTGTGTAGGGTTTTCTGTAGTGTTATTAGTTTTCCTTTGTTTTCCCACTTGCTTAGGACTTTGACAATCCTACTTTCTCCCACATGAGTTACATTAATCATCACCCATGCACCAGGAACTACACTAAGCATTTTATAGATTAACTCATTTAGTCTTCATAACAACCCTAAGGATTAAATGACTTAATATATATAAAGTTAATTCACAATACATATGGAAAAAGAAACACCACCTGTTACAAGAAAATTATTCTACATTTACCTCCTTTGAGTCATCAGACCCATCAAGCCTCTACATCTGACCAACCTCTGACCAATAACTACCTTCTTTTTTTAAATCAAAGATAATTTTTATTTTGAAATAACTTCAAACTACAAAAAAGTTGCAAAACTAATACAAGTAGCTTTCCCTCCTCCCAGACATTTGAGTCAAGTTGCTGACATGATGGCTCATCACCACCTAATGCTTCAGTGTGTAAATTCTACAAACAAGGATATTATTCTACATAAAGACAATAAACCATGAAAATCAGAAAATTAACTTTGATACATTATTACTATCTAATTTATAGACCTTATTTAAGTGTTGTCAATAGTCTTAACATTGTTGAGAAAAAGACACCCATCACCAAAAGCTACTTTCAATGCAACACCTAACTCCTTCAACTGGTTGCAGCCAGCCTTCCTGTTCTCATTCCACTGAAGCTCTTATACTAAAGTCATCAATAACTTTCATATTGCCAAATTCAAAGGGCACTTTTTAGTTTATCTGACCATACATCTCAGCAGTACTTAACACAGTCGACTCCTTCCTACTGAAATAGTCTCTTCCCTCAGCTTGTCTGACACTCATTTGGTTTCTTTCTCAATCTCCTTTGTGGCTTTTTTCATCTGAACTCTAAATATTGGTATTCTTCAGGACTGCATTCTGAGCCCTCACTGGGCCCTCTCTTGTCTCTAAACTGAATTCCTGGTGATGTCAACACGTCCATTCCTGAAACTTTAAATACTACCTTTATGCTGATAACTCCAAAATGTATTCACATATCTGTAAATAATAAAAATAGCCCAGACTATTCTTCTGAGATCCAGATTCACTTATCCAGTGCCTACACATCTCCATTTAGATGTCTCAGAAGCATCCAAACAAGTTTGCTTTTTCTTCTCTATGTTGTTCTTAATTTTCTTTGCTTATATAATTTAATCTTATGTCCAATCCATCAACAAATACTGTTGACTCCAACTTCAAAATATATCGAGAATCTATGGCCACTTCTGAGCACCTCCACCATTACTGCACTGGTACAATCCACCATAATCTGCTAGCATCTTAGACTATTGCAATAGCCCCTAATTGGTCAATGTCTAGTTTCAACAAAACTACCAGAGTGAACTTTTACAAATTTAAGTGAGGCCCTGGCTGGGTAGCTCAGTTAGTTAGAGTGTGGTCCTGATGCACCAAGGTTGTGGGTTCAATCCTGGGTCACAGTCTACATAAGAAGCAACCTATGAATGCGTGAATGAGTGGAACAACAAATTAATGTCCCTCTCTCCCTCTTCTTCTCTAAAATTAATCAATACATAAAAAAACTTTAAAAAATGTAAGTGAGATCATGTCATTCTATAATGGTCTCATGAAGCACACACATTCATAGAATAAAGTCTGAAGTCCTGACTTGGCATCAAGCTCTACGTCTGCCCCCGGAGCTTCTCCAAACTCCTCCTACAACCACTCATACCCTCATTACAATACTCTAGCCAAATTGGTTTGTTTATTGATTCTTCATCATACCACACACCTTACTGCTGCAGGACCTTTGAATCTGCCATTCTTTCTGCCTGGCGTAACCCTCTCCTAGAAATCTACCAGGCTTGCTCCCTCACTTTCATCAGGTTACACACAGCTCAAGCATTACCCTACAGATGGGCTTTCTCTAACACTGTATATAAAGCATGACTCTATCTCCTTACCTAGTTCAGTTTTCCTTAACATAATATATTATTTTAGTATCTCCTTCACTTATATTGCCCCAGACTGACTTTTTCACATACCTTACAATATTCTTAACATTCTCACCTATCCTCCCAAAATTTCTGAGTTTTTTTTAATATTCATTATCCAGAATAATTAAAAGCCCACCTTCTCCATAAGAAATGTTAGCAGAATTTTTACAATGACTTTGCCTTGCCTTGAGGCTATTAAAGATGACCTACCATTCCATGACTTGAAATGTTCCACTACAATTTCTTCTAATTTCTTTAATTTTGGATGACTATAGAAAAATTCTTTTTCTTCTGCAAAAATAAAAATAAAATACATCAAAATAATATTTCTGTATTTTTCCATATTCAATTACGTCAATGTATTTTAATTATCCTTTTCAAAATGGCCTTATTAAAACTTTAAACACTCAGTAGCACCTGGATAGCACACAGCCTTACAGTAAAATAAACTTTGAATTTTTTATGAAAATTTCATTCTGAGAGAGAATCCAAATAGGAATAAGCAGCAAAGTAAATGGGAAAAAATAAATGTTTAGTTAAGCTATAAATCAGTTTTTGCTAGTTCTAAAAATTTTTTCACTACCATAACAACTACTAACTTCTATTATATATATAGTGCTTGTAATATTTATCCTAAGTTATTCTGTTTAATTGTATTTTATTTATTTATTCTTCTCAATTCATCCCTTATATCATTTAACAGGTCTATTGCTACCGAAATATAAGTATAGACATGTGGATAAATGAAGCAAAATTTCAAAATTAACCTTGATGAAGAGGAAACAATATAAAATTTTAAAAGAGAAACCAGACCTTTTTCAATAGGAGAAATGCCACTTGCTGAAGTATTACGTCTATGTGCAAACATGCACTCGAGATGATTATAGAGTTTCATGAAGTCTTCATTTCGGTTAAGTTCATTTTTCATCCGAGTCATTCCTTCAGGAATTAAGAAAAGGTTTTCCTAATAAATAACTTAACAGCAAAATTAATCAAATTTATTATGTATTTTAAAAAATTATTCTTTAGCCCAGCCGGTGTGGCTCAGAGGCTGAGCATCGACCTATGATGCGGGAGACAGCAGTTCGATTCCCAGTCAGGGCACATGCCCGGACTGCAGGCTTGATCCCCAGTCGGGGGCCTGCAGGAGGCAGCCATTCAATGATTCTCTTGTCATTGATGTTTCTATCTCTCTCTCTCCCACTCCCTTCCTCTCTCTGAAATCAATAAATATATTGTTTTAAAAAATTAATCTCTAGTAATAAATACAAGTTTTTCAAATTTAAACATGAAAACCAACAACTTTTTTATAGTACCATGTTCACACACAAATTAAAGAATGGCTTGAAGGAGGGAAGATGGCGGAATTCTGACAAGAAGCAGATCGCCCACGCTTCAAGCCACAGACTAGATTTAAAGCTAAAATACTGCGTAGCCAGCTTGTAAAAACAAGAGAAAAATACCTGAGTGGACATATTTCAAGTAAGGAGCACTGAAGAAACATCATAGAGTCCAGAAAGAGGGGAGGGGCGTAGAAAGGAGGAGTCCCCCTGAAGCCAATGCTGGGCTGCAAGGCCTGAGGGTTAGAGGCTGCAAAGCCCCCTCCCCTTGGCAGTGTGGACTGTCATCCAAAAACTGGGATCTCAAACCCGGAGGGGAGACGGGAAGGAGAGCCCCATGCAGAGGTCAGAGGGACCCAGGGGAATCGTGTGCCTGCAGAGGGGACCACACCTTCCCAGTAAAACAAAACACCTAACGGCTGCAACATCGGCAGGAAAAGTGACCCCCATTGCTGACCTCAGGAAAGGCTGTCCACAGGGTGTGGCTTCCAAACAGAAAGGGGCCAGAAGACTGCACTCAGCAGCAAACTAAAGGGACCCTCTGCTTTCCCATAAGGCATTGTGTAGAACCCCAGAAAGCATTTGAACTGTGTGGTGGGGGGAAGGGGAAGAGAGCACTCCCGCCACCAGAGAGGGACTGGAGCGGCCAGCAGGGCAGACCTGGTCTCCAGCCTCCAGAGATTTTTGACCTGCTCTGAGGGGAGTCGGGATTACCAAGCAAAGAGCTGCCCCAGCTTTACTGAGATCAGCTGTGCAGGAGACCTGTGTAGGGCTGACTCTGTAACTCCTCCTGCATAGTTCCAAAGAGCCGGAGCGTGGGAACCTCAAGGGGCAGGTACTCGGGGCAGGTACTCTACCTGTTTGTTACTTTGTGTGTTTTTGATTGCTAAATTGGCATCTGACTTCCTGGCTTGCACTGGGGTGACAAACCAGCAAAAGCTGGGATTTGTGTCTGCATTGTGGAGAGATTGAACTGAGCATCCTGTGAGATCAGACAACCAGAAATGGGAAAGGAACAGCAGAGCACACCTACCTTTCCCACAGGCTGAAAACCCCAACCCCAAGAGGAAAGGGGCTGGTTCAGCTCACTGAGGGCCCAGACACTCCCCACAGGGCACAGTCCTGAGGGGGAAGGGAGAACAGTTCACAGGACAACATTACAAGAATAAGACTCCCAGAGACCACTGTTTCGGAACTGGAGGAAAAGCTTAAAACCCCTTCTGAGGACTGGGCAGGCAGCTTGCTCATGGGAATCTTTTTTCAATCAAACCCACTCAGCCCAGGCCGCTGAAACTATCCATACAGAAAAGGCAACAGACTGAATTCAATCTGAACCTGCAGCAGGCCAGTGCATGGGGAACTAGAATTGGAGGGGAGGGGAGGGACTGAAGAGTTGGCTTTGAAACAGAGACTAACTTCCCCACAGTGAGTGCCTGACAGCAAAACCTCCAAGTAAGGGGAGCAAGAGCCTGAGCTACATTAGCCAGCCTGCACCCTAAATACTCTCTTCAGAAAACTCTGGAGTAAGACCAGGTAATCACAAGGGGGAGGCAAAATAGCTGACAGGTGGAGATGGTCCACAGAGAGCCTCAGACCAGCCAACTACCTAAGGACACCAGAGCCAAACCCACACAGCTCCTGACATTGGCTGACACACAAAAACCTCCCAGGAGATCCGAAATCAGCATACAACACAGTGAGCCACAGACAACATAAGCTGCCCAGACAAAGCTCATCTGACTGACATTTTTTTTTTTTAAAGAGGGCTGCAAGAGAGACACAAGCAGTTACCTACAAGGGAGCCCCCATAAGGCTAACAGCAGATTGCTCAACAGAAACACATCAGGACATAAGGGAGTGGTATGAAGTTCTCAAAGTAATAAAAGCAATAATCTGCGACCAAGACTGCGGTATCCAGCAAGGCTATCATTTAAAACTGAAGGTGAAATAAGGAGGTTCCCAGGCAAAAGAAGGCTAAAACAGTTAAGTAGTACCAAACCAGCACTGCAACAAATGCTAAAAGGACTGCTTCAAAAAGAAGAAATATTGAAAGGTACATCGGCACAAAGGGAAAAAATGACATTAAATAAGTATATATCAATAGTAACCTTAAATGTAAATGGAATAAAGGCTCTAATCAAAAGACATAGGGTAGCTGAATGGATAAGAAAACAGGACCCATATATATGTTGTCTACAAGAGACCCACCTGAGAGCAAAAGATTCACACAGGCTGAAAGAGAAGGGATGGAAAAAATATTCCATGAAAATGGAAATGAAAAAAAAAGTTGGAGTAGCAATACTTATTTCTGGCAAAATCGACTTCAAAATAAAGACCATAACAAGAGACAAAGAAGGTCACTAAATAATACTAAAGGGATCAACCCAACAGGAGGAAATAACCCTTATAAACATACATGCACCCAATATAGGAGCACCTAAATAAATAAATAAATTATTGGTAAATTTAAGGTGGAGATTGACAGCAACATAATCATAGTGGGGAACTTTAACACCCCACTGTCATCAATGGACAGATCATCAAGACAAGAAATCAACAGGGAAACAGACACCTTAAGTGACACACTAGATCGAATGAATTTAATTGACATATAGAGAGCATTTCATCCCAAAGCAGCAGAATACACACTCTTCTCAAGTGCACATGGAACTTTCTCAAAAATAGACCACATGTCAGGACACAAAGCAAGTTTCTACAAGTTCAAGAAGATTGAAATCATATCAAGCATCTTCTCAGATCACAATGCCATGTGATCTAGAAATCAACCACTATAAAAAAACTCAAAAATATTCAAACACATAGAGGCTAAACAGGATGTTATTAAACAAAGAATGGGTTACCAATGAAATCAAGGAAGAAATCAAACATTTTCTGGAAAAAAATGAAAATGAACAGACAACAACGCAAAGTCTATGGGACACAGCTAAAGCTGTCCAGAGAGGAAAGTTCACAGCATTACAGGCATAGCTCAAGAAACAAGAAAATGCTCTACTAAACCATCTAACACAACAACTAAAAGAATTAGAAAGACAACAACAAGAAAAGCCACCAGGAAGTAGAAGGAAAAAAGGATCAGAGCAGAAATTAATGACATAGAGACTAAAAAAACAATACAAAAACAATGAAACCAAGAGCTGGTTCTGTGAAAAGAAAAATAAGATTGATGAACCTTTATCCAGACTCACCATGACACAAAGACAGAGGACCCAAATAAATCAAATCAGAAATGAAAGCGGTGATATAACAACTGACACCGCTGATATAAAGAGTCTTATAAGAAAATACTATATGCCAACAAATCGGACGACCTGGGTGAAAAAGACAAATTCCTAAAAACATACAATCTTCAAAAGCTGAATCAGGAAGAATCAGAAAACCTGAATAGGCCAATAACAACTAATGAAATTGAAGCAGTAATCAAAAAGCTCCCAACAAACAAAAGTCCTGGAGCAGATGGATTTATAGGCAAGTTTTACCAAACATTCAAAGAAGAACTAACACTTACCCTATTCAAAGTATTCCAGAAAATTCAAGAGGAAGAACTCCCGAGCTCTTTTTATGAGGCCAGCATCATCCTAATCCCAAAACCAGATAAAGACACTACAAAGAAAGAAAATTACAGGCCAATATCCCTGATGAACATAGGTGGTAAAATCCTCAACAAAATACTAGCAAAACGGATCCAGCAATACATTAAAAAGATCATACACTAGGACCAAGTGGGATTTATTCCAGGGATGCAAGGCTGGTATAATATTTGCAAATCAATAAATGTGATACATCACACAAACAAAATGAAGGACAAAAATAATATGAGCATATTAATTGATGCAGAAAAAGCATTGGACAAAATCCAACACCCTTTTTTTAAAAAAATACATTTTTATCGATTTCAGAGAGAGGAAGGGAGAGAGGGAAAGAGATAGAAACATCAATGATGACAGAGTCATCATTGATAGGCTGCCTTCTGCATGCCCCCAACTGGGGATCAAGCCCGCAACCCAGGCATGTGCCCTGACCGGGAATCAAACCGCAATCTCCTGTATCCTAGGTTGATGCTCAACGGCTAAGCCAAGCCTAGCCAGGCAAACACCCATTTTCAATAAAAACTCTCAGTTAAGTAGGAACAGAGAGAACATACCTCAACATAATAAAGGCCATATATGAAAAACCTACTGCCAACATCATATTCAATGGTCAAAAACTAAAATCACTTCCCTTAAAAATGAACAAGACAGGGTTGCCCACTTTCACCACTCTTATTCATAACAGTACTGGAAGTCCTTACCACAGCCACCAGACAGGAAGAAAACATAAAAGGTATCCAAATTGGAAAGGAGGAAGTAAAACTGCCATTATTTGCAGATGACATGATATTGGACATAGAAAACCCTAAAGACTCCATCAAAGTACTACTAGATTTGATAAATTAATTCGGCAAGGTAGCTGGAAACAAAATTAACATCCAGAAATGGATGGCATTTTTATACACCAATAATGAACTCTCAGAAAGAGAAACTAAAAAAAAAAAATACCATTTACCATTGCAACTGAAAAAATAAGATACCTAGGAATAAACTTAACCAAGGATGTAAAAGATTTGTACTCAGAAAACTACAAGACACTGAAAATAGAAATAGAGGAAGATATAAACAAGTGGAAGAATATGCCATGTTCATGGATTAGAATTAATATCATTAAAATGTCCATACTACACAAAGTCATCTATAGATTCAATGCAATTCCTATTAAAATACCAACAGCATATTTCACCGAGCTAGAACAAATATTTCAAAAATTTATATGGAACCAAAAAAGCCCCCAAATAGCCATAGCAATCATGAGAAAGAACAGAGTAGGAGGGATCATTTTACTGAATATCAATCTATACTACAAAGCCATTGTAATCAAAACAGCCTGGTATTGGTACAACAACAGGCATATAGATCAATGGAACAGAACAAAGACCCCAGAAATAGACCCACTCCATTATAGTCAGTTAATATTTGACAAAGGGGGCAAGAGCATCCAATGGAGTAAAGACAGTCTCTTCAATAAATGGAGCTGGAAAAGTGGACAGGTACATACAAAAAATGAAACTAGATCACCAACTTACTCCATACACAAGAATAAATTCAAAATGGATAAAAGACTTAAATGTAACTCGCAAAACCATAAAAATCCTGGAAGAAAACATAGGCAGTAAAGTCACAGACATCTCACATGGTGGAATTTTCACCAATACATCTCCTAGGGCAAAAGAAACAAAAGAAAATAAACAAATGGGACTACATCAAACTAAAAAGCTTCTGTACAGCAAAAGAAATCAGCCTGAAAATACAAAGGAAACCCACAGTGCAGGAGAACACATTTTCCAAGGATGTATCTGATAAGGGGCTAATTTCCAAAATGTACAAAGAACTCATACAACTCAACAAGAAGAAGACAATCTAATTAAAAAATAGGTAAAGGACTTGAATAGACACTTCTCCAAAGTGGACATACAGATGGCTAAGAGACATGAAAAATGCTCAATGTCACTAATCATCAGAGAGATACAAATTAAAACCACAATGAGATATCACTTCACACCTGTAAGAATGGCTGCCATCAACAAACCAACTAAAGATACATGCAGGCGAGGATGTGGAGAAAGGGGAACCCTGGTACACTGCTGGTGGGAATCCAGACTACTAAAGCCACTGTGGAAAACATTATGGAGGTTACTCAAAAAATTAAAAATGGAGCTCCCTTTTGACCCAGTGATCCCAACTTCTAGGAATATATCCAGAACACTAACCAGAAAAGATACATGCCACCCCTATGTTCATAGCAGTGCAGTTTACAATAGCTAAGATCTGGAAACAACATAAGTGCCCATCAGTAGATGAGTGTATAAAAAAGCTGTGGGACATTTACACCATGGAATACTATGCAGCTGCAAAGAAAGATCTCGTACCCTTCAGGACAGTATGGATGGACCTGGATAATATTATGCTAATCGAAATAATCCGGGCAGAGAAAGACAAATATCACATGATCTCACTTATATGTGGAATCTAAAGAACATAATAAACTGATGAACAAAATAGATTCAGTGACATGGAAGTATATAACAGACTGACGAATCGCAGAGGGAAGGTGGGGGTGGGTGGTGGGAAGAGATTAATCAAAAACTCTATATGCATATATGCATAACCCATGGACACAGACAATAATGTGTTGAAGGTCTGGGGAGGGGAGTAGAGGGGGAGGGAGCAGTCAATAGGGAAAAAAGGGGACATTTGTAAATTTTGAACAATAAAAAAATAAATAAAAATAAAATGGCTTGCTTTTTTTCAGCAATTTATCAAAAACAAAGAAATATGGCCATTTATTACAAAACCATTTCATTGCTTCTTAGAGTATTTTTAAAAAACACAAATTGTTCAACTTTAGCCAAAACTGTACGTGTCATTATTTCTTTAATTTACCTTTAGTTCCATCCATAATTCCACAAAGGAAGAAATATAATGATCTCATTCCCATTTGCTGCAATAATTCATAACCATGATATAAACTAATACAAAGAGCAAACTCTCCTTCGATTATACCTTGTTGTATTCCCTAGAAAATAAGCATATATCAAATTTAACCAGAGGAAAATAAATGAAGATACCTGCTCCGTGTAGAACTTACTGATTCCACTAAATGTCATAGAATGTTGCTATGGAAAGGTGCTAATGCATTTTCCATATAACTTGTCCCTTCACATTTTTTAATTCAAAGGGGGCAACTACTTATCATATACTGTTTCTCTTTATAGGTGAATTATTATCAGTATATAGTTTAATTCGTTTTTCAAAACTATTTAATAAGCATCTATTACTTGTCAAGCATTAAGCTAAACATTTGGGATACACTGAAAAGTAAGTAAGATATAGGCCTATCCTCAAAAATGTTATGGCATCAGGATAAATAATCAGACTGTTTAACACCAATATTGAACATCAAGTATACATGCCATAATAACATCTGACACCAAGGAGACACTGTTATAAGCACATTACTTGTACAAATTCATTTAATCTTAACACCTAGGAAGTAAGTACTATTGTCATGCCCACTTCACAGAGGAACAAGCTTATACAGGTGGTAAGCAAAAGATCCAGTACTTGAACACAGGGAATTTGGCCCAGTGTTCTTATGCTCTTAACCACTATTCTCAAGGAAAAGTGAAGTAGACGTTCCATATGGGAGCATACAACAGGTCTATCTATATAACAAGATAGTTTTTAAAGAAGACCATTGAGAATATATTTTAATTATTTTCCTTTACTAGAGATAAAGACTATTATTCTCTAGCTTACACTTTTAGTAGCATTTAACATCACTGATAGTTAAATGTTTCCAGGATAGTGATAAATGTCCTAAAATGGCAGTCTAGCCCTGGCCAGTAGCTCAGTTGGTTAGAGCATTGTCCCAATACGCTAAGGTTGCGGGTTCAATCCGGGTCAGAGCACATACAAGAATCAGTCAATGAATGCATAAATAAGTGGAACAACAAATCAATGTTTCTCTTTCTCTAATAAATAAATAAATAAATAAATAAATAAATAAATAAATAAAATTTTAAATGGCAGCCTAATTACCTGAAAGGGTAAAATCACATTATCTGTAAAATATAAACTGTCCTCAGTAAGATCAGATTCAACAGTTTTAGATTTACTATTTAAAATTTCAATGAATCTTTAACCCCTAGCAGAAATTTTAAAACATTTTATTAAAGTTTAGTATATTATACTGCAATTTCACAGAAAAAGCTCCCTTCGTGGTTCCCTAGACACTAAAGTCCGTATTTCTGATGTAGCATTTAAAGCTACTCCCATGTGATCACCCTAGATTATCATTTCTGACTTCCTGGATCCTTTACCTCGGCCAAATTGGCTTGTTCACTGTCTCCTACATACCTTCATTCATTTGCTTCTGTTCTTTTGCACGAGTTCCTTCTCAGTTCCAAGAGACTCAGTTCCAAGAGACTCAGACAAGCCTTTTTGTGCTTGTGAGCATCTCTTCATTTTGGATCTATCTTGATGGTTATGTTCCTACCCGTCTATTTTTTTCTTTGAAGATTAGAAATAAGAATCTTAATATGACATTTCCTCCAACCTCAGTATCAAGAGTTGAGACAAAATGCTATGGGTCTAAAAGTTAGGATAGTCAAACTATTCCAAAATGCTATGGGTCTAAAAGGTAGTTAGGATTTTCCTTCCAGCATAGCCCTTTGACTCTGCCAAACAGAACTGAACTAAAAGACCAATGCTTAATTAAAAGTTTTAAGATAAATATATCTTAACTGAAATCATTAAATCGTATTTCTGTTCAATTTTTTCATGCTTTTATAAACTATATAAATCATATCTGAATTCTTGATTAGCCAATTATATATATATATATATATATATATATACCGAAAAACAATCATTATATTCATTTCATCCTCGCTTTGAGTAAAAACATAATCTATCATCAAAATTTATTTTAAAATACCTACCACGATATTTGTAGGTGGGTTTTTCCTAAATTGATCTCTTGCCAGAATTATCTGGTATTTTGTTAGATTGGGGATATCCCTTCTCATCAAAAGATTCCTCTGAATCAAAGAACTGGCAAATACTTCCAAAATCTGCAAATTTCAAAGAAATTTAGTTTAAGCTTCACTTAAAGTCCTTTTTCAAATATAATCATTTCATCACATACTAAAATAAGAGTTAAATATTAAACTATATGTTAAAGTTTGTCCTAAAGTAAAATTTTAAATACAAAAAGATAATGATAAAATTTTAAAGTACTAGGCATTTATCTCCATGTAACATCCATATGAAAGTCAGCACAACATTTTATTAGATCCAACCGAAAGACATATGCCTTTATCTGTTCCTTTCTTAACTCTCTCCCCTTCCCCAGTTTAAACACAATGAAAGGATGGCCTTGATTTCTTCAGTTGCATCTTCAGTACCTAGAACAAGGTCTGACACATAGGTAAATATTTGTAGACTAGTGACTAAATCAAAATGCTTTGAGTAAGTACATTTAATTTCATTTGTTGATTCATTCTTTTAAGAAATATTTACTAAGAATCTATTTTTTTAATAGGTTTTTACTGATTTCAGAGAGAGGAAACGAGAGGGAGAGATAGAAACATCAATGATGAGAGAGAGTCATTGATTGGCTGGCTCCTGCACGCCCCCTATTGGGGATCGAACCTAAAACCTGGGCATGTGCCTCGACCAGAATTGAACCATGATCTCTTGGTTCATGGGTAGATGCTCAACCACTGAGCTACGCCAGCTGGGTATTATATATCAAACATTGTTCTAAATGCTGGGGATATTGTGGCTGAGACAAATGAAATCCCAGCTTTCATAAAGTTTATATCCAATGGAGGCAAGTAAAGAATAAAAAAGTAAACAAAGAAAGTAGAGAATTTCAATTATGGTAGGTGCATTTAAGAACCTAAAACACAATAATGTTATGGAGTCTTTGAGAGGAAAGGAGACACTATTAAGTAAGATGGACAAAGTCTCTTTGAAAAGGAAATACGTGGCATCTAAATGATGAAGTGTGTCTAGCATAAGAGGTTCTGAGGAGCATTCCAGGGAGAGGAAAACAGCAGAACAAAAAGGTTCTGATGGGCCCGGATGGTGTGGCTCAGTGGTTGAGCATTGACCCATGAGCCTGGAGGTCACAGTTAGATTCCCAGTCAGGGCACATGCCCGGGTTACAGGCTCAATACCCAATAGGGGGCGTACAGGAGGCAGCCGATCAATGATTCTCTCTCATCATTGATGTTTCTGTCTCTTTCTCTCCCTTCCTCTCTCTGAAATCAATAAAAACATATTTTTTTTAAAAAGTATAAAGAAAAGTTCCTGATAAAGGAATAAGCTTAATGCCACAGTAAAGGAAAAAAGGAGACCTCCAGATGAAGAAATACTATAGCCATATGCAATAAATTATTCAAATTTTTGCCTAATTTTTATTTCCTAAAATAGGAAATATTTTAGTACATTTGTATATTTCCTCCGTTACCGCTGTGCTGATCACACTGCCTAAAGAAGCAGTCTTAAAAATTTCGACAAATGGGTCACCAGGGAGAAAAAGGGACATTTGTAATATTTTAAACAAAAAATAAAATTAAAAAAAAAAAACCAATATCGACAAAATTAAATTCTTATTATATGTGATTATACACATTATAATTTTTACGTTCTTGTAAGTAGAATAATTTTAATCATAAGCAAATGTATTAGTAGCTAGGAGATAATTATTGGAAAGACTTTGCCTTATCTTAAATTTATTATGCTTAGAATTTTGTTCCAAATAATTTAAAAACAAAAAATAAACTACATTCCTATATAACTTCACTTTAAGAAAGACTTACTAAAGGTTAAATGATAGATGAATGGTTTAGTTATACATTCCTGTGCAATAAATTTCTTAAAAACATCATAAGTTAAAACAACAATCACTTATTTGTTCATGATTCTGATTCTGTGGGTAAGAATCCAGCAAGTCATTCACACAGCCTATGAGCTACGACACTACACTAACAATGAGAACATCCAGTGCCCAGCTCTTGGTTTCTAAATACCATTCTTCCATAAAAGGAACAAAGGATTCCTTGTAGAAATGGTTGATTCCATGGCTGGGATAAGAAAAATACCAAATGAGCATAAAACGTTTAGAAAGTGCTCCCCTACCCCACCCCAAAATAAGTGCATCTTCAAGGGTACAGGAACCATTTTAAAGGAGCTCCCAATAGCCAAAGCTGATACAATCTGAGCAACAAAATTAATAATGATAGTACTGGATTTAACCACAGAATAAAATAAATACCCATTAGTCCATACTGATATAAAGAATTGAATTAATTAATAAATTTGGGAGAAGAAACAACTCTTCATTATAGAAGATTTCAAATTAACAAATGTAAAAAAAATGAGGGAAAGAGGAAGCACTGATTAGGCAAACACTACAGAAATAACAGGTGTACACAAGAACCATTATTATATGCTAAAATTAGTGGGCAAAATATGTTGAGAAACAAAATATTTGCATATTCTTTTAAAAAAAAAAAAAAAGAATGGAAGAAAGAGAGAGAGAGAAATATGTTTGCATTCATTGGTTGATTCTTGTATGTGCCCTGACCGCAAGCTTGGTGCATCAGGACAATGCTCTAACCAACTGAGCCACCTGGCCAGGGCAATATCTGCATATTCTTAAAGAATCTCCCCCTGGAACTCTCCATGCTATTTTTGCAAATTTCCTGAAAGTATAAAATTATTGCAAATGTTAAAAATTTTTTAAATCCTCTCAGGTCACTGCAACCAGAGTTTGACTCTGCTCCTGATGTTTGGAGCCTCAGATGGCTGGGGACTAGCTGAAATAGCTCAACTGGGGCTATATGTATGCACCTTAAAGTCTAGCTACTTATTTACTGGTTCCTCCTTTCTCCTTAAAATTGGCTAGCTTGAGGTTCATCACATGCTGCTGATCAAAGTCAATCACAGGGACAGCTTAGATTCTAAGAAAGGGGAAATGTATCCTGCCTCTCAATGGAAAGAGTGGCAAAGAAGCCACTTTAATCTATGGCAGTGAGGATATAATAACAAGGTGTTGCCCGGCCAGCATGGTTCAGTTGGTTGAGCGTTGTCCCATGCACCAGGAGGTCGCCGGTTGGATTCCCAGCCAGGGACGTGCAGGAGGCAGCCAATCGATATTGCTCATTGATGTTTCTGTCTCTCTTCCTCTCCCTTCCTCTCTCTGAAATCAAATTAAAAAAAACAAAAAACATATTTAAAGGTATTCTCCTAGGATGATGTTAATTATAATCTATGAGAAAAACAATGTGTTTCCGCAAATTTCTCCCACTGAAAGCGATAACTGTGTAAGAAGTTTCTCAATAGCTACAATACTGACATTTGGGCCAGATAATTCTTTGTTGGGGGGACTCTCCTGTTCATTGCAGAATGTTAAGCAACATTCCTGGCCTCTATATACTAGATGTCAGTAGCCAATCCACTCCCCATCCCCTCCAGATATGACAACGAAAATTGGGTCAAGACATTGTCAAGTGTTGCCAGATGGGCAAAATTGCCTCCAGTTGAGAACTATTGCTATATAAAGGATCAGGGAGGAAAATACTAAAAATATATTTCCCTTACAAAGAAACTTCTGGGTGAATCTGGATATGTGTTATGGTATGTTCACTATATGAAAATTCACTGAGCTGCACACTTAGGTTTTGTGCACTCGGCTGTGTGTATGAGTGTGTATGAGCATGGGAGAGTTATACTGCAATTAAAAGGTTTATTAGCCTGGCCAGCATGGTTCAGTGGTTGAGCATCAACCCATGAACCTGAAGGTTGCGGTTTGATTCCCGTTCAGGGCACATGTCCAGGTTGCAGGCTCAAACCCCAGTAGGGGTCGTGCAGGAGGCAGCTGATCAATGATTAGCTCTCATCATTGATGTTTCTATCTCTCTCCCTCTCCCTTCCTCTCTCTGAAATCAATAAAAAAATAAATATTAAAAAAAAACATTGCCCAGCCGGGCATGGCTCAGCAGTTGAGTGTTGACCTAGGATCCAGGCAATCGGGGTTCGATTCCCGGTCAGGGCACACGCCCGGTTGCGGGCTTGATCAATGACTCTCTCACCATTGATGTTTCTGTCTCTCTCTCTCCCTCTCCATTCCTCTCTCTGAAATCAATAAAGATATATTAAAAAAAAAAAAAAAACACATTAAAAAAAAAAGTTTTACTAAAAAATACAAAACCATATAAGGCTATTATTGGCTTTAGAAATGGTCCATTAATTTGTATTCTTCTTTAACAGCTTGTCAGTATATATAAAGAATAGTGCTCTTTCCAAAATTTTTAATTTTAAAGAATTTTTCAACATATTAATTATAAAGTGATAACTATATATTCTCACAGCCAAATTCTGTTAACAAAAATAATTACATTATCAGTTCATCTACTGAAACCCTGAACTGTGATAAAAATGGCTTATCTGCTCTGGTCAGTGTGGCTCAGTTGGTTGAGCATCCCCATGCACCCAGAGGTCACCAGTTAAAGTCCAGGTCAGCGCACATGCCAGTGTTAGGGGCTTGAGCTCCAGTAGGGTGTGCAGGAGGCAGATGATCAGTGTTTCTCTCTCTCTCTCTCTCTCTCTCTCCATGCCTCTCCCTCTAAAATCATACTTTTTTTTTTAAATGGCTTACCTGTACATATGCCTTTTGGATGGCTCCAAGTTCTTCACCAAGGGGAACAACAAGCTTTTCAACTCGTCTTTCATGAGAGTATGGTAAAATATCTGGAGAATCTTCAGAACGAAGTTCTATCTGCCCAATTAGTAGGTTAGTAATAACCTGTTGCACAGCCTACACAAAACCAATTAAGTATGATTATAAATTATATTACATATTAAATATTTAACTTTGTCACTAACAGAAATAAAATAGCAGTAAAATTTTGAAAGAAACATTAGAAATTCATATCATTAAATATTTTTTTAAAAAACTATAAAACAAAACAGAAATGACACAATACGGGAATAAGGCTTTTGAAACATCTTTCTTCCACACAGCCCTTCAAGCCAAGCATCTAAGAAATAAGACTATTAGTAAATGTCCAACAAGTTACTCAAATGTATTTTGGGTTTTTGTTATTGTTGTTTTTTGTATGTTTTTATTGATTTTAGAGAGAGGAAGGGAGAGGGAAAGAGAGAGAGAAACATCAATGATGAGGAAGTCATTGATCAGCTGCCTCCTGAACACCCCTCCTGGGGATCAAGCCTTCAACCTGGGCATGTGCCCTGACCGGAATAGAACTGTGACCTCCTGGTTCATGGGTTGCCGCTAAACCACTGAGCCACGCCAGGGGAGCAAATCAAATGCATCTTGCACTTTCCAAAGGCAGTGACACAGTCCATCAACATTATCTAAAGATTCAGACAACAGAAGTTTTACCTGAGCAAACTAAATCCCCCCAAAATTATAACAGTCCATTTTGGAACCAAAACTAGAATCCAGATTTCCTGATTCCTGGCAAATACTTTCCACTGGTTTTTGTGGGGAAAATGGAGAAGTCCTGTTACTATTAAAGGATAAAAATGTATCTTAGGAATACCTTACAAACTGAGCTGTTAAGAAATTAAGGGTATCTACCTATACTAAATCAATTATTGATAAATTAGTGGAATATTTTTCATTTAAATCAATATATATGATGTGAATATATTTCTGGGGATAAATTGCATTCACCCAAAGCTCATAAAGGAACTTAATTGTAAAATTAGGGAACTGGAGCAAAAACATAAAACCTGTTGGTATAAACAACTACTATACCATTAAACTTATAGTACTGACAATGTGACTGAGTTAAAGGGGAGGGGAGGTAGAGGATGGGAGAAAGATGGAGGGCAGGGCAGGGAGATACATAAAGAGAAAAAGGAAGGGGGAGAGAGAGAGACAGAGACAGAGAGAAATATCTCTGTGAGAGAGAAACATCGATCAGCTGCATCCTGTAAGTGCCCGGACAAAGGACTGAACCCAAAAACATGGGTATGTGCCCTAACCTGGAATCGAACCCACCACCTCCAACCAACTGAGCGACACCAGCCAGGGTTAGAGTTTTGTTTTGTTTTTTAAACTAGAAAAGCTTAATGGGCTTAGTTTCAGACAAAAAAAATTCTCAAGGACAAGAATCACATCTTAATCACTTTTATATTCCCAATACCTGGGCCTAATAAAGTAGTTTACTACAGTTACAGAGGGTCCACATATATTCAAAATCTAGAGTAAATTTATGACCATTTTATAAAAATGAGTAAGACTTTAATATTTTTAAACATTCATTCACTCCATAAATATTTGAGTAACTCCCACATGCCAGGTATTGAGTTGATAATAGAACTATAATCAAGATAGACATAATCCTGATATTCATGTAGCTACTATTTTAGTGGAGCAAAAAAGCAACAAATAAGTGAATAAGCAAAAGAATGACAGATTATGATAAATACTAGGAAAAATCCACAAGATAGGGGAGCTAACTTTTGAAAGCTTAAAGTGGATCTTTCCGAAGGGATGACAATTAAGCAGAGATTTAAAAGCTCACGTCTCTACTAAAAATAAGCACATTTAAACAAGGTTAGGGGGAGGATCAGAGACAGAAGAGAAATTTCAAAAACTCATCAATCAGAAAAAAAAGTTTTACAGATTGGCAGAGCTTAAAATATCTTACAAAGTTTCCAAAAGCCAATATAGAAGACCACTCAGAGTTACTAAAATCAGAATGTCATGGATAGCACTCAAACTCTGCATTTTTACCAATATCCTCTAAAAGAAGCCAGTGCTTCCTTGGAAAATGGTTGTTTTCATGGCTGAGACAGGAAAAATACTAGATGAACATAAAATATCTTGATGCCAGAAAGTTAAGAAGTTATTTATTTATTTTCTAAGTGCTTTCTAATGGACATAGGAGCCACCTCAAGGCATTCCTAATGGTCAAAACTGGGCCAATCTGAGCAGCAAAATTAATGATAGTATTGAATTATAGCCCATAAAAAAATCCATTAGTCTATATTGATTTAAAGAATAAATTAATAATTAAAAGGGAGAAAAGACAGCTTTTCATCAGAGAAGAATAAGAATACAAATTAACAAATGTAGAAAAATGAAGGAGAGAGAAAACAATGATTAGGCAAACACCACTGAAATAATTGTTGCAGGCAAGAACCATCATTGGATGCTAAAACTGAATATTTACATAGTCTCAAAATATCTCCCCCACAACAGACTTATTAGTTACAAAGGGAAAAACAGTACAGTCCACCCTCTGGGAATCCGTATCTTTGAATTCTGCATCCATGGATCAAAAATATTAAAAAAGAAATGTTACGTTGTTGCTAAAATGTACTATGTAGTTAGGCCTAAAATGACTGCATCTGTACTGAACATGTACAGACTTTTTCTTCTTGTCAGTATTCCCTAAACTACACATGTATAACAACTATTTACATAGCATTTGCACTGTGTTAGGTATTATAAGTAACCCAGAGATGACATAAAGTATACAGGAGAATGTGAATAGGTTATATGCAAGTACTATATTTTATGTAAAGGACTTGAGCATCTATGGATTTTGGTATCCACAGGTCCTAGAACCAGCCACCTGAGGATAACAAGGGACGACTGTAATTCTGCAATGGAGAAATTGGCAAGTCTTCCTCTTAACCAAATCAGGATTAACAGCACCAGCAATAAGACAAATCAACAATCATGTATTCTCTGATAAAATATCCCTTCTAGGGTATCCTTGCCAAAAATGCATAACCTCACTCCAATCATGAGAAAATATCAACCAAATCTAAACTGAGGGATATTCTACAAAATAACTAGTACCCACTCTTCAAAAGCATCATGGAAAACAAGAAAAGACAAAAAAAGTCTGAGGAACTGTCACAGATGAAAGAGCCAAAGGAAACAATGACAACTAAATGCAATAGGGGGTCCTGAATTGGACCCTGGAACCAAAAAGAACACTGGCTGGAAAAGTTGCAAAATTCAAATAAGGTCTGCAGATTAGTTACTAGTATTGCCCCAATGTTAATTTCCAGGTTTTGATCATTTTACCATGGTTACGTAATATGTTAACATTAGAGGAAGCTGAGTAAAGGATACAGAGACTTCACATTTTGTAGATATTCTGCAAGTCTAAAGTTATTTCAAAATAAAACTTTCTTAAAACTTGAAAATAGTAACAATTTAACAAATGGCTTTAGGTGATTCTTATGCACACTGAAGTCTAAAAACTACTAATGTAGAAAACTCCTGCAAACACAGAAGAAAAGGCAGGCACATTATAGAAAATGTTATAGTCCTAATGTTAAACTAAGTACTAGAATGGAAAACTGATCTGACCACATACAAAACTTATTTCCATAAATGTTAATAAATGAAAAGACATTTTACTTACCTTTATATCACTACCTGGTGTGGCACTAAGAGCCAAGATTCTAAAATGATTTGTATATTTGATTAGCTCTCTCACAACCTTAAAAAAAAAAAAAAATTTAATTTCATCCATCCAGTATAAAAATAACAATGATTCTGTTAAATAAGTTATTATATATGGTACATTATAATTATCTCTTTTATTTATTTTTATTTTTTAAAATATATCTTTATCGATTTCAGAGAGAGGAAGGGAGAGGGAGAGAGAGGTAGAAACATCAATGATGAGAGAGCCATTGATCGGCTGCCTTCTGCACGCTCCCCACTGGGGATCAAGCCCGAAACCCAGGCATATGCCCTGACCGGGAATCGAACTGTGGTTTCCTGGATCATAGGTCAATGCTCAACAGCTGAGCCAAGCCGGCCAGGCACCATTATTTCTTTATTCAGAGTATTAATGGATGGAACTATCATTATCCAAAGAGCAAATGATTTAGGTTTATGCTCTACACCAATCAAAAACTTTAGGGTTTCTTCTATATATAAAGCTACCACATCAAGGCCTAATACAGTGGCAAATGCAAGAAGACAGTCCAGTTTCCATTGCTTGGGCCACAATCTATATCCATATGCACATTTACTAAATTAAGGTAAAACATAACATAAAAATAGAAAAAAATTAAATACCAATATAAAGTTAGTTTTCAAATGGGGGGGAAAAAAACTGTTTTAGGATTTTAAAGAAGTTAGATTATATATGGAAGGTTCATAATTTTTAAATAAAATTAATTCATCAAAGCATAAGGTACCCTGGCCAGGTGGCTCAGCTGGTTGGAGCGTAGTCCTGTACACCAAAAGGTTTCGGGTTTGATTCCCAGTCAGGGTACATACCTAGGTTGCGGGTTTGATCCCCAGTTGGGGCCCATACAGGAGGCAGCTGATCAATGTTTCTCAGGTCAATGTTTCTCTTTCTCTCTCTAAAAATCAATAAAACATATTCTCGGGTAAGGATTAATTTAAAAAAAAAAAAAGAATACGAGTAATTTTAAAAATCAAACTTTCCTTTTTAAATCCTAAAACATTTTCTCAGTGGCATCAAAGCATCGTTCTAAGCTCTGCAGTTTAAATTCAACACCATTTCTGGTATGATTAATACTGAATAATTTGCCAGATTCCCATTCCTTCACATGAGTCCTCAATAAAGGAAAAAAGGACTCCTAAGTAAACTGAGTTGCAAAAATAGCTCTTAGTATCCCACAGTCCCACATTAGCTATGGAAACAGTAAAATCAGATTATCTAAAAACTGCTCTAATTTCAACCCATGTCAGAGGTGAATTCAATGAGACTCACACTGAATCTTGATTAATACTCAAAAAACATTAATTCTGGAGTTTTTTTTAACACGATACAGAATGCATATAAAGATACAACATTATACTTAATGAAGACTTAAAAAGAACTGTTCTCATTAAAAACTAATGTAAGACAAAATGTCCCTAAGACATGACTTTTTTCCAGGAGGGATTCTCAAGCATTTTGTAGAAGAGGAGATGGTGTTGTCTGTAACCCTGGACTTTCTAGAAGCTAAGTTCTTCATTGAGATGATGTGCTTGTTGGAATCTATATCTGAAATATTCAACATAGCATAAACTCTCAGGGCTGTTGGGTATTAATGAAGTAAATGTATGTCTCATTTTACTCAAAAAAGCATATGCCTTATAGTTTAAAAAGAAATCACCTAATGCCTAGAAATTTCTTTTTTAATAAATGAGTTAAAGTTGCTAAATATAAGTTAAATCTACAAAATTAATTCCCTAGTTAGAATAAAAATTTGTAAATGCCCCTTTCAAGCAGAAATCTTAACATATTTCAGTATTAATTTAACATAGAAAAATATATCCATTTCCTGGCTAAGATCAACTATAAGAAAGATGACAATTCTCCAGAGGATAATACAGAGATATAATAACACTTAAAAAATCCCCAAAGAGCCCTGGCCAGTGTGGCTCCAGGATTAGAGTGTCGGCCATTGGACCAGAGAGTTGCAGGTTCAATTCCTGGTCAAGGGCATGTACCTGGGTTTCAGGTTCAATCCCTGGCCCTGGTTGGGCGGGAGGCAACCAACCATCGTGTCTCTCTCACATGGATGTTTCTCTCTCTCCTCCCCCCTCCCTTCCTTCCACTCTCTCTAAAATCAATGGAAAAAATATCCTTGGGCTCTGGCCAATGCAGCTCAGTTGCTTGAACATCACCCCTTGCACCAAAACGTCACTGGTTGGACTCCTGGTCAGGAACACATACCCAGGTTATGGTTCAATCCCTGGTGGAGGTGTGTACAGGAGGCAACCAATCAATGTTTCCCTTACACATCCATGTTTCTCTCTCTTCCTCTCTCTTCTTCGCTCTCTGAAAACAATAAAAACATTTTTAAAAAACTTCCTTGGGTGAGGATTTACCAAAAAAAAAAAACAAGTTCCCAAAGAAACTACTTCAGCCCAGCTGGATGGCTCAGCATTGAGCATTGATCTATGGCCCCAGGAGATCACTGATGGATTCTGGTCAGGATACATGCCCGAGTTGTGGCTCAGTCCCTAGTAGGGGACATGCAGGAGGCAGCCAATCAATGACTCTCATCATTGATGTTTCTATCTCTCTCTCCCTCTCACTTCCGCTCTCTGAAATCAAGAAAGACATATTAAAAAAAACAAACAACTTTACAAATTCACAAACTGACATTAAAATTCATCTCTGTGCACTAAATGAAATCAACATTCCCTTCTATCCTTATGTGATACTCTCTCCTAAGTATCACCAGCTATTAGTTTTAACTACCTACCACCTATATGCTGATGATTTCCAAATCTGTTATCTCCAGCTCAGAACTCTCCAGTGAGTTTACTTCTATCACCTACTACATATCTACAACTAGCTAATTCATAAACACCTGAAACTCAACAATCTAAAACTGCACTATTGCCCAGCAGGGCATGGCTCAGCGGCTGAGCATTGACCTAGGATCCAGGAGATCGTGGTTCGATTCCCAATCAGAGCACATGCTCCAGTTGCAGGCTCAATCCCCAGTCCGGGATGTGCAGGAGGCAGCCGATCAATGATGAACTCTCTCATCATTGATGTTTCTCTCCCTCTCCCTTCCTCTCTCCAAAATCAATAAAGATATATTTTAAAAAAATAAAACTGTACTATCTCTTCTATTTTTCCATAATACCCCAAATCTTCTCTGCTACCCGAACTCTTCATCTTGACTAGTAACACCAATATCCTCCCAATCTTCTAAGTCAGATACCTGGGAGTCACCCTAAATTCCTCCTATCTCTCATTTCATACCCTGCCTTTAGCCTTCTCTCCTCTAATCTCTTTTAAATCTTAAGTATCTTCCAGCTAAACATTTTTCAGTGAGTGTCAACTACCTGCATCCTCTATGGCCTACAGAGGATTCAGCCAGTTCAGCATGGCTCAGTGGATGAGCACTGACCCATGACCCAGGAGGTCATTGTTTGATTCTGGGTCAGGGCATATGCCCGGGTTGTGGGCTCAATCCCCAGTAGTGGGTGTGCAGGGGGCAGCCGATCAATGACTCTCATCACTGATATTTCTATCTTTCTCTCCCTCTCCCTTCCTCTATCTGAAATCAATAAAAACATTTTTAAAAAATTAAAAATCAAAGAGGATTCAAATTGCTAAGCATAAAATACAACTGCCTTCATGACCTGGCCCTTATGTACCCCACCAGCTATAGACCACCTCTTCACCTTTGTACTTTATATTCCTATAGTATTTGACTGGAAGGCACTGTGTTAGGTATATCATTTAATCCTTAAAACAACCTTAACAGTTAAGTATTATTTTACCTACCTGCCAAGGAATGACACTGCATATTGACTACCAATTTTTGGATTATCTTAGTTCATCCATACCCTACTATGAATTATTGCCTCAATGATGACTACGCTTTCATCATCTATAACAGAAACTAATGGCCTTGTTAAGCATTAAAAAAAAAAAAGACAGCAGAGGCACTGATTTGAATGAAGAGAAATATTTCCTATCATTGTCTGTTCTGAGATAATAGATAATATGGCTTTTCATAATAACTTCACCATTAATAACTTCCATCAATAGTTATTCCCCAAAATGCTCTTTAACAGTGTTTACACTAAAAAACACTTAGCTTTTTCTGCTATCTTGGACCTTGTGGAGGCCTGCTGGGAACAGGACTTCTATAACAAGTATGTCTGCAAGGCTGCAGGCCAAAGCCATTTTTGCAGCCTATAAGGGGAGTCTCAGAAACGAGAGGAAGCACACAGCTCTTCTTGAAACTGAAGGTGTTTATGCTCCAGATGAAACAGAATTGTCTTGGCAGGGGATGTGCTTATGTGTACAAAGCAAAGAACAACACCGTGACTCCTGGTGGCAAACTGAACAAAACCAGAGTAATCTGGGGAAAGGTAACCTGTGCTCATGGAAACAGTGGCATGGTTGGTGCTAAATTCTGAAGCAACCTTCCTGCTAAGGTCATTGGACACAGAATCCGTGTAATGCTGTTCCCCTCAAGGATTTAAACTTATTGGAAAGTAAATAAATAAAACAGATTTATAAAAAAATAATACTTTTAAACAAAATATTACCTGGCAATAAGCATAGTTCCCAAGAGCTTTATGAGCTTCATCAATAACTAGACACTTTATTTCAGCAGCAGGACAAGCTCCTCTGGAAAGATCATTTACCATGACTTGAGGTGTGAGAAAAATGACTCTCTTACTGCGCCACATTTCCTTCCTGGTGAATGCTTGAGTAGATCCTGTAAGTAAAAGTGACATTGGGAAACCGATGGGGTACATATACACAATTAATTGCTTCAAAATGCTCTGACAAGCTATGGGGATTCTCTGAAGACTGAATAAAGCAATCATATTCATTAGGGCTGGACTTGCTACAAGTATAGGCATACCTCAGAAACATTGCGGGTTCAGTGCCAGACTACGGCAATAAAGCAAGTGTTAATCTTTTAGCTGGTGGAAGCTCATGCCTTCAATTTGTAAAAACTGCAACATCTGTGAAGCACAAAACTAAGCGCAATGAAAGGACGTATGCCTGTAGACGATGTTTCAAGGTAGAGGATGTAAAATAAACGTATAATCCGGAACTATTCCACATGTGTCGAAAATTCCTTTAGCTCAATTTGCCCCAAAACATGTACTTTGTCCTATCTTAATTTCAAATTAGCCCATTCTTTCTAAAATACCTGTCATTTCGGCCATGTGGAGCTGCGGGATACCCATCACTCGGTAGCAAGCTTCTATCTGCTGAGTCACTAAAGGTTTCGTGGGGGCCATGAAGACCACCTTGCCAGATGGGAACCAGCGGTAGAAATTGTACATGACCACGGCGGCAATAAAAGTCTTTCCCAACCCGGTGGGCAGACACACCAGCGTGTTGCAGAACAGAGCGGCCCGGGCGATGTGCAGCTGGTAGTCCCGCACTGGGCAATTAGTAGGGTAAATCCACAGGGCGCCCGCTGAGGTGCAGAACCCGCCATTCTCTAGACTCAGCTGCTGCTCTGCCTCGTACACTGCGACCAGCAACACATCATCGTCCGACTCAGGCTGTGCCTCAGCAGGCTCTGCGACCGCTGGAAAACGCGCCCTGGAGGTGCCAGGACTCTGAGGCCGCTCAGTTCCAGAGCTGCAACCCGGAGTCCCAGCGGATCGGGAGAGGCCTGTGCCCCAGGTCTGAAAAAGGGTTCTTTGCCGTCCGCTCATCAGGCCTGCGATCACCAAAGGCTTCTCTCAGACTCCAGCAGCTGCAGCAGCTGAACCGCTACCATTTCGATCTCCATCCGCTACTTCCGCACGGAACCGTGAGACCACAGGGCGGTACTGACACCAGGTTATCCAGTTGAAAATTCCGCCAGAGTTTGCATAGGGAAGATGATTGGCTGGCTTCCCGGAAACCCTCGCAGCCATTCAGGAGAGGCATGCGCATTGTTTTGGAGTTACTCTAAATTTGGTCCCCTTTTCAGTTTTTCTATAGACTCCAAATTTGAGTTCCTTTTCCAATGACTAGGTGTCCGGGCGTCATTGATAAAGTGGTATCGCTTAAAATAATGAAAATAAGTACTTTGTGGTGAAGGCCTGGGACGAGGGGTGGGGGTGAGGTAGAAGGGGTCAATGGGGGGAAAAGGGGGACATCTGTAATTCTTTCAACAATAAAGATTAAAAAAATAACCTTGAGATTCCCCACGACAATGGATACTCATATTTTTATGAACTTAACGTTATTGAGCGTCTAACGTGCCTTATTCCTTGTTGGTTGTTTTTAAATCAGAAGATGAGGTGAAAAGCGAAATTGTTTAGACTGAAATGATGTCTTATTTCTGTATCCAGGCTGAGAAAACAAAATGTCGGGTCTCTTTTTTGCAGTACTAGGAGTGACAACCGATTATCTTAATATTTTTATTGTTAAAAGGGAAGTAAATGGTTTGGTGCTGATATTCGTTGGAAAATCCTAAAGAAAACGGGCGTTCTGATACTCCCTTACATCTTTATTAATATTGTCGTTGTGGTATGTCTACTTTAGCAAAAGCTTTCTATCTCAGACTTCTCCACTCTAAACCTGGCCCCTTTAAGTAACCTCCATAAATCTGTTTCCATGTATATTGAGGGAAAGTATACACACATTATGGTGTTTTGAATATTAATGTCACTCTCATCACATTGCTTTATTTAGTCAAGCTCTGAATTTGCGTTTAGACAAACTGTTTCTATTGTGTTTGTATTTGGGGGGAGGACAGGTTGTATTTTAGTTTCATTTGTGTGAGTCTCAAAAGGGAGACAGTCGGATATGGGTTGTTCTGATGGACAAGGACTGAGTCTATTTAGGTGTGAATATTTAGGCTAGAACTAGATAAAATGAGATTAGATGCCTGAAGTCTCTGTTGTTTTTTATAGACTTTAAAGGCATAACAGCCCGTCGTTAACAAACAAGTGTGGGTAATGGCTGGTAAATATCGTTCTCCTCACCAGGGTCCCCGTTAAGAACGGAAGGCAGCTTGCAGTTTTCTGCAAGGGCACATCAGTTTGGTTTTTGCCCGTACTCAACAAAGAAGCCCTCAGAGCACAGCCTTGACGTCACTCAAGAACAGGCCCCAATCTCGCGCGG